AGCGTTTAGAGAGAAGTCCTTTTACTACCTAAAGGAGGTATTAGAGGCTATAGGCGTCCTAATAAGAGAGGTAGAGTGCGACGCCAATTAGCTAAGTAAAGAAGTAATAGAGATCATATTAAAGGAGGGCTTATTATTTATAAAGGAGGCTAAGGAGTATTTAGCAGTAAGTATAGGTAATATAATAGAGATAGATAGTTAGTAGGATTCTTAGTATATATTTCCTTTTATTTATATAATACTTCAAGGGATATAGTTAAAAGGCGACTACTTATTTAAATAGAGATATATATAGTAAGGTAGTGTAGTTCCAGGTCAGAAGATAGTTAGCTTATTCCGTAGATTATATAAATAGGCGCGATAGCGTATAATAAATATATTATCTTCTCTCTCTTACTCTTACTACTTATTTAGTTAATAGTCTTCTATATCCCTGCTTACTATACACCTTAATAGTACTACCCTACTCCTTTACAATATAAGAAGCTAAAAAGCTTAAGAAAGACTAAGCTACTTTCTTAAAGGAATAAAGAAATACTATAAATAATAAGATTATTAATCTTATTAATAGGCTACTTTTACTACTAATTATAAAGGAATATAAAAGTATAAAGAGTAAAAGTATATAAAGATAAGAGAGTACTAATAGTAAAAGTATTTAGAAAAGAAAAGGAAATCAGAAGAAGTAATAAGAGGTTTATTATATAAGTTCAGACTAAGTAAGAGATACTTTTAAGTTAGTTTATACTATTATATTTATATTTTTTTTTAATAGGAAATTAAAATTATAATCTAAAGGTACTTAATATATCAGATATCTAATTAACTGCTTAATTCCCTTCTCTTTATAAAAAAGCTCTCTTAAGGAACTAATTTATAATAGGAAAGAAACCCTTTTAAGAAACTGATTTATAAAAAGGGAAGTAGTAAGTATTACTAAAACTAATATACTAAGGCTAGTATTAGGATTATAGTTATAATTATCTGATTTAAATATAGTCTTAATTAATACTAAACTTAGTTAAGACTTTTCTAATAGTTCTAATAGAATACTAAAAAAGTATAAAGCTCTATTTATTTAGACTACTATAATAGCTCTCTTTTACTATAACTTCGATAGGATTACCTACTCCTTAAAGGAGAGTAAGCTTAATATAGCTATTATATTAAAGTTACTAGGAAAAAGGGCGTAGAGCTCTACTTATTTAGATTATTATAGTAGCCCTCTCTTATTATAACTTTAATAAGATTACTTACTCTCTAAGGAGAGTAAGTTTAATATAACTATCGTGTTAGAGTTATTAAAGAATTAATAAGTACTTAAGTATATTAGTAAAGCCTTAAGTATATTTAGCTTTAGATAAGATTAGTCTATTTAACTACTTAAGCTATTAATAGAACTAGTTTATATAATTAAAGTTAAAGTCGAGTATTAGTAGTCTATAGAGAAGTAAGAGCTTACTCCTTTACTAAGTAACTAAGCTCCTTAGCTGCCTCCTAAAGCTATTTAAAGTTAGAAAGTTAGTAAGTTAAAAGGTTAGTATATAACTCTAATAATAAATAGAGATAGTAAAGGTGATAGTGAAAGCGATAGTAATAGTAAAGTTATAATAAGTAATTACGTTATAGCGATATATCTTATAGTACGATTAGCCTGATTTAGTTAATCTTTAGCGTAAGCTTATTATATAAGTTAACCTTATCTAAAGCTTATTAGCTGTTCTTAATATAAGTTAAAGGTAAATAATAATACTTAGCTAGATAAATAAAGCTTATAAGGCTAGTAAGTAATAGTAAAAGAAGCTATTAATACTCCTTTATAAGGTTAAGTAACCTCTTTATAGTAATAGGAGGTTAAGATTACTTATAGTACCTTACAAAAGGATAATAAGAGATAATACTTCTAGTGTTATTATAAATAAGCCTTATAAGTTATTAATATGCTAAAAGGAACTAGTGAAGTAGTCTTAGATTAGGAAAGACTTACTTTAAATAGTAGTTAACTTAATTAGGAGGTAATATAAAAGAGTACTTCCTAGAATAACTATAGCTAAAGTAATTACTCTTCTCTCTTTATTAACTTCCTCTCTTTTATATTATATAGTTATAAAGTCGGCGAAGTAGCCTTGAGTTATAGAATCATAGAGCTAGTAAAGTAGTCTTAGGTTAATAAAAGAGATAAACTTATAAGAGTAATTAGCTTAGTTTTAAGTTAAAGTAAGAGATTACTATATAAAGTAACTATAGCTAAGTTAATTACGCTAAGTTATAAAGCTATTATAAAGTTATAGAGCCGGCGAGGTAGCTTTAAATAATAGAGCTAGTAAGGTAGCTTTAAATAATAGAGCTAGTAAGGTAGCCTTAAATTAGATAGTAGTTAGTTTAATTAATAAATAAAGTAAGAGAGAACTTCCTAAGTAAGCTAAGGCTATTAAGTTAGTAGTTTATAACTTAATAGAGTTAAATAAGAATATTCTTAAGAGACTTTTACTCTTTTACTTATTTTCTAATAATATAAAAAGATCGCAAGGAAAATAGAGTAGCTTAATATTAATATATAAAGTATAATATTTCTTTATATTACTTTTAGGATATAATAATATAAGGCTTTTAATAGTAGAGTTAATTATTTACTAGAGAGTAGTAAGAGAATTAAATATTAAAGAAGATCTATTAATACTTCTATTTAGTATAAGAGCTTAAGTAGATAAAGAGAAGAATTATTAACTAACTAGCTTAGAAAAGTTAAGTATAAGAAAAAGAAACTAAAGGAAATATAAATTAAAGGAAGAAAGTACTTAGCTTACTTTAGAGTTAACTTTATACTAAAGTAAGAATTAAATCTCTTTAATTATATATAAGGCTAAAGTTAGTAATATAAGAGACTATTATAAAGAAAAACTAAGAGCTAGCTTAAAGTTAGCTAAGTTAAAGTACTAAAAGTAAGAGAGCTTACTTATAGATATTCTTAAAGTTAAAGTTAAAGTTAAAGTTAAAGTTAAAGTTAAGATTAGAGTTAGAGTTAGAGTTAGAGTTAAAGATAATAGTAAAATAAGTACTAAATATATAGGAATACTATTTAGATAATAGTAAGAGTAAGAAAGAAAGTAGAATAAAATACTAAAAGTTTAAAACTATAATAGAAAAGGAAGAAGGAAATAAAAGTAGAGATTAACTATAAGGTTAAAGTATTATTAAAAGAAGGAATAAAAGTTAAAGAAAGAGGTAGAGAAGGTCTTTATATAATTATAGAGGTAGTAAAGCTACTACTTTAGTACTAATAAAGTAGTAAATAACTAAACTTATAATTATAACTTACTAAAGTAAAGATATCTTTAACTTAAAGTAAACTTAATTAAATCGCTTATAATACTTAAATCCCTTTATATATAATAATAGAAAACTTATATATATATACTTATAGTATTTAGCTTTTATTTAATATAAATATTACCTTTTTCTATTATTAAGATATAAAGTTATTAAATATATAAGACTAACTTATCTAAGAGAGTTATTTATAAAGTCGCTTTAGTTATAATTATTAAGTTAGCCTTATTTAATAAGTTATTAAATACTTGCATGCCTTTATATTATTACAAATTATAAAGTACTACTTTCTAAATACTCTTATATTAAGAAAGCTATATAATATTATTTTCTAGTATATTATATTAGTATAATCTCTAGAATCAATTATTTTATATTATTTTATATTTCTTAGTTAAAAAATTATATCTATAGTATATTATATTATTATTTTAGCTGTTATATTTAAACCTCTTACTTTTAATTTTACCTTGTAACTTCTATATCTACTACCCCTTTATATTATCCCTTTCTACTAATTTCTATATTATTATATTATAAAGAATTTTAGAATTAATTATTTTATATTATTCTATATCTCCTAATTAAGAAATTATATCTATAGTATATTATATTATAAAGATATCACTATTTCAGTTATTATATCTAAAGCCTTTACTTCTATTTATAGCTTTAGCCCTATATCTCTTATATCTACTACTTCTTTAATATTCTTCTTTTACTAAGTTTTTATTATATTATATTATAAAAATTTCTAGAATTAATTATTTTAGTTCTCTTTATATTTCTTAGTTAAAAAATTATACTTATATTATTCTTTATTATAAAGATATATTACTTTAAAAGTATTATTCCGTATAGCTACTAGCTACGAACTACCTTATATATTATATCTACTTTTATATTTCAGCTTATATATAATAGAAATCTATTTAAAAATACTAAAAAAAAATATATATTACTTAGAATTTTAAACTTATTAATAAGTCTATCTTATACTTATAAGTAAAGTAAGCTAAGTAAGTAAGCTTAAAATATTAACTCTTTAACCTTAGGTTTATTTATTATAATAATATATTAGCTAATTAGTATAGCTACTAAGTTATACTACTAGTTCTTATTATTTTTACTTAAATTATATAACTTTACTTTATATTTAGCCTAAGAAAATTCTTATTATCTTAACTCTTTACTCTTTATATTATTATACTAATAAAGTATAGTTATATCTTCTATTAGTTTTATATTATCTTATATACTCCTAGGATACTCTTTATTTAATTTTATATATTTATATACTTATATATATCTATTCTATCCTCTTCTTATTTCCTAGTTAAGTTTCCTTTATATTATAGTATATATATACTAGACTATAGAGATTCTTTCTATAATTATAAACTTTTTCTCTATAGTTATAAAAAAACCTCTTATAACTATAGAAGTTTACTTTATAAGATAGGGTTTTATTTATAAACTACTCTTATACTATCTATATAATAGATCGCACTTTCTATTAGTATAGAAGGAACTCTATTAGTATAGACAGATTCTCTATACTAATAGAGAGAATCTCTATACTAATAGAGACGTTACTACCGTAGTGACCTGAAAACATCATATGCACCCAAGGAAGCGTCCTGCCGCTTACTCTTTGTACAACGGCAGTGATGTTGTTCCAGCAAGACACGCTGGCACTGGATTTCCCTCGAGTCGAGCCTGTTCCAAACGGCAAAGTCGTTCTCGTATGGGGAGGTGCCTCAGCTGTGGGAACCAATGGTATTCAGATGCTCAAAGCAGCTGGGTACAGAGTCGCTGCTATTGCAGGTTCTAACAATCAACAATACTGTACAGACCTGGGTGCAAATTACGCTTTTGACTATAGAAAGCCAGGTGTGGTCGCCGAGATTATCCAAACCCTTAAAAACGTCCCATTCGCTGGAGTTTTCTGTGCCGTTATGGCGCCAGAGACTATAAAAGCTTGCGCTCGAATCGCTTCTCAGCTAGGCGACAATTCCAAGAATAAGGTCGTAGTAACTTCCTTGGCGCACTCGATGAAGTTTGAAGGCGAGGTTCCTGAAGGCGTAACTATTAGCTACTATACAGTGTACCCCCCTGTCCTAACGTTAGTTTACTACTCGTGCCTTAGCAGCTGCTTTTACAGTGCTAAAGGAGCTTCTCCTTATAATTGCTCTATTAATATATTAAAAACGCGTCATGCTATCCCCTTATTACTTTTTAAAACAGTATGAAATCCTTCTCTTTTAAATATAAATAATAGATAGCGTCGCCTTATAGTTTAACGTTAGGACAGGGGGGTACACTATAAGTCTGATTCATCCAGTTTCCTTCATCAGCCCTCGTAATGATCGGAAATCTAGGCTGGGCCGACTCGTTGAAGGACAATGAAGTCGGACCTGCTATCTGGGACAGATGGCTCACGCCCGCACTCGAGAATGGTACCATGAAGTGCAGACCTGAGCCTGGGGTTGTCGGTAAGGGCCTAGAGAGTATCCAGGGAGCATTGGACCTCCAAGCCCGAGGGGTCTCCGCCAAGAAGCTTGTTGTTGAAATTGTCTGATTGGCAGAGGCAAATTTCATGCTATGTACATTTGTAGAATCTACATTCATCTCTCAAGTCTGATAGCAGACATCCGCCGCGTTACACTACTTATGTATGCTGAAGTAAGCAGTAGTAAACATGGCGTGCTGTTGGACTGGAGCTATTTTATTAGTTGGCAAAGCGCGATATCCAATTAAATTTCATTCCAAAGTGTTTGTGAAGGACCCGAACCAAGTAAAAACAACATCAAGCATACAGATTTTTAGAACTGTTATGATAATAAAAGCAGGGATATCAGAAGTTCGTGCTTTCTTGCCACTGTGACGTGAGGAAGTCCAGGGTCGTAGCTGGGAAATCTTGCCATGCTTCATCAAAAGTATATCCGAAATCTGTTGGGGGTGATCCATTACCAATGGAAAGCGTATTGGCGGTCTCCGATTGAATTAACGATGCGGTCATTGTAGAGTAATCGTCCTGCAAAGCTGGCGTGACTATAGCCTGGCTCTGTTCGTTTCCTTGAAGACTATGTCTCGGGTCTTGCAAAGAGAGTTTGAAGGAAGTTAACATCTTGCTCAGGCCGCCTGCGATGTGTTTGGTGAGATGCTTCTCACTAGAAACTGCATGTTGAAATAGTGATATTACCCTTCCCACGAGATCCTCCACTGCGTCGGGGTTGATGCAGAGACCTGCTAAGGGAGAATCAGAGACACTTTGAGTCGGACTAGCTCTCCATTTCAATGTTACTTTGAGGAGAAAGACGGCTGAGAATGTCAGCATGGTATGAGCGAAAAGTGGCACGCCTATGATGTTATTTCGTATATCCGGCTCATCGAGGACGAACGATAGGGTTGATATTGCAGACGAGATAGCGAGATTGGCAGACTCTTTACGAGAAGTGGAAAGAGCTGCCACGCTCTCAGGACACATGGCACGGAGGGCTAGAGAGTTGAATTGGAACTTGGCAAAGTAGTAGTGCAGTGTCACACCTTTCGAAGGATAAGAGTGAACATATTGGTTGCTAACACAGCGTGGTGCCCAGGTATTGCGCCACTGATCCAATTGTATGTTATATTGACGAAGATGCTCGAAATCGTCCTCAATAACTGGTTGATCGTTATCTGTTCCGAATCGTCGAAACATGGTGGAATGAAGGATGAATAGAGCGACTTGGGACATGAGTCGTACATCCCCCGGTATGGTTGTAGGGTATTGAAGAAACGCTTCAAACCCAGTAATAGCAGCGTCTTCGTAGATCATTGGTGGCCTCCCGTACGTAGTGCTAAATTGGTGATCACACACATACAGTAGCAACCAGAGCTGAGGTCGCTCATAGCTGTCGGATTTGCCGCGAGAGATTCTTAGAAGGCTTTGATGAAGCCCCATCTCCACACCAAGCCGTACAGCAAGTCCCGACAGCCTCCAACTCAGATCTGGAAGCCAGAATGCGCCAATACAAAGTCCACGGATGTCGTCCATGGTACATCGTCGTTTGATCGTAGCTTTCTCGACAAGGGAAGTGTACTCCTCGTAGCAAGCTTCTAACGCACCGCTTCGGCCAGGAATATGCAGAGCCGCAACCGTCAGGATGGCAGCCGATAAAAGAGATGACGATCTCCTAGCAGATTCGAGAGTTGAGTGTTTCATTACCACTCCACCCCAGAGAAGTTGATTCATGGTATGGTTGAACGATTCAAACAGACTCTCAGCGACATCAAGACCAAGAACACCCCTAGCAATGAAGTCTGATTCAAGCAGATTGTCCTTCTGAAGAGTCTCGCACGGCTGGTCAGTTCTCAGGGTTCGAATTCTCGTTACTTCATACAGGGCATCCGTTGGAGCAGAAACAATCCGGCCGCCATCAAGATCTGGTTCCCTGGAATTTTCTCGAGTTGGCTCTGCTGTCTCAACCGGCCGGCTCGTGACTAGTGGGCGGTTGCCAGATCCATACTTCCCGAGGTTTGGAAGACGTAAGTGGCGGAGGACATCTGACATTGCAGCTTCAAGTCTCGAAGCTTGAGCTGTTGCCGCATCTTTCCACTGAGTGTCGTCATCGACGAATTTCTGAAGAGAGTTGTTGGTCACGCAGGGGAGGTTCTGACGGCGACATCGTCGACATTTGCCTTGGTCGTCATCAATCTGGCACTTGATCTTGTGCTTCTTACATTCAGAACAGGCTCGGCTCTTGGTCTTGATGGGAATGTCGTTCCCAATGCCGTGGTCGTTCAAAGATGAGGGCTCAAGGTCCGCTTCATTGAACCGCCGCTTCATAATGGCAAGTGGAGCTGAGTTCTTGGGAGTGGATCAGGATATAAGAATGGCAAGAAACCGATCTATACCGGAGCACCTACGACATTCTGGTCTACTATGGTGTTGTCAGAAATGTGGTCTGGGGCTTCGAGGTCGTCTCGGGATCAGGAGCGCGCGTGGGATTGGGTGGAGATGTATCGTTGATGTCGAGACGGGTAGAATCCCGAGGTTGGGCAATGTCTCTTTTAGGTGAGATCTTATTCCCGTTGGCGCGATCTTTGAGAAGACATAGAACCTCTTGAAGCAGGTGCTTTGTCGCAGGGCAGGGCATGGTCATGCCACTTCAAAGATTGTGACAGTGGGGGAAGCGGAGTCGGATATCCCCTACGCTGCCGTTCGGAATGGATCCAATAGGTATAGGTACATTTTAGGTACAGGTACTAAAGCTAGCGCACGTGCCTTGTAGTATAAGTACCTGACAAAAGTGTGTTAAAAGGCAGCTTAGGTAAGATAGGGGTGGATTAGTGGCCCACGATGCTGCCGTTCGCTAAAACATACAGTACCTGGTGCTCCAGAGAGGAAGGCTGGCCATGGACTGAAAATTGCTGCACAATAGCACACATCCATGCATTGCTCGGAAAGTACAAGATACCTAGTGCAACGTTCTTCGGAACTTGTTGATTATATTTCAAGGTATCAACTGGAAGGGTTCATTCTACCATGTACAATAGATACCTGCTGTGATCCTTCCTATTGTTAGTACGTGTCTTCATCCTGTCTTCGCGGAGTCTGCCCTTTCCTTCCTTCTCTCCACGCCTATCCCAAGCTTTTCTTGTAATCCGCCACTGCTTGTTCACACGAACCATCAGACTGGAAGCCCAAGCTATATGCATACTTATTATCAAACTTATCTGCCCAACTCCTCAAGATAGCCTCAGTCGCAGGATCAGTTTCCTCCTTAATATACTGCAGCCTATCCGACCCAGCCACCTTCTCCAATGCATTCATCATATCTTGAATTGTTACAGACAGCCCAGGCATATTGACCTCTCGCACATGAGCCGGCAGCTTTGAAGACTCAAGCTTCAACGCATGCACGAGGTTCAGAACCAGCGTTCTCGGCGAGCATACCCATGACGCAAACGAGCGATCTTTCAGTGGAATGACGCACTCTTGTCCATTCAAAGGTTCTCTGATCATCCCGCTCAGGAAGCTACTCGCCGCAGCTGAGGGCTTCCCGGGTCTGACAGTGACGGTGGGAAAGCGAAGGACAATACCATCAATGAACTTCCGGCGAGTGTAATCGTTGACGAGAGTCTCGCAGACGAGTTTAGCCGCCCCATAGGATGACTCTGGTGTTGGTCTGACCGTCTCATCAACGACCTTGGGAAAGGGACGGCCATAAACGGCTTGACTTGAGGCATAAATTATTCGGATTCCCGGCTTTACAGTTCGGAATGCCTCGAGAAGTCTCCGAGTTGAGTCGAGATTGGCCTTCATGCCAAAGTCGAAGTTGGCTTCTGAGCCAGAAGACATGATGCCATGGAATACAAAAGCTGCGTCTAGCGAGTCGTCGACCACTGTGCTTGTGTCGGCACAAAGATCAGCTTGGACTGCTTTGGCATTCTGAGGATATTTGACACCCTTTGGAACGGGTGGCAGGACGACATCTGTAAGCACAACGGTGTAGGATTCATCGTTTAAGAGCACTTCAGCTAGGAGCTGCCCTATAAATCCTGCTGCGCCTGTGATGAGGACTTTCATTTTAAGAGACGAGTTCTGAAGGTTGTGAGTCGGGTGGTAACGATGGACCGATGAAAGATGAAGAACCGACGGTGGTGAAATCTGAGCCTGAAGATGTTCTGCTTAGGAAAGTGTTTTAGTCTCCTGTAATATTCGAAGGGATTTAAAAGAAATTGGAGTGAGTAAATGAACGGTTTCATTGCATATCTCCGCATCACATCTCATGTCGTGGTGTAAAAGCAGAACCTTATCGGGAGAACGCCGATCCCCACCACAGTATTCGGCATCCCTCCGCCCCGTGCCCCTCACAACCTGATAGACCCTCCCTTACGGGAGGTATATACCCCTCTTTTGTGGAGGAACATCGTCGAGTCAGCCTGCCCACTCGGAGGAAGTCCGATTTGTCCCAGTTTATGACGATGCTTCCGCGACTTTTGATTCTGTTGTTGGATCGCATTTGTATTTTGAGTTTTAATTCTTGATGTGTGTAACCTTTAAAAGTTCCTCTCAATCCTCTAACCTATTTCTCCCCTCCTCCTTCTTCCTCTTTGTTTACTTCCCAATCTCATCATTTCATCCCGATTCCGCAATATCACTTAAATTTCTTGGAATTCGGCCGAGGACTCGAAAATCCATGAATCCTCTTCATGGCTACCACCAAACCACTCTCCGAGAACAAAAGTACGGCTATCCTCGATGCAGCTGAAAAGGGGGGGTACGGCATCATAGCTGTATGCTGCGTGAGTCCATCATTCCTCCCCATATCAAGCACACCTCCAGACTCAGCTAACCCCAACCTTAGTACAACCTTGAAGAAATCGTCGCCACGGTTCGCGCCGCAGAATCCAGCTCCTCACCAGCAATGGTCCTCCTCTTCCCCTGGGCCATGCAAAAGTTCTCGCACCTGCTCGTCAACCTTGCCGCCGACGCCTGCCGCTCAGCCAAAGTCCCCATCTCACTGCATCTCGACCACTGCCAAGACGTCGAGATGGTGAAATACGCTGCATCGCTCCCTTTCGACTCTATCATGATCGACATGTCGCATTATGAGAAAGATCAGAACTTACGCCTGACGAGAGAATTGACTGCGTATTGTCACGAGAGAGGTATTGCGACGGAGGCTGAACCGGGACGTATTGAGGGCGGTGAGGATGGTGTGAAAGATACGGCTGAGCTTGAAGGCATCATGACGACGCCTGAACAAGCTCAGGAATTCATCGACACTGGGATCGATTACCTCGCTCCTGCATTCGGTAATGTGCATGGTGCGTACAGCAGTAAAGGACCGCGTGCACATCTACAGTTCAAGCGGCTCGAGTCTGTACAGAAAGCGTCGAAAGGGAAGGTACGCTTGGTGTTGCATGGAAGTGGGAGTTTTACGGAAGATATCTATCGGGATTGCATACAGAGAGGAGTCTCAAAGATCAATGTTAATGCGCAGTTGGTTGAGCCGTGGGCGGAAATGATGGAAAAAAGGAAGACTTTCACGCCTCTTACGGAGTTGGTGGAGGATAGTATTGAAATTTTCCAAGAGGAGGTGGTAAAGTTGATGAAGATGGCAGGCAGTTGTGGGAAGGCTTGAGAGAGTGGTGTACCCATGTAGGACATGGTTCAATAAAAGTTGGGACCGAAACCGAGAAGTGTTTTGTCGATATGCTTCTAGCTCTTGTTGACGTCTCGAGTCCCCTGTGTAGAACAAAATAGTACTGCGCCTTGAGTAAATGAAAAATACGGGAAGCTAAGCGATACAGTATTGCTCGATGTTGATTTCAACCGAAGCGAGGTGAGAATGTTGACAAGGGGTGTCCCAATCAACGTGCGGACGCAAATCCATCTCCAGAATATTTACCATCTGAAGGTGCCTCTAAGAGCTACAGCTATAGAAACCCCCAGAGCCCAATGCCACAACAAATCAGCTGAACCTATTCAAGTAGCCCTGGAGACAAAATTACCTCACCTGCGACTATGGCATCAATTGCCAATATGCCAGAAGCAGAGCCAATTAGTCCTTGGGTAACGATTAAGCAAGCCATTCAAGAAAATGCCGAAAGCAGCACATGTTCTCTTCAGAGGAAGGCAGTCTAGTCTTTACAGCACCTGGACTGATTGGGATGTTCAGATGAGAGGATTTTCGAGAACAAGCAGCTGGGTTACGAGATACTCAAAGATGTGGAACGGGCATGGGCGGACTGGGAAGACCAGGGATTGAGGGACGCAGAAGCAGCATATCAAAGGATCGAACATGGCTGAAGTTCTCATTCTGGAAGCACCTCCAAAAGTCAGACTTTCAGAAGAGCAAGAAGCAGTCGCACAACTAGGCCTCCTTGGCCACAACATATTTCTCACGGGCGCGGACGGCTGTGGGAGGACCGTCACAATAATGGAAATTATTAGGCTCGATTCAAAGAGCGAGGTACCAAATATCAAGTCGCATGCCCGTCAGCGATTGCCGCTCTACCGTTTGAGGGCCGAACCATGCACTCCTGGATGGGCTGGAAAACTGATTCCATGCGTACGACCTCAAGAGTCTTGAAACCAGCTCATTACACCCCAGAGCGGCTGGAGGCATGCTTTCAAGTTCGAGGTGCTCATAATCTGAAAACTTTCTGTTAGAAATATGGGGATTGTAGGCGTAGACTTAGTACTGTAGGCTATACTACTAAGCACGCTACCCCTTTTTATAGGAGATTCTCTCTCTCTGTAGTAGCTCCTTATACAACTGCAATTCTGACACTTTCAATGGCTGAAAATCAATTTCGGAGAGGACGAATCTTGTTCTACAAGAAGTTATCTTCCTTGGCGATTTTCACCAACTGCCTCAGTCTTGCCGTTCCAGTTCTGTCTCAGATGTGGTAAAACCATGGAGGAGTTGAAAGCAAAATTCAAGTGCAGATGTAAGCTTTCCTTAAAAGTGTTTAAGGAGGGCGACAAGTGGCCTTTAAAGCGCCAGTTTGGCAACAGTTGAAGTTGAGACATATTCTACTCGAGAAGATCCACAGACAGACAAGTGCTGTATTCAAGAACATCCTCGACCAGATTTGCTACATCAAGGGTTTAGGAGAAGAAGAGTGGAAGATCTGGAAAGAAAGAAACAGCAGCCGCTGCATATCCGCGCAGTGAGGCTGATGCCCAACGACAAAGCTGTCGATAACATCAACCAGCGTGAAATTGCTGCCATAAAGAGACCATCTTTGCAGTGGGTCGCGAAATATCGGTACGTAAGGTGGTATACAGCTCTCCCTGGTGACAATCATACCGATCCGTGGTCGGGGATCCTCTCCTTCAGACGATATCGATTCCCGGGATCATTGGAGCTGAAAGAGGGCGCAAAGGTCGTGCTTCTAGAAAACATCAACATCAATAAGGGGCTCATGAACGGCTTCCAGGGAGTAGTGATAGGATTTAAAAACCATCAAGGCAGTGTAGTTAATAGTTTTGCTATTCTTAGTAAAAACATAACTAACTAAGGTTTGTTTTATAAAGACTTAGTAAACTAACTATAGTTTGTTATTAATAGTTAAAACCGAGGTTTGTTTTATTAGATTCTTAAAAACGGGTTAGTTTATAAAATAGACTGAATTTAATTTTAATTTTTTTTAGTTAATTTTTTTTATATATATTTAAAAAGATTATTATAAAAATAAAATATATAATATAAGACTTAATTACTTTATATATATAAATAGTATCTTAAAAGATTTATTTAATATATTTATTATAAAAGATTATTAAGATAATATAACCCTAGCTTTTTATAAGGTAAGTATTAAAAAATATATTAATATATTTTAAATCTTATAATAGGAAATAATTTATTAGATCTTATATATTATTTCTTCTGTTTTTATATTTTTTTTAAATACTTTTTATTTTAATTAGAAGTCTAATTAATAATATATTCATAATTATTTTATAACTTAAAATACTTTAATTAATATTATTATATTAAACTATATATAAATAAAAGGTTAATTATAAGATTTTTATTAATTATATATTTCTTTTAATATAATATTTTTATAAGAATTTTATAAAATTTATACTATATATAGTTTAAAAGTTAGTTTTTAAAAACGACCTCGTTTCATTCGTTTTATACTTATTAAAACGGACTGTAGTTCGTTTTTAGCTTATAAAACTGGCGTTAGTCTATAAAGCTAAAAACGGGGTCGTTCAAACGGCTGTAAACTATTGACTACATTGCATCAAGGCGTAGAATACCCGCCCTCTTCCAGTCTCGTCACAGAGAAAGCCAAACAACGCGGCCCTGGCCCTGCAACTAGATACGAGACCTTGGCGCCCCTGTTGTCATGTTCGTGAACGGGGGCATAATCCCAGTCAGAGCAGTCAGTCGAATATACAGCCCAATCCGGAACAAATGAGCAGCCGTATCTAGCAAGTCGTATCAACATCCTGCTGAAACAGGGGGAGGGAGGGACGCACCATCCATTTAAGGCCAGGCATGACTTTGAACTACATCTTGGTCTCCTCAAATGATATGTTCGAGAAAGGTCAGCTTTATGTTGCCTTGCCGAGAGGAACAAACATCGAGGGCGTGACTGTGACTGGAAAGAAACGCTAATAACTGTCTTCCGACCAGAACGCGATTGAATTTCATCGGAACACTAAATGGGAGACTTTTTGGAAGCAGGTGCTGAGGTTTGCTCACTTGGCCTGGAGGTCTCGAAGGAGACCCCGAAACTCGGAACATATCAGTACCCGCCAATGGACGACGAGGTGATGTTTTGGGATCCTCTACTTCTTCCACCTTTTAAAACTGGAATACGAAGTTGGTGTGTGCACTTGGTCGAGCGAAAATCCTTGAAAGACCACATTTCATAGATTGATGGTCTCGACGCAGAGGATTTACTGGGCAAAGTTTACGGTACAGAGGCATCCGAGGAGCCGGAACACATGGAGACTTCCAAGTACTTCTTGGGAGGCAGATGAACGGCAATGACCAAATTATTCTATTCTTAAAAGTACACCATTACAGGTTCCCATAGAATCCAACTCAAAAAAGATCAGAGGTATCATTGCAGTCAACCACCAGTCACAATCGTAAACCTACTCCTCGACACATCCCATCTAATCCTTATGCTTATGTAGCTTCTCTTTAATCTTCTCCTTCAAACTCTTCTTCTCCTTATCATGTCCACTCCCAGTCCCATCCAAACTCTTCTTCCCCTCACTACTTGTACTTTTTTTGGGGGTACTCGTCTCTCCCACCTTCGGCTCAGACACAGATGCAGGACTAACTCGCTTCTCTTCCAGCAAGCCCGAACTTCCTACCTTCTCTTCACGGAGTCCTCCGTCTCTTTTTACTGGTGCGCCAGTGAGAGGTGGTGCTGTGCTTGAGCCAGTAGTACCGGTCATGCCATTCTCAGCACTCTTCTCATCAAACCCCGTCGTACCCTTCACAGCACTGGCTTTCTCCTCTAGACTAATATCCTTATTCTCGCTGCCAGCCCCAACAAGACCAGTGGTACTGCTATCGGTAGGATCACTCTTGCTGAATGTCAGAGGCTTAGACTCAGTCGACATGTTCTCTGAGGGGAGCTTTGCTTGATCGGCTGTAGCGAGGAGATTTGAGGGGGTTTCGCGGGATTGGCATTCTGATTCTGGGAGGAGGACGGCGGCTTTGGGCGGATCAGCTGAAGAGGACTCGGTGGTAACGGGTTTGGGGTTAGAAGTTAGGGTTGATTTTGAGGGGAGGGAGGTATTGGCTGTTGTGTCCTCTGTGAGGACGGAGGGGTATTTGTTAGCTATATATCCTTGATTTCTTTTGAGTTCTTAACTGTAATAGGCTGGAGCGTGAAGTCATCACGATTGGGCAGCGGTGATCATATAAATAAGTAAGAGTCACTTTGAAACCGAAGTCAGCGTAGCTCTCTCTTCTCAAATGGTTCCTCAAGGGCAAAGGGGCACTCACTACCGACGTTTCCCCTGTCATAAGGCTCACCACTCTTCACATCACCCAGCTCTCCAGCAACAGGCTCTTTTCCCAAAGTGTCATTCCCATCCTTCTTCTCATCTGGGTTTGTTCCTTCACCCCAAATAGCACGGGACGCAGCAGTTGTGATGTTGGTTATGGTCTCCATTTTCCTTCTTTACTTGAATGTCCTGAGCATGCAGGAGCGAGGACGCGTATTGCTAATTAGCCTTGTGATCTGGTATTTGTTGTTGTACAGTGAGGTAACTTGTTCTCGGTTTTGAGGTTGAGAGAGAGGTTGAGGTAGGAATGAGAATATGGAGTGCAAATGGAAGAGAACTGCTCTGCTTTATGAACGAAAACGAAAACGAAAGGGCTCTTATCATAGCCTGTCGCTATGGCCATTCACGCAATCAAGGCCTAGGTACAGTAAGGTAAGGTAGTAACGTAGTGGACAACGGAACTGACGTCGTTGTGGCAGGTGAGGTGGGGTCAGTTCCATCTTTCGCAAGGTTCCTCCCCTCCACTCGCACTTCCCGTCCCTTAACTGCCCAGTGCCCAGTGCCCAGTGCCCAGTGCCCAGTGCCCAGTGCCCAGTGCCCAGCCGCAGTTGGGGTGACATGGCCTCGCATGGGCAGGCGAGGCAGGCTGAGGTCCAGCAGTGGTGATCGAAACAGTGGAGTGCAGGGTAGTTCCCGTTAGGTTGGCTTGGGCGAATTTGCGACGTGGATGTGGACGTGGCACATGTCCAGGACCCTGATCCTACCTCCTAAGGTACAGTACTGTAAATTACCTACAGTACTCGTACCTTCACCGAGCCTCCCACCCAACCCAGTTGCCATGATTCAACCAGGGGAAAGTTGGCATCGGGAGCCAGACCGAGGCGAAAACCCAGGTGGATCCCTAGTACACACATAGGGAAATATATATATATATATATATTAATTTTAATTAAATACGATCGAGAATCCTGGTTTGTCGATACTTGGCTGGGGTTGGATGTCAAGCTCAGCTTATCTTGACCCTGCGATAGGTAACGTTAGGTAGGGTAGGTACCTTTTAGGTATCTGCCTGTCTGCCCCTCCAAGCTCTATCCAACTCATCGCCATGACACAACTTTTAGTACCTAGGTAGCAGTGCCTATACCTACCTACCTACCTACCTATGTTATTCCAAATTATGTCTATGCATCTATTTACCAGGTAACAATTAATGGCTTTATTTCCATGTACTGTACTGTAGATTGATGGCTACGCCGACTAACAGAATTTCCCCGCAACCAGGTCTAAGGTAAGGAAGGTCTCAGGGCACTACGACTCCGCTCCGTTTCGTTTCAACATGTACAGTAGTCGAGACAGTACAGTACAGTGATGCATCCTTGAACAATGACGCACATGCACCCTCGTCATAACACCGTCATTCCCGCGCCGGCATGCTGTACTACTGAACGCCACTCGAGCCACTCGAGCCACTCTACCGCCTACGCCTGCGTAGAGTATTAACCTTACCCCACGGTCCACGGAGTAAATTATTCCAGCTGTGGCTGTGCAGGACATCTGGGCTCCCTCCCTGGACTCTTCCATTGTTCTTGTTTCGCTTTCAGACAGACGACAGACTGACATAAAGACGTCAATATGCATGGCTGTGAGCATGTGAAAGACGTATTATTGCAGGAATCATGGACGGCATGTGATGGAACGGCCCGGCCACATGTCAAACCGCAGACTTAGGCAGACATTAATAGCATACTCGAAAACGGTTTCGTCAGGCAACGGGTCGCATCAGTGGTTACTGTCACACCTACATTAACTAGCGGAAGTACAGTAGAGGTGGAAGTCTGGTTCAGTATCAGATGCAATAATGTAAAGAAAGCGTAGAATTTAGAGGCTACGAATTTTACTTGGACGGGGCACTCCCGTCATACAAGAAGCGCCACGCCCACACCCATGCAAACCTACCTCTATTGCAACTCCAAAACTCCATGTCCGTCAGCTGAAATCTCCATGCAATGAACTATAGCACTGTGTTGCCCATGGCTTGACACGGCAGCAATAGCGAATGCGCTCCAATCGCCAAATAACAGGAAAAGAAAATAACAAAGAAGATACTCCTCATGCCCTGCTTCCAGCCTGCCCAAGCTGCTCCTCAGCAGGCTGCCCCTCCTCCCAATTACCGCCAACTTTGCCGTTCTGATCCTTAACAGCATCGGGGTTCAGTGGCTTAGTAAAGTCATACCCGACACTTTTCACGATCCCTAGACCTTTCGTCCGGCCTTCCCTAAAGAGAAGTCGGTCGCCTGGAGCGAGGTACTCCGGTCTCTGGACGAAGCGGAATGCGACGAGTGCTCGGTCCCCAGTTCGGATGTACTGGCGATCAATGTCGATGATCGCACAGGTCTGTGAGACTGGGCCGACATGGAGCATAGCTTGGTATTTGGTTTTAATGGTGGTTGCGTGTGAGAGGATGAGGACTGTTGATCATTAGTGATACTTGAGAAGCCGGGTTTTAGTCTTACCTTCAGCGACGAACTCTCGGTACACCTTGGGAGCGCTCTGCTCAAGTTTTGGCAAGACTACCATCCCCTTTCGCACATCTTTCCGCCTGACACGTTTCAGCGCGAAAGACGCAGACTGTCCCGCTGATGCAGCTGGCACTGGTATTCGTTTCCGCTCGATGGATCTGATACTGGTAGTTGTGAACTGGCCCAGGGAATCTGGACCGATCAAGACCGTATCGCCTCCGTGAATGACTCCGCTTTTGACGATACCAGAAACAACGGTACCAACGAATGGCACCGAAAATGTATCATTGACGTGGAACTCGAATGGAGCTTCAGCATCGTAGTGGCCATGATGTGGGAGAATATTAAGGAATGCTCGTACGAGATCCAGAGACTCTCCTGTGACATTGGAGACTTGGAAGATAGGGCATATCCGCTGGGACACGAACTGAGTAGCGGTATTGATACACTCTTCCTTATTCTTGATGAATATAGGGATTTTCCTCGCTCCAGGACTTTTCAGAATCTTGGTAATTTGCTGCACAGTCTGCTCTAAGATTTGTGGCGGACAGATATCAATTTTGGTGATCACAACCATGACTGGGACATTCAGAGCCAAGGCGATACCCAAATGCTCTTTGCTCATACCAATGAGACCGTTGTTGGCAGCCACCATCAGTAGACAGTAATTCGGGCTTGATGACAAGAGCCCAAAGACTGTGGTTCGAAGGTAACGCTCATGACCAGCCAAATCAGTGAAAGTGATGACTTTGGCAGCGCGTTTGCCAATCTCCTCCCAAGAGAGTTTTCGCCCAGGGACTTCAGCGGTGATAACCTTGCCCAGAGTGTCGAACCCCATGATCTCCATTCCGACGGAACTAGTTCTTCCACTCTCAATCTCATGCTTGTGGCGAAAAAGGTTGACACGAGCTTTCCCTCGTCCATCATCCAGACCTCCTTTGACTAAGACTCCCAACATGGTACTTTTCCCAGCATCAACATTTCCCACGACTGCTATTCGAGTCTCAACAACCTCTTCCACAGTTGCTGGGTGCTGTCTGACCAGTATTTTCCCACTGCAATCCTTCTCCTTCTCGTTGGCCGCACTCTCTGCTTCCTCCTCCCCACCAACGTGTTTCGTGAGTAGAACCTGGCAATCCGACCGTACTTCCTTCGCAGCTTCCTTTAGTCTCTTGACAGCAACATCCCACTCATCTTTCGTCAAAGCCATAGACTCTCCATTGTTCTCGAACCCAATTTCAAAAATAGTCTCGCCATGTCCTTCTTCTATTCGTCCTTCTAGCAAGTTGACCAGTGTTGTAAAAGGGTCCTCGTCGTGGTTTAGGAGGAGCTCTTTTAATCGCACAGCTGGAGAGGCATCTGCCAGGTCCAGGGAGTCTAGGATGTCGAGCTCAGAGTGCTCTTCAACGACTGTGGACACGGTTGATGCGCCGGGTGGGTATCGCAGCTTCTGTTGTTTCTCGACGTAGTCTGCGAATTCGCTCAAGGCCTGGGTCCTTGTTAACTTGAGAATCCTCAAATCGAGTAGATGCAAATACCGTCTCGCCTTTCCGCCGCTCATGTGGAAGGTGTTTGGCCTTTGTTGCCATGGTGGGGTAGTTTGATACTTTAGTCTTCGTATCCAGATGTTTGAGTGGCTCTTTAGTGTATGTGTAAGATCATCTGGCTGGTATGCAGTGAACCCACTTGAATTCAGTCTTAGGGGAATATCGATGTCTATAACTTGCGAGCGTGGACGAAGAGGGGGGATGTTGGGTGTTAATATGCTTTAGGATGACTCTTCCGGGGAAGGAAAAGAGGAGAGCTTTATCGATAACGCTGCAGGAGTCGTTGAATCATCACATGGAGCTTGAGTCACTGGAGGTATTTGAAACATCCTGGGACTGTGCCCTATTATCATTCATTTAGTTGTGTCTTCTGATTTCCATTCATGCTAGATGACTGTTTATGGGCCTCGATGGAAGCTCATTGTCTCTGCATTGCATGCAGTACATTGACATGCGAAAGAACCGTTGGTGTACCCCGCCATCCACTACCATGCATCAACAACATGCATTATGCGCCTCCAATGGTATTTTTCCATGTCCTTGAAATGCACCAAAGTCTATTACCACTTCTTCTTCCCATTTTGCTCGATTTTCAATGCAGGATGCGATCATGATGGTCCTTGAGGAGAGATGAGTACCACGCTGTCGCCTATGCAAACAGTCAGTAAATACTGCTCAATTTGGCTCGCTGCCCTGAAGCACAACACCATTTGAACATACCTCTTACGAACAACATCTCGGACTTCTTGTGAATTGTCTATTGGTGTACTTTAGCAAAGCCCCCCTGCGCATTTGTTGTCGTACCTTGACGGTCTCCTCTTCATCCTCGTCCTCTTCCACGACATAGATCGTCTCCTCCACATCTCCTAGTACCAGATTGCAATGGCTGTCATATGCCTAAGCTTCATCAGCAGGTATTTTGGCCCTTGTGGATGGCAATACTGACATGGAGTCTGCCTTTCAACTCTCTGTCTCCCCTCAGCTTTACAAACACAATCTCGTCCAAGCACAGGCGCACAAGATCAAGTGGCTCTGCGGGGGCAGAAGCTCCGTCGTCGGCGTCAGCCATCCTGTATAAAAGTGGCGGAGGATTTTGATTAAGGCTGTAGTTGTGGTAGTTGTGTTGACCTGGCTTGACTGATCTAGAATCCAATCCTTGTGCTGCAGCTCAGCTCACGCGTAAATTTCGAGATGTCGGTGGTCGGCGTTATGTGCCCGATATTTGAGGTGTCAACTTTGCGAGTTCATCGCAAGTCAAGGTTCAAGTTCTCCACCGAAGCTTTGAACTTCATCTGAATATCAACACGAACTCAATTTGCTCTTCTCCACTTGAGATCCACTCTCCCCTCTCCACTCATCTCCTCCACTTCCGTCTCCGCCTCCTCAATTTCCCCGGATTAACAATTGACTTCAAAGTCAAAATGTTGATACACCACAATCAAAGCCCATGAGCGCGTTCCTTCTTAAACTGGAGGCAATCGAGTCTCGAATAGCTTCATACTCCTCTCCATGTGGTATACAAGGTCGTGTCCATGGTATTCGATTTCGACAATGTCTCCACAAGTACCGGCTTCCAGCTGTGAATTCACGACATTCATCTGCAACTAGACCGCCAGAGATTAAGATACGCAGATACCAAAGTCAAGCTGAAGGAAGGGTGGAAAGCCCTTGGAAACCTAAGTTTGATGCTTCAGGGACAGACACTGTGGCATACAAGGACCGGGAGAATTTTAGTTCTGGCTTCAAGGAGCTCGAAGGTTCAGCAGACACTCTTAACGGCAGTGAGGAGCCTGTAAGCAATAACCCTGGATCGGTCTCCATTGAACCCATTCCCGGCCCGGTGCGAAAAACATGGCAGCGAGGCATCGGCTACTATGTTAAGTCACAGGTACGCCCGTCAAGGAGGGCAGAGGTGGGTGCTACTGGTGACGTGTTACCAATACTGCCTCATGGAGCTCGAGATGTACCTACAGCCAGCATTGAGCAACAGAAAGAGGCTCTTTTTTCGGCCTTGCGGACCCGAGATCCTCATGCCGTCATGAAAGTTATGCTGGAGTTGGCTGCATTCGATAGTAGGGAGCCGTCGGCACTGATGTCACTGCCCCCGTCAGCTTTTTCCGAGGTTCTGCGTTGCATGGATCCGAAGCACTTTCTCACCCGTCATTCGCAAATCTATAAATCAGCTGGCCCATACACAATGAAAGTTCTCGGATTGGATCACCATTTCCAGAAAGAAGACTATTACTACTTCTGCAGCATTTTTTTGGCTCAAGTCAAGGACGTCATAAATACTCGAAGGCCATGGTGGCCGCTAGCTTTATCGGATTACAAGTACCTACTCAAGTGTGCCTGCTCCATTGGTCATGCAAAAGCAGCAGAGGAAATCTGGCGGAGCATGACTCTGCCATATACGGAGTGGACGGTTGATGGAACACAGATCAAGCGAGAGCCATTGGATCCAGATTTGGAATGTTACAATCTGTTTCTGACCGTGATGTGTTGGCGAGAAAATAATAACCCAACTCAGAGATATCGACTGCGAGTAATACCGCTCAATCTTGCTCCACGCCACCGGGAGGATATTCCAAATGAGCTCAACGGCCATCGCGTTGGGTCTAATCATGGTATCAAAGCCCAGGTATCTAGGGTCTTTCGGAGAATGGTTCAGGCTGGAATAGCTGGCAACGAGGAGACTTTCTGTTTGTTGATGACTGCGTTTGCCCGCGAGGGTGACATGCTCGGTGTTGAAGCGATTCTCAAGAAGGTTTGGTCGATTCATGTCCCTGCTCTGATGGCTGGGAATGAGGCAGAACTTCTACCGGCTACGAACTACCTTTCAAGCTCACCATTCTACCCTTCGAAACACTTTCTATTCACCATCTGTCACATATATGGCATAAACAACCGTATCCCAACCGCTCTATCGCTCATCGATTATATCTCGCGCCAATATTCACTACCAGTGCCCCTCGAAGCTTGGGACGAATTGCTCGAATGGACTTTCGTCCTATCCAACAAGACCATCCTTCGCCGGAAATGGCGAGGTAGAGATGGCATCTCACGAGACATCGGCAGGCAAATCGGTGAGCTCCCACCCGAAGCCGTGAGCAACCTCTGGCAAACCATGATCTCCGAACCATACAACGTCCAACCAACCATGGAAATGTACGACAGGTATATGACGAACCTCCTGTACCGCCAACGCTTTGGAGAAATGCAGACTCGCATGGAAGAAGCCCGGGAATTACTAAAGAAAGATGTTCGCAACTTGACAAGGAAGAACATCGCTTTCAAAACTTCCATGCGACGATCTACCTCAAGTATCATAACCGAGAAACGCGCACGAGACGCAGTCTTAGCCCTTCTTCACGTGAACCGAAATCGCCAATATATCAAACGATGGGTCCGTCTCCTCCTCACACGGGGCTCCTACACACTCAAGAGATCCGATTCTTGGTCTTCGCAAAATGTCCCTACTATTCTGGAGAAATGGTCGCTCTTCTTGCCCAAGCTAGTGAAATACTCCATACAGACAGGTCATGTGGTTCTTGATACGCAGGTTGAGGGGAATCAGCGGCGCAGGCATATACGACGAATCAACCGCGGCCTGGGATTTGGGAGGAGACCTGTTTCCAGGACCAAATCTTGGCATCAAAAGGTTTTCAAAGAGAGGAGGATTTTTTCTTTTGGGGACCAAGGGACTGTTGAGACTGGTGACGCGAAAGATAGTGGTGGTCCTGCTGTGCAGAGTACGAGTGCACATGGTCTTGATGATGAAGACGATGATGAGGATTGATGCATATACCGTGTATATATCACTGAAGTATAAGTGTTAATAAAAGTACAGTGTACAGTATAAACTCTAGCCTCTTCCGAGCACTTTCTTTTTCGTCCACGTAATGCAGCACCAGTGGAATCCTCGTAGAGGTTAATTGCACTCCACAAGTCCTGGTTTCTGCGAGGGCTGCCTTTGCTTGCTGTGTAGCCTGAATATCACTCTCTGATTGAGTATCTGTTGCTTGCAAACCCCAGTCTCGTTGCCATCGTCAGGTCACTGGCATGCTCCTCAGAGCAAAGCACTTCTGGCCCAGTCAATACTTGAAACCCCGCTATGCCTTCATTGATTCTTCTAGAGCAATTACTCCAGCAGCTCAGGAGAAGTGCATCAACAGATCGTAATAAGAATATCTTCATGTCAGTGTGGCAGTCAGCCTGCCAAATGGCCGAGAAACAGATACGAAACTGGCTTTCGACTGTCAAGTTGGCGGTAACACGCCATCTACGTACTGAGCCCTGAGCCACGGTCATAAGAAACCGAGAGGATCCTCCTCAAATTGTGATCAACTCGCTGTGCTTCTGTTGGCATGTTGCAGAAAGCAGAGTGTGTCTCAAGCTCGCAACACATCCAATCCGAAATGCGAAATCGCCCTAGGATCAACCCCCCATGAATTGTATAGCTCGATATCCCCAGGGTACTGGGTTTACAACTGCAGCATCCTATCCGCAATCTCCGCATCAGCGGTACTAACCTCCCTATTAACTGTGTGATTGTTGCTAATGTCTTCCGCCATAGCAACGATTTGAGACTCTTCGGTGGCTGAGACGTCAACTTCTTGGATTGGTTGCGAGACTTCGGTCTTCTCAACCACACTGGTGACGATGGGCTTGAGATCGCTGCCAAGTTCTTGTCAATTACTTCCGTGTTTTTTCTACAGTTCTGTATTATTCTGGTGAAGTTGGAGGGCAAGGACGAAGATAATATGTGGACCTATGATAGAGCGCTATGTACTCCACGATTTGCTTGCCAAGATCAGTGTTTAGACAAAGTAGAGAGCGCAAGGTCGATTGATATCAGCATGCAGTGTAACAAGACTTAAGTACTTTCCAAAAACCTGCTAAAGACACTTTCCGCAAACGAGTATCATTTCCAAAGAATATTGAACAACTCTGAGTCTTCAGTATTGGAAGGTGTGAATACTCTTAATGAGATCGATGAAGTTTCAATATAAGCACAGGGATAAGTGCCTGATCTGCCCGTCTGGCAGTATTGTACCATTGATAAAATTGTTGGCTTCTGTGGGCCGGTACTTGCATCATTGCCAGAATGACTCTCAACCACAGGGAGATACAGAGAGACGTAAATCTAAAACCATCCCACTCTGGGATAGTGTCAAATCGTTCGATTAATTAATTATAAAGGCTTGGCGGGGACTGTCCTCGATATCTTACAGTGTGGTTTGAGCATTTCAGCAGTTGGCGCAAGTTGCGCTACTCAATGTCCTTACACTCAAGGCTGGTCAGTTGATCATAATGGCGAGCAAAGTTGAAGCCAAACTTGCCATTGGCATCTTCAATGTAAGGTATGGACCACGTGAGAGCTTCTGGACTAACCCGAGCAAGAAAATAATCCAATAAGTCAGCAAGATCAAAACGTCGACACTCAAGCTCCTGTGATACCGACGAATGGGCGTTTGATGATAATGCCATCGAAAGTTCGCATTTAAACACGAATATCGACACATTCCAGCTCTAGAAATTCAACAGTATCATAATGAGATTGAGGATCTCGATGCGCCAAGAGCAGTCCGGCACTGCTAACTCAGCTCGAACCGCCTACGAGCTGAAGATTATGATGGCTGCGTACTCATGGGCAACCATGCTGAGGGTGGTTTTGATTCACATTATATGCCTGTGCTAAGGAATCACCTCACACATGTCTACAAAGTTTTAGCATCTATGAGTAATGACCGGTTATGGGATGTAAGCTCGACTCAACCACGAGGCGATTTATCGACATCGAAACAAGCACCACCTCAGCTCCCCGCCCGTTCAAGAAATAACTAAAGCACAATACCAATTCTTCAAGAGTCTATGATGAGCCCAATGTAAGTGTTTGAAGCTGTTTGGTTATTTGATGGCAGTGTTCCAAGCGGTCCACTCGCGATCCGTTTTTTGAAACAAGCCTGGAACTCAAACTTCTTTCGCGAAACTCTTGCGAGCTCAAACAGCGGTGATGCTTGCAATTCGAAGTAGTGATGACACCTACGTACGAAAGAATAAGACGAAAAACAAAAAATTCCCTGTACAAATTCGAAGCTTTCTACACAAGCTCAGGTTTCATTCAGTCAGTGAACGGCCCATATTTTGCTCGGCTTTTTAGCGAGGATTAAGCGAGCAAGCCACGCGGCCATTGCGTTGTTTGGACCAAAGAAATCACGATCTTGACTTGACCAGGTATCGTAGCTAGATAAATTGCCGAGGGGCGTGGGGCGCAACGTGCCGAGGGACACATGTGATGCCTGCATGAGGCAAAGGCGTCTAGTTTAACTATAAACCAGTTATCAACAGCAAGTCTAAGATCGCAGCACAACATGTCAACACACCATAAACATGGTGGCAAAGACTTTCACCACAGCCTCAGAAGCGGGTAATGTTACTACCCATATGGGCACAACTGTCTCTCAAAATTCTAAGGACTCGATGAAATCAACATGGAGAACGTGGGACAGGAAAACCTGGAATCGTGAACAAAAGATTATGGATCTTCTCGGCTTGCACCCGACTGATCTTAATCGGGACGTGCCAGTCTTTGCGAAGACCGACAAAATGGCCTACGTTCCTCATCTAGAGGGCCATAAATGGATTCTATTTCACGCTCTGTGGCCTCTCTTAGTCCACCAAACATATATTTACATCACGGGAAAGAATATGCACTGGCTCGCTGCCTTTGCCTTCTACTCCATAACTTACAAATTCAACGCAATTCGCGAAATCCACAAGATGCGAGAGTTGGGTCATCAATACGGCTACCTCGATGGTGACAAGCATGAGCGAGACCAAGTTCCAGATTCTCGCACGAAAGAGGTACTTCACTCGCTCACTTCCACTGCAACGATACGCCCAATCGTGAGTTGTTTCCTGGCATACGCAACGAGTCAAGATCCCTTGTCGACATTCAGCTGGTATCTTCCTCTGGAGATCGGTGCGTACGGGGTCATATTGGATTTCTGGTTCTACTGGTACCACCGTGTTATGCACGAGAACGAGGCCCTCTGGCGATTCCACCGAACTCACCACCTCACCAAGCACCCGTCACCACTCCTCAGTCTCTACGCCGACTCGGTACAGGAGGTCTTCGACATCATCGGCATTCCGATAATCACATACGGGACAATGCGTTTAATGGGTCTGCCCATGGGCTTTACGGACTGGTGGATCTGCCAACAGTACATTGTGTTTACCGAACTATGGGGTCACAGCGGTCTAAGGCTGTACATCACGCCACCTACGACTCTCACTCCTGTGCTAAGATTGTTCGACGCTGAGTTGTTGACGGAGGATCACGATCTCCACCACCGCAAAGGATGGAAGAACAGTCATAATTACGGCAAGCAAACTCGACTTTGGGATCGTTTGTTCGGTACATGTCACGATAGAATCGAAGCAGTGGAGAGCAATATTGACTGGGATACCGCAGTATCGTTGTCACTTTGGTAATATCTTTGGGCTCGATTCTTTCGGGATTATTGCTTGGTATGGCTAGGATTTGGCTTCCTGTTGTAGCTGCATCTTCGCCCTACGGGCAAAAGGGAGAGATCTCCAGGGGAAAATGTTTGGATTCTGCGTTGGTGTACGCGGGGAAGCAGGGTGCAGCCATGTGAAGCCGAGGATTGTGATGAGTGCTGGCGTTACAGTAAATGATGGGTCGTGGGGCAGCGCTGTCGATCATCTAATTGGGCATGGTATGTATTTGGTGTATGGGACAGAGTGTATCAAATTTAGCCGAAGCTCGGCACCTGCATTGTTTTGCTTTGTATACTACCACCACGAGTACCCATTTTGTAGTGATTATAGCTATTGAACGATATCATGGTTACAATACACTATATCTATTATGGCGGAAATTCGCGAAATTGGTGAGACAAGAAGGAAAGAATGTGTTTCGAGATGAATCCATACGTGGGAATGTTTAGACAACTAGCATCTTCTTCTCTTGTAAGACTCCGCGAGAAATCGGCTTTGTCCGAAGTTCATTATATCGAATTCCGACGTAAATAAAACAATGATACCAGATTTTTTCATACTTCAAATCCACACATATTATTCTCTTACCTTTTGATGGAAGCCTCTCATTGTCAAATGTAGTTGGGCATTTTGAACATGGTAACAAGCATTTATTGGTATGTAGCTCGTCACCTCTGAATGATTCTTCGCGGTCAGTTCTATGGGGAGTCCATCGAGGAAAATATGGCAGGGGCTTATGTTCACCTGTTTCAATCAGCAGCTGCATACCTTTCCGACTTGTTAGGTGCTGGTTCTCGGATTTTATTCAGGCATCCTAATCTACAAAAGGATAACCCAGAGAAAGCTCATTCAGACACCATTGTCACTACGAAATATCAATAAGCTGCTTTGATTTCAAGACAATTGATTTCGTTCCATTCTTGTTCCTATCTAATAATGCCCCGTTAAACAGCCCACTAAAGTCCTATGACACAAAAGTAGTCATGTAACAGAATCAAAGTATGTGTCCGACATGTTATGATATTAATCTGATTAACATCCAAGTTTCATGCACCATTACATCCATTGCAGACCAGATTTACAGGAGAATGGCGAGAGCAAGAATGGCAAAGATACCAGTCAAGCCAACCTTGACGGAGGCCCCACTGTTGGGGCTGACCTGAATTGGACCAGTGGACGTGGGATAAGCACTTCCTGTGCTAACAACAACAGGTGCACTGGTTGTTGTTCCAGTTGGGTATGGAACAGCAGCTGTTGACTCAGCACTCTTGGTGGAAGAGACAGCGGGAACGGATCCCTTCGAAGTGGATGGGGATGTTTCTTGGGGAGCCGAACTTGAAGGAGCATTTGTTGCTGAGGCAGACTGGGTGGAGGACTGGGAGGCTGGTGCTGAGGTAGAGCCTGATCCACCCACAAAAGTGACTGAGCTGGCGCAAGAACCGTCAGCGGTCTTGGTAGCGATAGCAGCCTCGAAAGCAGCATCAATGCAAGAAGCTGCAGCATTTCCCCCAGCTTTAGCTCCCTCGGGGGACCCGGCGATCAAAGCAGCGGCGAAGTCGGAGGATTCAGTTCGGAGCTATATGTGGTATCAGAATTGCAACTATACAATAAACGGTACTTGAGAACATCTCAGTGAGTTAAATAAGTGAGGTAGATAGCTACCCTTTTAAAACGGGCTCATGAGTATCACAGGATGTATGGAATTGGGAAACCAACCGAAGCCAAGTTACCAGCAACGACAAACTGGACACCAGCAGAGGTGAATGCCGCATCCTTCGACACCACAGCATTGAGAGATGTAACAATGTTTGGAATGAGACTCTTGACAGCAGCTAGAATAGATTGGGCCTCAGAGTCAGAGACTGAAGTGGTAGCCTTCGCGTCGGTGGTTCCCTTCTTGATCGCATCCGAAAGACTGCTCTCAGCAGCGATGAGTGCCGCAGCGCCGCTGATATCGTTAAAAGCATTGACAGCGGTCGTCAGGCTTTGTGTATCCGAGTCGATAGTCTTGATATCGGCGAGGACAGTGGCTGCATCGCGGGCGAGGATAGCAGCATTACCAGTAGCGGCAAGTGCAAGAATGACAGCGGAGGACTTCATTTTGAATAAGCGGTTGAATTCTGCGGAACGAAGGTAGGCGCTGAGATTTTATTCCGAGTTGAAGCAAATGCAGGTGCGACGAGTGAGGAGTGAGGAATGAGGAATGAGAGAAGATTACGATGAGGGGGGGGGGGGGGGGGGGGGGCGCAACAGCTCCTTGAAGAGCGCCCTTATAGCAATCTTCCATTAGTATCGAGGTCCACAACTCGAGCACGAAATCTTCTTACGGAACGAAAACCGAAAATCATGTGCTCGCCTCGGTTACGCTGAGCTCGCAATCTTCGGAAATTGCGTTGTATTGCATACCGGTAGTTGATGCTCGATACGGAAATGGGTAGTCAGAGCAGGCCCTTCTCACCCCAGACTATTGCGGCGAACTTACCTGTGTTGAACTCTACAGAGCCAGAAGTTGCTATCCCACAGCCAACTAAGTCTGAAATGGCTAGATCTCCTTCTTTACTGTGGTGATGCTCAAATTGCGGAGAAGAGAAGCAGGGACAGTTCCCCAGATTGCCCAAAGAACGCCCGTTCTACACAAATATCTCCATCTTCTATGGAGCGCATAGCAACATGGAAACCACACTACTGCAGATATTCAGACATGCAGCCATGTTCCAATTAGATAATTTCTCGTCTACTCGGAGATTTTGCCTTGTTTCTTGCTGATTGAGGAAAGGACAGGTGTTGGGAAGAATTCAGCATAACCAAGATTTTGTACAAGTGGAAGGTCTAGTCACGAGGGCTACTCTTCCACATTTTTCAGGACTATAACTAACTTTAAATGTTAAAGACTATAGCGTCGTAAATTACTTTAGGAGTCATTGTGCTGAGACCCTGAACCGTGCCTTGTGCTAACCAGCTTAGCATACCGCAGACGAACTATTAGTATCTTACTCGAGCCTCGGGACGATCTTCTGTACTTTGGCTCATATGCAGCTCGTGAAAGCCGAATCCAAGAAATAGAAGCAAAGATACAGCCAGAATCGCTGTAAAAAGGGGTTAACGACTCTCATTTATACCAAAGCCATCAGAAATGTCCCACCTCGCACTGCGATAGACGCTTCTGAATTGCACAGAGCATTGTAGCCCTTTGGAAGGAAACAGCCAGCGAGCACAGACTCAGGAAGCCTCGGAGGGCAGTGGAGGGACTGATCCCCACAGCAATTTTAAGCTTTTCCTCTGATGCGGAGAAACATTCCGTAGACTACTGTAATTTACTCCATTCTCTGCAGCACAAGGATGTTTGTCGATTGAGTCTCCGTTAGTGCTGATTCAAGTCACGAAGCCAAACGAATGAAATGGCCTGCCCCTGTTGTTTATTGTAGCCTGAAAGCTTAGCGAGCACACCATCGCTGCACAAACGATCCAATACAGTTACTCGTCCGAGAGATTCATAGTCACAAGGCACAGGTATGCTCTTCTTTTACGAGGTGAAAGAAAATCAGGGGGCAGAAAGGCGCAACTGAGATTTGTAATTACGTACTTTCACGTAATTCAGTACTACACAAGAAATTGCAGTTTTATTCCTTGCTTGGCGCATTTCCGAAATCCTGGTGTTCTAGGGGTCAGGATGCGGCATGTCAAGACACTTGACTTTTCCCAGCAGGAGTCCGCTGTAAGTGAACATCTACAACAGCACCGACGTATGCAATAATTAATGCTTCCCAGGCAGGACAGCAAGGACAGCGTATGAGAAATATGCATTGGCAAACAAAGACCACGACTGGAAGTCTTTGAGCCAAGCAGCGAGTTTCAATTTACTTTTTTGATCGGAACAATCATTCCAGGTCCTTACGTGTACCTCCAAGTGTGATCTTCTAGGCAATGTCTCCAGTGATGTTGAATTTTTACGAATATGCTCATCAATCCTTACCAACATTCACATTCACTCTGTCGGAGGGATCTGGCCACCTCTTTGGCCTTCCTTCCCCAAACATGGAAATGATCGGGATGAATAAGACGAAACCACCCAAAGGACCCTTATAAATCTCAAACGTTCTCTCAAATAACCCATATTCGCGATCCATCCGGGAACATCAAAGACCAACAGACATGCAATGATAGAGCGGAAACTGCCAATATCAACCAGAGCAGGACCTGCCATATGGGGATAGTGCTCCAGAACATATACAACTCCGATAGAATCGGTCGTAAGCAACCATATGAAATGAATCGTAGTCCAACCACGAATGTTGGCCAACCATACTTACCCGGCTCGTCACTCTCGAGCCTGAACAAGATTTTGCTAATCAAAGATATGACGATCAAAGATATGACAGTAGATGGGATCAAGTTGAGAGCCTGCATCTCAGGATCTCTCCTCCCTCGTCGCTTGGCTGTGAGGTCGGCAAGACTGTCGGCGAGAAAGCCAGAAATGAGGAAACGGCAATGGCAGAAGTTAGCACCGAAAACAGAAGGAAGCCAAGGGCCACGGCCATGGTTCTGCGAGAGGCTGAGGGAAACCGTGTATCTGCAATTAGGGTTACTACGATTTTTGCCAACTTGAGGAGCGTGACGAAGACAATGTGAGGATAGAAGAATATCCGGAGTGTATGGACAAATGCCAACTGCCCTCGTTGACATAGCTGGTCCTCCCCATAAAATTAATTTTCGTTTCCAGGAGTGAGGAGCATGTTCTGTGAGGTCGATGGGAGGCCGTGAGCGGCCACGGGATATACCCTCTCAAATGAATTGTAAGTAGGCAATCAAATAACATATTGGAGGCACACATACTCATTTCATTGTCAGATCGGTAGTAGCGAGTTTCCGACATGAAGAACAACACGCGATCCAGGAAACTCCAGCTGCGATCGCTGTAATGAAGTAGACCCAGTTCCAGTTCACACGAATGATCATCCAAGGGATAGCCATACGCAGGACTACGATTAGAAGCCCCTGGATTCAAAAAACTAAGCTGATGGCCTTATTCCGCTGGTGTAGGAATACCATATCTGATATGACATGTGGAACCAGGCTCTCGACCGTTCCTGCAACAATAGCTCGGATTGATCTGGCACCAAGAAGCGAGGTCAAAGAGGTGCGTGTGTTCAGCCCGTACCGTACCCCCAATAGCAATGAGCCTAGGGCGAGAACCCACGGGCCGTCCAAATTTTGTGGCCAAAGGCATGAAGAGAATATTGGATATTCTTATTATTAACAACGTGAGATACGACAGGACGGAGGAACTTTCTCAGATTGGTGCTCCGACGTTCTGATTGATATCTTCGAGTGCCTTTAAAGAATTAACGTCCTCTGGCAAGTGGATGTATCGAGGGATTTTTTATGATGGTGGATATTCACCTATCGGTGATATTGGACTACGAAGACATGGCTCCGAGAATAATTTCAGCAGCTGCCACCATTACATCAACTGGTATGTCGTCAGCAACTATACTGACCGATTAGATAATAGAGCCGGAGGTTCAAAGACAAAGAGATCCAATCGCTGCGCATGTTCGCCATTTAGGTAAGTTTGGGGGATCCGAGGACATACATATCATCAGCATTTAGCAGTTCAAAAAGGAGAGCTCATCACTACCATTTGGATCATCTGTTAGCATCACGATCAAGTTGAATTTATTGCCCTGATGGAGCGCTGCAGTATGTAATCGATCGACGCGATCTTCATAATCAAATGAGGGTTGTTTCTTGAGGACATTTTCCTGGCGAGAGCCCGGCTCAGGTGAGAATCTCCTCGACGACTCCATGTTCGCAAACGGTAAACTCAAATCAGAATATTGCAGCAAGCGAAGCAAAGAGTTTGAAGGAGCAAATGTGATTTCCCTCAATTGCACAAATAAAACGAGGGACCAAAGATGGACGTTTCTCTTGGGAGAGCTTCCACCTGAATGACAACCATGACCTTAGATACCGAGGGAGCTTACTCACTTATCAAGAGCTAGCTGTTGATCACAAAAAGGTTGGATTTTTACTGTTTAGATACTTCGATCCTGTAGCTTTTTCCCCAAAGCTATTTTCGTACATTACAAGCAATAAGGAAGTTGCTTGCTCCCCACCTTCACTCCACATGTTTCACCCCACAACAGGACACATTAGAGCAAATGAATATAGCATACAGGCTCACATTGAATCCAATCTTAGGTCTAAAGCACAGGGCTCACACCTTGCAAGATTGTTTTGGATTGCAGCTGCACTAAAAAGTCGAAACCCTGGAGTGGCATGATTTCTATGACTAGCCAACACGGCACTAGTCATGTACTGTTGATAGAAGCTAGGTAGTTGTAGGTGAAAGTAGGGAATTGACAGAACAAAGTGAAGTGTGTTCGTTTGTACTGATTCGGACTTCTGTCAGTGACAAGGGACCCATTGGGTCTGGAATATAGTACAAGCTGAAGTGTCCTTAATGTCTTCTGATAAATCCATTCCTGGCGAGGCTGTCTCCATACCAAGGTACTTTCCATGGCATGTGATGCTTGCTATGTGATTTGAGTCTAGATCACGTCATTCTGATCCATTTCCCGTAAAGCTAGAGCGACTGGGAAATATCGTCTTCTGGTGTATTAACATTCCCTATCAACCATTCCTTACAGATAATATCAAATTCACTCGCGAGGCAATCGATGTTTACATCGTCATGAAGTCCTCACTGTTCACCATTGTTATGGCTGCCAGCGCTAATACCTCGTTGTCTTCCATCTTTGCCCAGGCATCACAGCAAATTTCCTCAGATATTTCCCTCGGATATCTCTACAATTGCCAATGATGTGAAAGCATTAATTGATACTATCAATGCTTCTAAGTAAGTTCTCTGTGAGCTTTTCTTCCTTCAGGCTCCTCTAGTGACTGAATTCGCCGTACCTGCCTCGCCCGTGTTCTCGATTCGTTTGGTAAGCCGCAAGAAAAAAAAAATAGAGACTGACCATGTATCAATGTTCAGAGGAAATGCTGCATCCCCAGGTTCCAGTCATGTAAGCCGAGAGCAAACTCGACGATTCTAACAAGCAGAGAGCTACAGATGCGAAGGGAACCTGAACTCTTTTGTATACCGGCGCAACCTTGATTGGGCGCTGTAATTCCTTGATCCCAAAAATCATCCCCTCCGTAAACGCTTTCGTTGGACAGCAGCCAGCTTTTGAGAAGACGGGTCTGGCGGAGGTTGCTTGAAACGATCTGAGCTCCTTGAAGGCTGATACTGTACCAGGGTGTTTGCTAAGGCTCTGATCTCAACCGCCACTTCTGCTTCAAGGGCAGCAGCAAGTTCTGCAAAGGTTTATAGAAATGGAGCTTTCTCGAGTGCTGTTTCCGATTCTACGGCAAAAAAATGCGGCGGAGCAACACAGGTCACTTTGCGTCAGACCCTTCTGGAAGCTCAATCAGTCAGCGGCAATATCTGGTGGACAGACTGCAGCGACGATAGTTACCTGCTATTTCCGCCTCGGCTTCTACGACTACATCATCGACGAATGTAGCTGTACAAACGAATGCGTAAGTGAATTTTCTAATGTTTTTGATCTCTGTGCTAATTCCCATAGTGTTGCATTTCTGCGTATCTTTCTGCCCTTTGTAATTGTGCTTGCCCTACAGGTATCATTGCTAGCACCCAATCTGTGCAAGTCGTCCGGTTGTGAGATCCATACGCGAATCGCCACCAGGCTTGGAGATTGAAACGTCTGAAGTGTCAGATGGGACGATATCACTCTTGAAGGAAGACTTCAATCAGAGCGCACTTTGAATACGGCTTCTGGGTGCATAATTACAAAGTTCGTGATGCAATTGCAACTCCATGAATCTCTGGTTTCAAGAATATTGGGGCTTGGCGATCGCGGATTCCGTATTCCACCCAACTCTAAGGCTCGATTTTGGGGGGGGGGGGGGGGGGGGGGGGGAGAGCAGTTTAAGTGATTGAATTGCTTGCTGCGGTTTTATTGCCTTTTGATGACCTCCTAGCCTCAGTCATGCAAGATACTCAGCAATACCTAGCTCTGGATACGCCAAAGCAGGGATTGGTGTATCCTAACTTCATGTCTACCAACAAGCCCAATTCCCTGTCATAGTTTTACATGGGTATCTAGAAGAATGAAGGACAGAGAGATACCTTTGTTCCTGGACCATGCAGAGCGAAGTTGAACTCGGTTGCATGATCGGAGAAGTAAAGCACTTCCTCACGGAGAAGACGTGGATTATCGAACTCAAAAGTAATATCAGCGATGGATTGGGAGAGTGTGCTGGTATACATAGCTATTTTCGTCACCTGAGAAAAGGGAGAGGTGATATGGCGCCGCCACAGCATAGATATGAGGGCGACGAGGAGCAAGATGGTCAGGATGATCAGGATGAGTTTGCGACTCATTTCTATTTTTGCTGCTCATTTTCTAGACTCAAGAAACGGTGTACCTTTTTATGACCTTGGGGAGATCCATAATTGATGCGTGTGGATGTACCAAATACTGTGTGAACATGAGTACTGGAATACTAGAATCAGGAGAGGAGTGAGAGATGACCTGACTTGTGCTGTCATGCCGGACAATGGCGGGACCAGACTGCCAGAATTGGTTTACGCATGTAAGCACCCAAATCAATTCCCATATGATACATACTGTTACATTGCTGATAGCATAAGATGAGGAGGATAGCAATTTTCGGCGAGAGATGCTAATGAAAGAGGCTATTGTTGATCTTACAAAGGGGCGTACTGTGCAAGGAGCAAAGTTTCCCTGCGCGTCCTCCTTATCCTGGTCTCCCGGTCTCTATAACGGGAAGGTCGACTACTTCTGCAGAAATGGCTCTTCACATTTCAAGAAGAATTATGTAGGGCTTAGATGATGAATGGATTGAGCAGAACTTTGAGCAATTCCTCATCCCACCTGGTTCTTTCAGCTTGTATCATCAGTCTCCATCTTCTGCTCAGTGATCGATCACTAAAATAGACACCAGTCTACAAAACATACCTGGATCGCAGTATCAATTCCAAACGTCCTTGGCAAAGGATGCTTTCATAAATATTCAGTCCTGAGATCTACTGTCCATTTCAGTCAAAACCCATTCTTAAAAGTCCCTTCTCGCCTCACGTCGTCCCTCATCCGTCTGCTTCGCCTGCCGCCTAAGAACAGCATCCATTGCATCCATCCCTAAGTACCTCCAGACCCGCACTCTTCTCCTGATCCCCCTCACTAAGTCGCGAGGTCGCATCATCCTTCCTAGGCCCCTATGGCATTTCCATGTTTCTAAAAACCTCGTGAAGATGCGGTTGGTCTTGGAACATCGGCTCACGATCCTGACGTAGCCGCTCTTTCTTCAAGCGCACCTTTTGCGTATCCTCCAGATTCATGAGCATCGTCTTGGAATCATCCAGTTTCGTTTTGCTCGACTCTGTAGATGATACGAGATTTTCTTGGACATGAGTCGATCTTTCTGGCTTCATGACGAGAATACTAGGATCCCAATCGTCCATCTGTCCCATGTTCATAATCGAAGCGGGTTGGAATTTCTGCTCCGCTAGAACGTAATTCTCCTCCAATAGCTTCCAATTAACTACTCCCTCGGGCCTCTCCTCAATCCGTGGTCTGACCCAGGTATCATCTTTTACGAAGTCTTCAAGGTTGTCTGCAGTCCACGTCTGCCACTCCTCATCAGCCTTAGTCAAAATATCTAAGTGTCGGTACACGCTCAAGCTATTGCTCATGTCTTCCGTACGGATCTGGGCTTTGCCGCCCCATTTTACAAGACCTGCTGTACCAGCTGGATACGTGACATTCAGGGCTTCAACTTTACGGCCTGTGCTGAGACTGTGCATCAACGAGACGGAAACTTCGAATTTGCCCAGCTTGGTGGCGAAGCCTCCTTGAGCATAACTCAGCCACTTGGTGAGTTGGGGAGTGACTTCCCACGTCTTTCCAAGAGGAGTAAGGAGTTTGATGCCTAGAATACCTTGCATGAGGACAGTGGTAGGGCCAGCGGCCCATCCGTGAGCGTGGGAATTCCGAGCTGGGGACCAGTAGGCAGGGTAGTGCACGTAGCCATCGATTCTGTAGCCTTCCAGGAGGGTCGAGTTGGTCATTCCTGGACCGTCAAGCATATATCCCCACATGAGTTCGATGAGTTCTACAGCGGCATCATTGTTGTTCGCTGCGCTGTGGGCCAGCAATTCGAAAGACGATGCAAATGGAGAAATGACGTTTGGGAATTCTACGGCTGGAGCGCCATACTTGATCCATCGCTTCCGTAGATTCTCGGAGACATTGTATGCAACAGAGTCAGATGTGTAGACATTCGACATGAGGACCCAGCTGTTGCCGTCTTGAGGCAGGACCTTCTCAGGTCCATTGCAGCCACGTCGTCCAAGATTGTCAGCATAGAGACCATCCTGCTCACAGTACAGGATCGATGAGATGCCTTGTTGAATCCTGGCACGCGTGGTTGACCATTTTTCATCGTTTGATGAGGTGCTCTTGCCAATCCATTTTGCTAGTTTAATGCTGTTTCCAAGCACTTCGTAGAGAATCGCTGATGCCTCGACATTGTGACCCGTCATTCCTGGCCGAATCCAGTCGTTTGTAGACGACACGTGGAGAAGTCCTGTGCTATCGACCTTATTGACACTGATAACTAGTGCTCTCAAGTAGGCATCCCACTTCGGTTTCAGCCAGTCTAGATCTCCAGTGTACAGAATGTACTCAAAAGTTCCGATCAAAGTGTGAAGATGGTATGTATCACTGAACTCTCCGAAAGCGCCCATAGGCGGTCCAGCATATGGCATAGATCCATCGGAATATTGTCGTTCATAGATAATATCCAACGCATTCCTCACAGCCAGCATGTCGTAAGTGGAAACAGCAATTCCAGGCACGGCGATAGTCATATCTCCTGGCCAGACCATTCGATCTCGCTTGGCTCCATCTGTAGTCACAGTCTTCCCATGCGCAATGGTATAGTTCGAATACCATGCCCCGCGCGGGGCAGTGTTGTGATCAAAAAAGCGATTGAAGTCAATCAGGGATCCTCCTTCTGTTGGATCCAACGTCGAAAGCTGTAGTGTCCAAGCACCTGCATACCAAACACGATTCAGCATCGAGGAGGAACTGTCGAAATATCCAGTATATGCCCGGCCATTCGGATTTGAGGGGAATGCAGTACAGTTGACCCAAAGTTTCGAAATGGTAACAGCAGGCTGTTTCGACGTGTCGTTCTTGGAAGGGGAGCTCCATCCTAAGTATTTCTGGCCAAGTATGCTATACCAGGATTTTTTCTGCACAGCAGTATGCTCTCTCTTTGGGGCCAAGTGCCCATCATGCCAGAGGTATCCTCCCTCCGTAGGAATGTCAGTCTCGGGTATGAAGACCGTCAGGTACTTGAAAGCCCCTCTGGTGTACCCTCCACCCACACAATTCGTGCCCGTCGTATTTATCGAGAATGCTAGAGGCAGGTCGCGTGCTTGCGCATCGCCAGTCGCGTCACATTCGCGACCTGTGAAGAAGGGAGATTCGGAGTATGCGAGAACAAGGTAGGGATGATTCTCAATTCCTTCCACTTCGAAGCAAACCCTGAATCCTGTCAGCAGAAATGCCTTCCTTCTCTAGCAATCTGTAGCACTTACTTCCCAGCGATATTCTCCTCAAATTCGAAAGTGATCAAGCCTCCAGTGCTGATCACCCAACTTATGCCCTCCGTCTCGGAATCTTGAAGGACAGCTTCTGCACCCGAAACCGCGCCCTCATAACCAAATATCCTCACGGGCGTAATGTGCGACTTGTTGACAGGGGCACGTATGTTGCTCTCCCAAGGGCCAGGAAAGATGGTATCTAGGGGTAAGGACTCGTAGTCTGGGCCATCGTATTTGGCAGCTTCCGCAAATGATTCGCCAAGGGAAATTGCGCCAATGATGAGAGCAGAAGAAGAGAAATGCATGGCGTTGAAAGAAATGCTGGATGGAAATACAAATGCTACGTGAACATGATAGGTACGCTCTGGAGTCAATAATGTAGTAACGAGGAAGTGGGGAGAGGAGATCCGGGGAAGCTGTCTTCAGGTTTAGGTATTACTGTATTGTGGGGAAAGGTGGGCTGGAGGGGTCAGACGACTCCAAGGGTCTTGGGCTCGGAGGTCATCCTGCAATTTGGAGCGCCAGAGCACCAATGAGCAGCCAGCAACAAGCACGCTCAGCCAAATTTCCGTGCACGAGTCATGGAATTGAAGACAATCCGGGGGCACGAGTAGGTGACACTATCAGCAAGATATTTCAACACGACTGCCACCGAGATATGTCGGAAACAATTGTCCGAAGTGCCGTATATGGAGTTGGTTGTGTCATCGTCATGTCGACTGATGCGGGTATCTTGTGGGGAGAAAAACACATCGATCCACTCTATGCCACATCTACACAGACCGTTCAAATGGACCTTGCCCTCACTCTCTCTTCCACGCATCAAACTCCTCCTTCAAATGCTCTTTTAATCTTGCAAACTTGTTCCCAAAGTTCATCCCACATCTCCAGCACAACATGTCACTATTTAAATACCCCTCCTTCGCAGGATGCCTCCTCACATCATCTTTGCTCAGCGGGAAATTCTCCAACTCAACAAAGAAGGGCGTAGCAAAACTATTGTAATGCTTCCTATGCTTCATACACTCCGAGTACCGATCCACACTCAGTACGTGGATGTGTAGATGGTTCATACTGGGATGAGCATGAATCCCGACCTTGACTTCCTTATTCCAATCCCTTCCAATAGGCATATCCTCCGGCCTGTGAATCTCCACCTCGCCATTCAAAACTTTCTCTCGGGGTACGTCCTGCACAGAGTATTTACCGAATTGACGCTGCAGTTCCTTGCCAATTATATCTCGAAGCTTTGTAGCTTGTTCCAGTACGCTGGCTAAGAATTCTGCGTCTTCGAAGGCATCGAAAGGATGCTGCAAGGTGTGTTTTTTCGACCGGGGAAGTAGTAGTGCGTGTACGCTCGACTTCGGATATAGATCGTTGATTGCGACGAAGCTATCGTCGTAGGAGATTATGCGTGAGGAGTCGTAATTCTCGGGATGGTCGATGTAGGCACCCAAACCGTCACGTCGATCAAACGCATTTTTACTGTAGGGCTTTTTAGAGATTTTTGTTGAGGGGGGAGGAGGAGCTTTTCGTTTGCTCATTATGGCTGAGACTGTCTGCTAGTCAGTGGATGAAAGCAAAGAGGATCGAGGGGTTATATACATGCGTTGCGCGGCTGAGATGGCGAGGCTGGCGAGGCTGAAGCTGCTGTCCCTTCTGTGATTGCATCTTGAGGCGACTTTTTAGACATTGTAATCAATGGTGTGAGTAGAGACTATGATGAGCCATGAGCTACTGCCTAGCCGAGACGTTTCGCTGCGAGGAACTTGAAGCTGTCTGGTCGTCGCGAAAAGGAATCTGGGGGGTTTCAGGACCAGTTCCACTGTCGAGAAACTCCGAAGATTTGCCGTTCCGCACTGTACCCCAATTTCGCTTAAGAACTATGTTTACTTTCCAGCTATCTCCAACTTCACGAGCGAGTCTGTGATAACGGATTATTTTCTTGATTGGGCGACTCTCATAGATCCACCCCGCTCGGGCTAGTAGATAACCTCACTCAGACATATTTCATCTTGGACGAGACTATTTATCTTGACCGGAGACATTTGACGTTGTCTGCCACGTTGATCTGCATTCCAAGAGTGGGGTGCATACTTCCAATACACTTTAAAGACGATCCAAAGGCTTTGGATTCAATTCATAATCTAATGCTCTTCTCTAACTTGCTCGAGTATTGATGTGAATTAACCTCTCCGTGGGCGTGTAAGTTATCAGGTCCACATACTAACAGTAACACCATTGAATACATACCAGGCATGACAGAGTAAGCTATATTTGTATTTGATATCTTCTTTCACATTGACACATCTTAATGCACGGCTCGGAACTCCACCTCCTATCCCAGAGACTCCGACTAATCCGACTTCTCACGACCCTTGAAGCCGCGGAATCGACAGAATCCTCCCAGAATAATGTATCAGTCCCCCTTCGTGGCACTATCCTCTTGTTCTGGAAAATTGGCCCTCAACTGGCGCACTGAGGAATCCTTCCTCAACAACCTTATCCAATTCACAACACCCATCAAAATTTTGGGATTTGCAACCTCTAGTAATCCACTTCTTCAACTCCCAGTCTCCAAACCCAAACAGCATCCCTGTACTCTACCTCCATCGGTTGCCTGGCTCCATGAATGAGATCAGTAATGCTCTCCCCCTCCTGACTCAAGCTTCATTCCACGTCATTGCTCCCTAGAGAGACAAAAGAGGGGGAAGGGGGTAGAAGAGGAATCATATAAGAGGATTAAAGTTTAAGTACTCCTACACGAAACACGCTTTGACAAAGAAAAAGGAAGAATATCTATATTTATGGAATTATCTCCATGCTAAAAGAGAGAGTCTCCATGAATATGGAGATTATTTCCTTGATTATGGAGCGTTTGCCACCGTAGTGAGCGAAACAGGAACATGAAATAGTGTAATTCAGGGGTGCCGTATGGATGCTCGGAGGCAACACGGAGTAGTACGAGCATGCGCTTTGACTGACTTGGTCCTGTTTTGTTTTGTTCATTCCATACGCTGCTTATTATTCGCTTAGGAATGGTTGAATTTCCAATAGAAACAACCATCCAGCTTGACCCAGACGGGAACCAATCAAGCCCCACGGCACAGCAACGGCAAGCAACAGAGCAACTCCAGCCGAGCTAGCCTTGGAGCTGCTGCTTTAATCTAGATGTTGCCCGGGGCTTCTGACCTCGAACTCTCGGAATTGAAAATATCGCTGTAAATCTACGGACCACAGAGAAACTGCTGGCCAAATCCGCTAACTCGTCGTCAATAGAAGAAGTCTCGCTTATTGTCTTAGTATTCTATTCATCAGATGAGAAATAATGAGGAGAACGCAGCACCCTTCCAGATCTAGCCAGAACTTTAAACCCGGCTCAAGCACGACTGCCAGACACAAAAGAATACCTTCTCCACCTGGCACTCGTCGGACATCAAGCCGGACGGGCAGCGGAGCCCCAGTGCCAACTAGAAACAATGTGCTTTTGGAAGGGTTTTCGTTTGAACCCACAAGGCGGCCGGGCGATAAAGCAAAGCGTTAAAATTGTGCTCGATTACGGTACAACTTTTTCCAGCGTATCATATATGGTCCACAGCCTCGGCCTCGATGAGGAGTCTTTGGAGCTGATGTGAAAACGATAAAGATGTACGTTGCAGCCACTGATTTCTGTATTTGGCCATGGATCTAGGGATTTTAGAAGTCAGTCACTGATATTCCTCATATAGGACCCGAATGAGCCAAGCGGCTTCGCAGAACAAGTTCCTACTGAGTCCTGGTAGTGCGTGATCATGCAACTTGAAAGGTTCTTCATTTCTTCGCGAGTACCTTACCAATAGAAACAACAATACGCCAGCTCTACGGTGCCTCTAAAACGGAAATCTGTAATTAACCAGTTCGACTCACCAGAACTCACCAAGACTACAGAAATCGTGTACCCAAACAATTCAACGGCAAGCGGATTCGCTCCTCCTGATTATACATATCAGACGAACGGAGGAGAAGGAGAAGAGGCGGAAGCAGTCAATAAGAAAGATTCTGGAGCCGACTATGACAGACCAAGAGACTTCCTTTGGGATTATTCGGTATTATCTCGGAAATTTCAGTACCGCCACAACCGAGATGCGTCACTTATCGTCCAAAAAACTCAAACTCTTGCTCCTCAGTACATCATACACTGGAAGCACTAGGGCAAGATTGCAAGATCAAATCAAAAATCTCCTGAAGAAAAAAATCATTCGGAAGTACGGGAAGAAGGATGAGCCAGATATGAGGGACGTACAAGACGTCATCATCGATTATTTGACGGGGTTACTCCAGCACACCAAAAGCCAGCTCGTCATACATGAGGGGTACACTGATACCTGGAAAGTTGAATTCGATGTCGCTACACCCGCAATTTTGTCTCCCAAAGCGTCAAGGATCTTGAAGACCGCCATGGAGGCTGCTATTCCGGTCACCGGGTTGTAAGTTCACTTTCAAATCCTGTCGGACCTGCTTTGATGGGACTCTTCGTCTTGAGAACTCAGATCTTCAACCTTGTTATTTGTGTCGCTAACTCAATGAACAGTGTATCGTTGACAGATGGGGAAAAGTCGGGACAAGTCATTGGGGGCAGTATTGACAACTTATTCATTGCACCTGAGCCTGAATGTGGCATGACTTGGTTGCTACATAACCCCCCACCAGCCCATGAGCAGGTCATGGTAAGTTTCTTGCCCCTTATGCTTATTTAGCTAAGCTAAGAGTGTTGTATAGGCTGGGAACGTGATCAACTGTATGAACTATGGTGGGGGAACAGTTGATTCAGTCGCGTATGAGGTAGGCCGTGACTACTTACTCCGGCTGGGTGAACAGATCATACCGCCTGGAGATAAGTTATGGACGATCAACTTTGTTCAGGTTCAACAAAAAACATGGCTAGGTAACACCGTAACAGTTGTGGCGGCAGCTATCTAAATAGAATGTTTGAGCAATTTGCAGCATATAGACTTCATCATGAGGACTATTTATTCTAAAATTGGTACGCTTCTGACTACATCGTTGATAAAATATCAGTAGTGTTTGAAATGACGGACAAGAGATTCAAAGACGTGACCAAAACCCCACTGTCACTAGGACATTACGAGATCCCCAATTTGAAGAGTGACATCAGCAGAGGTCTCTTGGGTCCAAATGCCAAAGGCTTCGATGCCAACCAACTGGTGATGAACTGAACGAGTAAGTAGAGGTGTAGAAACCATCTGAGCAATCTAACTCTGCTGTTAGGAAGAATTACAAGGAAATTTTCGACAAAATAATAATGAGAGTTTGGAAAGTGTTGAACTCTCAGCTGGATGTTGCTGCTGAAAAAGGAGGTCGGTCAAGGTAGACCATCAAAAACAAAGAGGTCTACCCTCTTGGTAACAATTCAATTCTTCACAGGCCGTGTTACTCATTGGAGGCTTTTCGGGCGCGCCTTCATTGAAGAGTTTGATCAAAATTAAATTGAAGGAATACGAGAGCGAACACCAGCTCAATTACGAAATCAAATTGATTGAAGATTCTCGCAAAGCGTGAGCATATTTCATATACCATGGCTATGATCGATGTCTGGCTTGCCCCTCCTCGCTAAACAACCAAATAAACATGGATGGATTCGGTCCAGATCAGCAAGGTGCGGCATTATTCATACCTAGGTACTCGAGATACCTTACTGTACTGCATTTGGAATACGCCAATCGGGGCGCAGCAGAGAGCCCGGATTGAGGCAAGCAGATTGATTGGCTTCCAAGCTGGAGAGCCTGGGAACCTGGAGCTTGTTCGAACTTCACTTCGAAGTCCCAGGTCCCAGGTCAGGTGACTCAGGTCCCCTCAGCCCGGAGTTTTCGTAACATCCGGATTACTCATTCCCCCGCCACAAGCACCAGAAGTAGATTGAGGAGTAGTCGTACCCAGTGGACTCCGGTTAAGATGTGATGAGGTTGAAGATTCCTACCGTAAATTTACCTAACGTAATGAGTGATATTTGATTTTCTCACGCCCGGCTGTCTTGAGACCATATCGAGGCGTAGATAATTTTTTGTATTTAGTTATTTCCCCAGGTAAATGTAGTCGGGCTAGGTAGGGCCGCCGGCCTACGCAGCGCAGCGTAACTTACCTAGGTAACTTCGTAATGTACCTTACCTCCTAGGTACTTTCCGTACGAAAGTACCTTAGGTATTTCCTTCGCATGTGTAAGACGGCAATATCACGTGCTAGCCACCCGCTCCCTCGCTTTGAAATCAAGCTCCATTGAAGCCCACACCATTGGTCAGCCCCGTCTGCCTCCCGACCCGACGTGGACGTCTTCACCATACCCACCTGCACCCTCGCCACCTAACCTTACCTACAGTACTGGTACAGTAAATTACATACATTTATCGGATCTTATCTTAAACCCACATCACAACCACAACTCCGCCGTCCGTCCCCTTTCCAACTCCCTCCCATCCCATCCCATCCCATCCCATGCACATGCACTCACAGGCTTACCTTAGGTAAACCTGCCAATTTCCTCCATCAAGATCCAACCCACAACGCTGCCATGTCGGACGCTTCACCCGAGAGCTCGGCAGGAGCCGGTTCTACCGTCACGCTCGTGATCAAGGTACACAGCCCACAGCCCCCTGGCCTGATGTTGCGTCCGTTGTGTTCGTTATGTTATGTTACGCCAGCCAGCCAGCTGATGACATCCAGGCTTGTGATATGTGCCGTAAGAAGAAGATACGATGTGAACCAACAGGCCAAACATGTGTGCAATGCCTCAAATACAAGACCTTGTGTCACTTCACGCCGATTAGCACGAAGCGTGCAGCACGGAAGCCAGCTGGGTGAGTGCAACACAGCATCTCGCTTCAAAAGAGGCGGGGTATACTAGATAGAGATTGAATGCTGATCAAACATAGACATAAGCGAGTTGAAGAATTGGAGAAGCGATTGAAGAGTATGGAGGAGAGTCTGAAGCGAGCTACGGCAAAGCTTCAGCAGCCGCAGTCGAACGGAACCGTTGAGACGGCTCTGGCAAGGAGGGACTCAACTGTCCGGATTCTACCTGACGAAGTTGGGTCGACGTCATTCTTAGACCAAATGCGCGAGGACTTCCCCATTGATGTAGCAGTCAACATACCCTGGGACGAACCCCACCTACCAGATCTGGATATGAATTATTCTACCGGTATGTTTCTGCATAGTAAGCCCCCATGACTACGCTAAGCGAACTAGGCCCTCTTATCACAACACCATACGGTTCCAAAACAATGCCACCGTGGAACATGAATCCCATGACCGATCTTTTTTCACGCAAAGTATTCAGACCTCTCCCGCCGAAGGAAGAAATGCTCAAACTCATCCACATCTCCCTGCAAGGGGTCAACGGTGCATTCCCTCTCTACGACCAAGACTCTTTCGTCAAGAAACTCGATGATTTAGAGACTAGCATCCAGGAACCCGGTTTTTGGGCCTCCTTGAACGTCGTGCTAGCGCTCGCCTATAGATTTCGTATCGCCGTGGAGAAGGAAGGGAGCATGGAAGAGATAAATGCTTGGAAGTTCTTCCAAAACGCGTTGAGCGTCGTGAACCAACTCACTCTCCTACCTCCCTCTCTCATCTCCACACAAGCCTTGATCGGCATGGCAATCATATCACAAGGAACTCCAAATCCCGCACCCTATGCCTTCCTCAGCTCAGCAGCCATGAAGATGGCCCAGCAGCTCGACCTACATCGAAGCGCTCGATACCAGGCCGCCCAATATCCCAGTCTCAGCGCGGCCGAAATCGAGCAGCGCACGCGCGTCTTCTGGATAGCGTACTTCATGGACAAAGACATCAGTTTGAGGACAGGTCGACCACCTATCCAAGAAGATGATGACATGGATGTCAATGAGCCAAGCTACTGCAGGAACGCACCTGCTGGCGCCAATGAACACAATTTTTTCAAGTTACGTATCGACCTTGCTCGCATCCAAGGAAGAATTTACAGACAGCTGCTTTCAGTACCAGCGAACAAACAATCCGTTGCTGAACGAGTAATCGCAGTCCGAATGCTCGAGGCTAGTCTTCAGGAGTGGAAAGCGACTGTGCCGATCGAGTATCAGCAGGACTACTACGCAGTTCCGCCTCCTGCGATAGTATTCGAGATGACGCCTGCGCTACACTCGGTCATTCTACGATTGACGTATTTCCATGCCTTGAATACAGTCCATCGCTTCTCCACGCCGCTAAACCACTGGCAGAACATCATCGAGCAGCCTATGCCGATGGACCCAAATATGAGCCACGAGCCGCCTGCGCCAATCACATGTATCGAGGAGGCTCGGAAGGCATTGAAACTATTGCTAGTCACACCACAAGGGGATTTTGCTTGTATATGGTAAGCTTTCCGATCTTACCGCACTGCCACTTGACTGGATATACATGAATGGGATCAAAGACTAACGCAACAACCCAGGGTTGTCCTCCACATCTTCGTCTCAGCAACCACCACCCTCCTAGCTCACATCCTTTCCAATCCTCTTCACCCCTTCGCCCACTCTGATCTCCAGCTAATTGAGCCGCTCCTCAGCCTCCTCGGTCTTCTCTCCTTGCAAGGCAAAAACGCAGAAGTCGAAGGCATGTACGAGAGCTGCCGGACGATGTGGGAGCGTGCGCGTAGGACGGTGTGGGAGGCGCGAGGAAGTGGTATTGCGTATGGAAACGAGAATGGATTTGGAATTGGAAATGGAAATGGACTTGGTGTGCCCGTGAATCTTACACCGATGAACCTTACTCCGACAATTAGTGCGGGGAAGTGCGGGGAAGTGAAGGAGAGTTTGGAGGATTTTATGAAGAGGATTGAAAGCATTGCGGGAGGAGGTGAGAGTGCGTTTGAGTTTGAGTATATAAATTAGCGAGGTGTTGAGTTACGCTTTCATCTCGGGCGATGTGAAAAGAAAGTGAGCAAGATAGTAACGTTGTCCCAAACAAAGAAAGCGAATCAAAAGACTCTCGTACAGCTCGGTGGGGAAGCGGCCCAAAGAGCAGTGAGGTGTTGTGATGGAAGGATATCTCCATCAGACAACGAATTAAGCCCAAATAGGTGCGAGGTGTCCCTGCAGCTTCATTTGATCACATATCAGCAGAATACCAACATCAGGGTATCCCTTCCACTGCGAAATGGAACGTTTTGTCGGTACACGCAGAAGTGGAGCAGAACACCCTGATCTGGCTTGAGAAGCGAGGTAATCCCCAGTTGAAGTGAGCGTTCTATAAGAAAAGTATATCTCGATTTGCTCGCTAAGCTCGCTTCTCATCTCTACTCCACCGGGATCCAAAAGGTTAGCCTAGCTTCCACGCAACGCGCATCAACCGGGAACCAAGAACTTACCGCCAACTTTTCTAATTTAAGCCCATCCTCGCTTTGCCAATATCTCCACCCATGAGTCCTTATCACGTATTGCACCATTTAGAGAGTAATTACTCTCAACGAATCCTCAAACACGTCCACTAAAGCGGAAAGAAGTGTTTAGTGAACCAAAGTCCTTATTCCAAATGCGGATTATTTCGATGAGGATTTATTGTTGATTTCGCAGCATGATCCATTTGGGTTAGCGTTCCGACGAGCCTGAGGCTTGGTTGCACACGAGATCCCACACGTATGATGCACAGTTCAAGAAAGAGGATATAAAGCCAAATAGAAGCTCTTTGATGCACATTGCATCTCCAACTGGACCTCCACTCCCAAGTTTTTGCAAACTACCAACTCCAGATCATTAACTCAGCCCAACCCTCCAAATCACAAGCACCTGAACCATGCCCTCGCAATCTATCCTCCTCATTGGCGCAAGCGGCTTTGTAGGACCATACTTCAACGCCGAGTTCTTGGCGCAGAAAGTCAAGTTTGCACGTATCGCAATTCTATCCGATGCATCCAAGATATCCAAGTTCGAGAAAGAGGCTGCGGCGGGAGTCGAGATGGTCATGGGGAGTTATCTTGAGCCAGGATCTTTCAAAGGTCTTTCCCCATATTTATACACGCTCAGGCTCACATACAGCGATGGTTTCCGATTCAAAAAGACAGTGTACTGATTGAATTGCGGTGATGGAGGTTTCTCAACCATCATCAGCATGCTAGGCAACGTCCCCATGAAAGTACAACCGCAAATCATTACAGTAGCGCCGCCATCGCCGGTGGAGTAACACATTTCTACCCTTCCGAATACGGCTCCGACCTCTCCCAACCCGTAGCACTGAAGCAGCGCTATTTCCGGGACAAGCAGACCACACGGCGCCATCTCGAGAAAGTAGCCAAAGAGCACAACACTTTCGGATACACGTATATAATGAGCGGCGGCTTTTCCGAGTACGCGGCGCATCCAGCATTTGGTTTTGTCAAGGAGAGAAAGTTGGACTCTTGGGGGAGGACGGATAAATTGCAGCCGTTTGCGGGCGTGAGAGAGTGAGTTGCATATCCACGGTCACAATATCTTGTGACGAGGCGTGCTGCCTTGAAAGTTTTGACTGATGATGTTGACAGTGTTGCTAAATACCTCGTCGCTTCAACCCTCACGATACCCTCACCAGGCACAATCCTCGCCTCCGACAGCCAAGAACGCCAATTCAAGATTCCCACATCAGCATACACATGGGATGAGATCGTAACTCTCATATCCCGTCTCGAAGGCGTGGGTACAAGACTGTGCATCATTCCAATGAGGAAGCATATACGCAGACGGAGAAGTATGCGAAGGAGGGAGATGTGGGCCAAGAGTTGGCGTGGGATCTGAAAGCTTTTCTGGGAGATCCAAATGCGGTTCAAGTGCCAAAGCCTTGGGATACGAATAAGTTCCCTGAGATTGAGCCGGAGGAATTGGAGGTGAGCCTAAAGAGGTTCTTGGATGCGACGAAGTGAGCAGTTGGGATTTTGGGTGTCCGCCGGGAGTGGTGATTCTATCAGAATTTTAAACTTGTTACATGTAGTAAAGTCTAGTATTGTATTTCCACTCTTTACAAGCGGTCACCCGCTTATACTTCTCATCAAAAATTTCACCTACCCAAAACAGATTCCCAGCAACCAGCAACGCCTCCATCCAACTGCGAAGGCCCAGCCACCTCCCTGCGAAGAGCATCAAGTCGAGGAAATCCTCGGTGTCGTCCAAGCTCTCAGATGATACAGCGCCCAAAGTCAAGCACCAGAGCAGCAAAGGCTTGTGCAAAATCCAATGCTTGTACTTCTCTAGCCTGCAGAGGATGGTATGTAGCTTTCGGGAAAGTGAGGCTGTATCCATGAATCGATTGACGTGGTGAGGGAAGCCTCGGGATGGGAAGTGATCGTAGACTGCGCCAAGAAGCAACATCCCGGCTATTCTGCAACATTCTTGTATCAAATTGTCTGCTGTCGTGTTTTCGACTGGGATTGAGATCTCGTCCAGTCGACTGACGAGCGAGAACACTGCCGCTCGATTGACGACCACGGAAGGGCCATTTGAGGTTCGGTGGCTGAAGGAATCAGATTTGAGAGTCAACATCAGTGTCGTCATGTCGTGGAATATTGGTAGTAGAGGATATTCGTTCAGGAAAGAGTGTTTCCAAATGCTATGGTCTCGATTCAACGCTGGTGGGATCGGCCACGGTAGCGCTACTGAGGGCATGCTCGAATCGTCGGGCACTTCAAGTAGGGGAAACATAGTATTTAGCTTGTCCAGGAAGCATGTTGCTGCAACATCGATGCTAGAAATTGATCAGTCCATGCAATGAGACAAGATGAAGGTAGCCTGAAAGTGACTAGAAATGTACCAGCCCTGACATAAGTTGCCTGAGCATCGGATTGTTCACCAATGCGCCAACCCCACCTCTTCTCTTAATGATCTGATACAAGGCAGCCATATGCATATCATACGTTTCCCAGTAATAGGTTCGATGCTAGATCATGCTCAATCATTTAATCCTAACAGCCTTCAAGGCAGACACTCACACTAAAGCAAGCAAAAGCGAGCACGGTCCCAATGATACCATCGCTGGTTCCGAGGACAGGATCGTCGAGTCGTTTTCGAACAGAGTTGACAGCGCGTGAGTGAAGAATCATAGACTGTGGACATTCAGTGTCTCTACTGAGTCCATGTCTCTACTGAGTCCATGTCTCAGATTGTGCACATGGAGCGCAATGTGGGACAATATCTCATTGAAAAAAGCCGTTCAAATTCCCCAGTCGGAACCCAGAAGTCTTACATGTCTTTGAAAGGCCACAATTCAATATCAGGCGATGTATTGACTGATATCCTCCTGTCAGTAATCTTCTTTGGAGAACAACTGGAAGTGTTCGCTTACCATGATCATCCAAGAACAGCAACTCCTGATCCAGAGGTGTAGGGTAGCAAGCAAACGGGTCCATCCGCCCCGAGCCCAGCGACCAAGCAATGGCGACAGAAAATTTTGAACTGTGGCTTGACGAAGCATCTGGGAAAGGCGTCTCCACAATACGCTTGCTTTTGATCTTGGCTTTCTGGCCTGACTCTTCGAGAGGCGTAATCTTCTTCCGTCTAGATATGCCTATATCCTTCATGATATGTTTTCGAACATTATGTAGATGCTTCTTGTCAGTGACTCTCCCAGTCTTTGTAACCTCAACAAAACAAAACTGCAGGGACGGTCACGGGGGCAGGCATGAGCATGTGACTATCAAATGTATCCTCTGTTAATGACTTCTCAGCAGCAGTATCAGCTTTCACCATGACTTGAACAATGATATCGATCGTGACAGAATTGAGAATACCACTTTCAACTTTCAAATATGATGCTTTAAGGAGAGCTCTCGCCGTGAAACACGTAAGACCCAACGCCGACGACTGACAATGCTTTGTCAGCCCAAGGTCTGTACAGTAATCAGCGGACGCAGCCAAGGATCCATCCAACCAAGATGTTGGAGTACAGAGATAATCTAATCGGGATTAATACAGAAAGAGCCTCACATACACACCACTCGGGACCACCAGTCTAATATTGCCAAGCAAGACTGCATCTTCAGCCACACTGACTATACGGGTCCATTGTTTCCCAAGTATGTCCCCTCCAAACGATATCCCTGTGAAGTGTCGTCTCAGATCTAGTCTCTCTGTGCCTCTCTCATGCCGTCATGATAGAGCGATATTGCAAAGATGACATGCTTGATTTTCGATCATTCCGTCCGAGGAAGGTACAGGTCAAACAGCCAAGGAGCGTTTCTTGGTCTGTAGCTCAAGTCCATAATCGCAGCATTTACCATGAGAGTCTCCTTGCCATATTTGATCGAAGAGCTGCTCTTTTCCGGATAACTATTCGGTAGGTTACTCTGATCTTCGATCGCTTCCTTCCCGAAGGCCTTGTCGTTATCCTTCCATTTGACGATATGGGCACCATAGGCTTCATGAATATGGCCGAAGCAATAAAGCAAGGGACGAGCGCGGCTGACAGCGCGGAGTAGTGCCTCACATCCAACGTTGCCATCAGCAGTCAAATCCAGGATGCCTTTTGGTGGGCCATGGGTCATCATGATATCGACTCCTGGGAAATCTGGAATCGGGTTCTCGGTGATACACTCAACATTTGGAGCGACATGCTCGGGTGGGTTGAACCGGTCCTCATTCCGCTCGTAAGGGAAAGCCCAATCGCAAAACTCAGGCTGATACGGAGATGTGTAAATCTTGAACTTGGCGCCATTACTGAGTGTGAATGTATTGACACCCTCGACAAGATAGGTGACGCCTGCTTCCTTGGCTAATGGACCTGTCATGATCTCGATAGCGTCTTCAGCTTGTGAACGAGTTTCTTCGTCTGTATCAGATTCGAGTTTCCTCTCCCAGTATTTTTTGTCCAAATCCAAATCGTGATTCCCAGCAATGACAAGCTTCAATTCCGCCTCGATCGACCCCAACATGTTTAGCAGCTTCTTGTATTTGAGTGGACCGCCGACGGAGGTCAAATCTCCGCAGTGGAGCAGGACATCACATCGCGGAGTTGGCAAGCGGAGAGGGCCATTTACCTTTTCGGCCTGTCCGAAGTGGAAGTTGTGAGTGTCGCTGATGATCATAAATCTCGTGGATACTACTGTATTGGAAGACATCGCGGGATTCGCTGATTGGGTCTTTCCGAATCGATGCTGATACCTTCCTTGCTCCCTACGGCGAGGAATGACACCCTGGATGTTCGATCTGATTACTGATTACTGATTACTGATTACTGATTACTGATCGAAGAAGTCCGATAGAGTGACGACAGCCGCCAGCCTGGCGGTGGTCTTTGGAGTGTGGGTTGAAGGATTGATGGAGGAAGGAGGAAGGAGGAAGGAGAGCTTGCGACCACGACTGTAGTCTGGAGCAGGCAGCCGCATTGAGTCAAGGCAGGCGCGATAATATCTCAAGGCCACAATGTACCTTATCTAGTAATTATAACGTAGGTAAGGAAAACGTTACAATTCCCATGAGAAGGACCACTCCGCTCGTCGCCTGCCGAGAATTTTAAAATTGCTCGCGAGGATACCCACCTATACTACCTTTACAATCCAATTCTGAAGCACGTAGTGAGAGAGGCCCCCGTCAATTCCGATATGACACGTGACCACCGGAGCTCACCCCAGATGGCGGTGGATGTCATCATTTCTCGGCGGAGTTTCGACCGAATCACTAATCATACCCGTAGCTTCCGTGTATATAAGATGTAAGACGGAAATTGCTGGCTCTCTGGATGCCTTCTTACTTCAGCAGCAACAGACAAGTGTCTCCCTCGTCTCACATTCACGGCATCACGTGTAGTCAGCTTCCATCAGTCTTGCGTTCTCTAGTCACCATATTGAGTCTATGTCAAGAAAAAGTGATGGAGGTCTGCTACAAAGACGACTACTTTCCACCAGTGGCTTTTTGCCAGCTCGCTCTCGCCTCGAGAGCCTCAAACCACTTGTTGACATTGGGGTACTTGGCAAAGATATCTGCAAAGCCCAGTCCTTTGACCATCTTTCCGTATGGCAAGTGGAAAAGATCAGCCAGAGTCAACTCATCTCCAGCGAGATACTTCTGTTTGCCAAGAATGACCTCGTACACAGCAAAGGCATCATCGAGGCTAGCGGCGTGTCGCTTGACGGCTTCCTCATCGGTAGCGCCGAGTCCCTTCATTCTATTGATATTTTTAGCACTCTTACATCTGATCATGTCATTGTTTACAATGGAATTTCATACCCCTTGAACATCTTCTCAAAGCAGATAGCACTCGCTGGGCCATCGAAGTAACTCTGCTCGATCGAGCAAGCCTACAAACTCCCATCAGCATAATTTTTCACCTTCCCCGCACGTTGCCATCGAGCATACCTGCTCAAACAACCCATACGCCTTCAAATCACCCTCATCAGGAATGAGCTTCGTTCCCTGACCAGCATACTTCTTGGCAATGTACTTTGCAATGGCACGACTCTCAAACACGAGATATCCATCGTCGTCGAGAACAGGTACCTTTCCGAATGGCTGCAGCTTCAAGAACTCAGGTTGCTTGTGCTCTCCGGTTGCGAAGTTGATGGCGCGGAGTTCGGCCTCGACGCCCTTCTCTGCGAGAGCGGTGAAGACTCTCTGCGTGCAGGTAGAGTATGGTGAGCCGTGGACGGTGATACCCATTTTGTATGTTGTGTGGATCTTTCTTGTTTGGGGAGTTGAGGTTGAGGAAATTGTTGTTTGATCCGTACTTAAGAGAGTCTTTTCAGATTGTCTTTATTTTAGATTCGTCTTTCGATTCACTTCTTTTATATTCGCTAGCTGGCCTTCCTCGGCCGCCCACAAAGTATTTTCTTCGCTTGTCCCACACAATGCGGGCAGAGTGGATACATCGCGGCCACCAAACTGCCATGCTTACAATATCATGGTTTCTGAGAAATACCTAGGACACGGATACCCCAAGTACGAGCTTTAGCAGCTCCAGTGGAGCGGAGCTGTTTTATCCTCCGGCCTAGCTTCACGGCAGAGTGATTTGGCGACCGTGCGAGTTCCTAGTCAGATCTTACGATATCTTCTATTCCCCGGGCCGTTCATATGTCAATCCCTCACAACGCTCCTGCTCATTACCAAGAAAGGTTGACTTTGAATATTGTTGAATGACACAGCAGCCGTATCATCTCAAACCAACCCATTATTCATGTCTTGCACAAGATCCGGAGACGGACTTGACGAGGCGAGTCAGCAAGCGGGTGGGATCCGTTCATGCTTTACTGAACAGTCAACGACGACAAGCTGTCAACATGGGAGTTAGATTGGTCTTCACAGCCGAACCAAGCGAAACACATGCTCTGGCTGAACTTAACTTGTTTAACTTTGTTCCAGCTTCGCAATATAGAATAATGTGCTGAAAATGAACGAAGAATTTCCGGCTCAATATGCCTCATGTCCACCCTGGCGCCCAGCCCCGTACCCCGCCTCCTAGTGTAAGATTAGCGAGTCAGTACCCCACCATCTCAACATCATGCTGGTCTTGCCTGTGCCGGAACAAACTCACAAGTAAACAATCGCTTTTAAAAGCTGCGCAGACTCATCAACCTGCTGAACGATTCGAGTTGTGACTAGGCTCAAATTTTCGAAAACCCCCCCTCTCGCCTTGCGTCTTGCCTTAAAAAAATATGTCCTTGCACATTGCGCCGCATCCTGCAGCCTTCCCTTCTTCCCGTCTCTCATTGTACAATCACTCATCTCACCATCCACTTCCAACATCTGGGTGCACATCCTGACCAATCTCATCGTAGTCCAACCAAACGAGGGCCAGGATTCTGCCCGAAAAGGTGCAGGGTCTGCTCGAGGGTGAGCCTAACGAAATCGAAGGATTGTTTTTGGGAGAGCGTGGCGTCCATGTTTCGCAGCTAACTGTGTTTTGGTCTCGCGTATTTCAGTGCGGTCTGGAAATGAGTGTGTTGAGCGAGGGCGATTTGCTTTGCTTGTTCGGCAAAACTTGGTTCAGTTGATTCGGCGTGCAGAGGGGTGAGCGGTGCATCATGTCCTGGAGGAAATGTTTGCGGTGCAGAAAATTGGAAAGCTGAGGTAGGAGAGGGAAGAATTATATGTTGCTCGGGGCGCTGCACGCTGGCTAGGCTAAAGGTGATGAGTGGGTCCTCAATATTGTTTCATTTGGAAGCAGACAGGAAGTAGTGGGCTACGAATCTAATTGGGGTATCTCGAACAAATCTGTGGGATCTAGCTATACATTGCATCTTTCCGAGCCGCTCATCAACCTTATCCAAACCGCACTCACACAATAGTACTTCACAGTTGCGTTGGGAGGCAGGCAACGTACGGCAATCAAAATCGCCTCTTGGCCTCAGCGGCTCTATGAGCCTCGGCCTCTCTCTCCAGACGTCCCTTCCTCCGTCGTGATATCCCTCTCCTCTGCACATGTTTATTCAACCACCATCTGATACTGTCCCGCATAAGGAACAACACAGTCACGACCGCAACTGGCACAGCAATAATCCAGAAGTAACTCTCTCCATGATGAAGAGCCGGGAACGGCTCGATATTCATCCCAAAATAGCCAGTGAGGAATGTCATGGGCAGGAATATGATCGTGATGTTGGTGAGCTGTTTGAGAGTTTCGTTGGTGTATGCTGTCATCGTGTTGAAGATCAGGTCAATCATATTGTCACAGGCGCGGCGCATCTGATCAAGAGACTCAGTAATAAGAATAATATGATCTTCAACATCGCCGAGATAAGTTTGTGCCATGGAGGACAAGTTGACTGTCTTGGCGGACTTTGTGGTATCGCTGCGTGCTCCAAGGCCGGCTGTAGCGCCTTTGTGGTCTCTGAGTGCATTGATGAGGTTTACAATTGGGTTGACGAAGCCTCTGAAAGTCATGATCTCACTCGTGATAACGTACAACGAAGTCGTGTGCTTGAGATCTGGTTGAGTCAGGACATCAAGTTCAAGGTCGCCGATGACATCCTGATACGTGGTTGCGACAGGGATGGCAAGATCGATGATTGCATCTAAAATCGCCTGCACGATCATCGAAGCATCGCAAGATTGCCGGAGAATGGTATCTGGAGTCCGAAGTCGTTGAAGTATCGGCTCCTCAATATCGTCAGCGGAGGTTTCAAAGAACGAGATGACAGTGTTATCTGGAATAAATCAGTACCCGGTCTCTGGAAATACTTGGAAGTGTAGCATACCAGACGTCAAGAAGATCGAAACTTGCTCCGCGCTTACGGCATACTTTCTGGATGTCAGGGGCGAATGCTTCTCCATGAACTCCATGCGCTCCTTGTTCGGGCCTCCATGATACCGTTGAAGAGTCTTCAGATTTTGCAAATGAGGTCCACTGACACCTTCGGTGTGCCCAGTAACAAAACCATTAGCAGGATCGTGCACTCCGGCGATCATGTTCTTTTCTTGGCGTTTCCTCTTTGACTTGGAACCGGAGAACAAGCTGTGGACAAATTTGCCGAAGCGGCCTCTTTTTGGTCTCCTAATGCTATCCATATCTCCATCGTCCGAATCACTATCTTCAGCATCAGGGTGTAAGTGGATCAATTTTTGTAGTGTAAGGACCATGAAGGTATGGTCGGCGTACCTAATTGAGGCGGTTAGCAGATTATCACAAAATCGAGGTTTCGAACATGAATACCAATCGGCCTTCGTTCGGTTTGCTGTGTTTATCATATCCTCAATTGCCAGCCGATGTAGCTTCTTATATTGACCAAGAGCCTGTATGACATCCCAACTCAGTCCATTAACATTTATCCAACGACATTTCACCCACGAGTCTTGCTTTTCGTCCAGAAATTTTATAAGCTGTTCATTGTCCAGTTCATACCCAACCATATTCTCCTCGCTGAAGTCTACAATTGTGATCTGACACTGTTCGTGGAAGGTAGGGACTTCGGTTCTACCACCGTTGGGCTTCGAGGGATCGAGTCCAGGTTCTTGACCTGCCTGCCAATTGGGGCGCATTGGGGTAACGTCGACTGTCGCGAAGGACTTTGCCGTGTTCGCACGATTGCGGCGGCGAAGCATGGTTGGTGATTGTGTTATTCCCATGGTTGGATCGGATGTGACAGAAGTGCTTCGCCTGAGTTTATCGTCATTTGTCCCGGTATGAGGACGAGGTTCTCCCTCCCCAGCCTCCAGGTCAAAGTTGACATGTGTGGGAGAAGTCACTGATTCGACTGTGGGGTCGTCCGAGAAATCTCGTACAGCTGGTGGGAAAGCATCTGCCATGGCTGGGAGGTATAGATATTATATGCTATTGCTTTTGGCTGTGAAGATTCTGTGAGGAGAGGCTATATTGTTGAAAGTCTTGGTTTGGTATGCCCCTGTACTTGAAAGAGAGATTCACAAAAAGAATCAATTGTGTATTAGGAGAGCAGTATGTAAGTTGATCAACAATAGAGAAGCAAAGGAAGCAATATTTAAAAGAGACGGAGACTGGGCAGGTGCGTTCTATGTTGTCACATCACGTCTGGTGTTTTCTGTTGTTTATCTTTTTGTCCGATTTCAGCCTCGAATTCTCCAGTCACGACGTCAAGGGCCAAGCTTATTTGAGGCGGGAGCTAAACCATATTGGAGCTGGTGAGTGGGGTCACCCGCCCCGTACCATGAACCTTACTTCCAGATTCGCTTCCATTCATTGTCTTCCTGCCAAAACAATTAATGGTTGTCTTACTTATCTGTTTTGGCTTCCTATCTATTCTCACGATATCTTGTTCGATGAAATATTTTTATTCTCGTATGTATGCGCGACGTTCAAAAAGTCATATTTCACTCTCCTTGATGAGATCAGTTTTTTTTGATTTGGCAACCCCAGGCGGCATTAGCACTGGCTGAACGCTTCGAAAAAGCTGTCGATGATACGAAAAATGATTCGCACTGCTATTCATGTGCGCTTGTTCTCCCTGAAATCTCCGCGAGCGAAACCCATTCGAGCCTGCTTATCCCTGCCAACCTGTGCTGTGATGAATACCAAGGACACCAGCCATTTTCGCAGTTAGGGATGCCCATCAATCAAGATTGCCGCGTTTAATTCATCAAGTGTTGTCCCTAGGCACAACAACACTCATTGTGCCACCAAAGGTGGGGTTGTGTCGATCATCTGGCTTTGGTGGGGGTACCATTGACCATCCGTTACCAAGACTGACCCATTCACTGACACGCTCGGATTGAAATTGTTCACGGGAGTTGCCCAATCCATCCGTGTTGAACGAAGTTACGTTCTTCAGGAGGTCTCTCTATTCAGAGAAGCCGTCACCATGGCTCCTTCAATAGTTCTGGATTACAACTCCTCCATCCTCATCATAGGTGGCGGAACTTGGGGTTGCTCTACAGCCCTACCATCTCGCACGACGAGGCTACAAGAGTATATCAGTCCTCGATTTATATGGGTTCCCGTCACCAATTGCAGCTGGCAACGATATTAAGAAAATTATCGAAGAAGGCAAGCAATCATTCCTCACTCTTGCTCATGGGGTCCAGTCTTATCCCTGAAAATTTAACAGGTTCATCAGCAGGCGAAAACGATGATTCCCTTGCAGACACTCTTCGACGTCTAGCGACAGGCAGATGGCTGCACGATCCAGTCTTCTCGCCCTACTACCATAACACCGGTTACGCCATCTGTGCTCATACACCTGAGGGATTGGAACAGTTGACCAAACATGAAAAGATCCATGATAATCCTGAGTTTGAATGGATAGATACGCCTGAGAAGTTTCGCGCTATCATGCCAAAGGGCGTCCTCACCGGAGACTTTCCAGGATGGAAAGGAGGCTTCAAAAAGACAGGCGCAGGATGGGTCTTCGCCCGTGGGGCATTAATGAGTACATTTCATGAAGCACAACGCCTGGGCGTCCAGTTCATCACTGGCCCTCAGGGCGACGTCAAGACATTACTCGTAGAAAATGGAGACGTCGTAGGTGCTGAAACTGCAGACGGTACTCATCACCGAGCTGCCACTACCATCCTCACTACAGGCGCTACAGCACCTGGTCTCCTCGATGTGAAAGATCAACTACATCCCACCGCTTGGACACTCGCTCATACCAAGATGAGCAAAGAGGAATGTGCGCTTTACAAAGTCCTCCCCGTACTCTTTAATGTCGAGAGCGGCTTCTTCATGGAACCGGATGCCGAGAAAGGCGAATTGAAAATTTGCGATGAGCATCCCGGCTACTGCAACTGGAGTACTAATACCTCTGGCGAGAGAGTAAATATCCCATTCGCTAAACACCAAATAGCCAAGGAAGCTGAAGCTCGGGTGCGCGGATTCCTCCGTCATACTATGCCGCAACTTGCTGAGCGTCCTTTCTCGTTCGCGAGGATATGTTGGTGTGCTGATACGCCTGATCGGAATTTCTTGGTTGATCGACATCCGGAGTCTAGGAGTTTGATTTTGGGGGTTGGCGGGAGTGGACATGGGTTCATGCATATTACGAGTGCTGGGGGCTTCATTGCTGATGCGATGGAAGATTGTTTGGACGAGAAGTTGAAGGACGCTTTTAGATGGAGGCCAGAGACAGCGGTAAATAGGGATTGGAGCGATGTACAGGATAGAATGGGAGGACTGAATAAGGTTATGGATTTTGGGGATGTGAAGGAGTGTAAGTACTTGCTAGACTCCATTCTTACTTTAGTTTCGCGCACGGCAGATGTCTGGTCCTAATCCTTGAAATCTCAGAATATCTCTGCTAATTTTGCACCGCCTAGTACAGGGACGGATATCCAACCGGATCGGCGGTACACGGTTTAAGATGATCGATCCAAGCACGCTCAGAGTCATAGAATAGCAAGCCCCTAACAGCCTCGCTTAACAGTCACCTCTAGTACAAAAACATCACCATCAATAAAACATGCACTCAGCCTACACCAATAAAGCAAGAATATCCACGTCCTTCAAAATTCAGATGTATGTCATTTCATCATTATGTATTAGGTTAATACGTCAACCTTAGGGGAGATTGTTCACCAGTAGAATAAAGACTGAAGTACATTTCAGTAATTGTTTACCAATGTCCAGACTCTAAGTTAGGCTAGCTGGAACAACGAGAACAGATTTTAAGATGGCGATCAAAACAGCACAGTTGGGTTTTTCTGTTTTTCCTACAAGACTAGGTAGCTACTGACATTGAGCAATTGGCCAAACACCAGGTCGCAAGAGTGTCTCTGAGCAATCTGAAAGCGCTATGAATAAGGTCACGTGAAGCAGATTTTTCCGAGCAAATCCACACCTGCACGGGTCAGCATCGCGAGAGAACCTTCTTTATTTTCCTTTTTATCCGTCAGTCGATTCAGGAATTATCCCCTCAATGTGGTTCAACACATGCCAAAATGCAGAATGAATCGGATGCATTTATGATAGAGACTGAATTGTTCCCAATCACTCTGCCGTCCCGAGTCCCTGCATGGTAAGCAAGGAAATAATGGGATAGTGGCGATCTCAAAAATCAGCAATACAAAGGGGTCCAGGTCGTTCGTATTTCCCCCTGCTCACACGTTCCCCTTTCTCCAACGTGTTTGATAAAAATTCACTTCCGTTCAGTGTTCTATTTTCTATTTCTCTTCTCCTTAGCTCAAACGTTCAATAAACACTCACCTGCAGAGACTTTGTTTGCCACCAAAGCTTCGACCGCGTCGCAATGTTTTCCTCTTCCACCAGCAACATCCTCGCAACCCTCTCCCTCGCCAGCATCACCCTCGCGCAAACCAGCACCGGCAATCTCTACATCCCCGGTGCAGACACGCAGTCTCTCATCGGGCAGGTCATTGGTACCGTATGTACATTTTCCCTCCCCTTCCGTGCGCGAGACACAGCTCTGACAGTTGACCCAGGCGTCCTCTCTCACTACCTACGCTCTGCAATGCGTCACCCCAGGTGAAGAGTGCGGATTCCCCGGACAGTTCACAGTCACGGAGAATGCAGCGACGGCGAGGTATACCATACCAGCGGAGAATGGCGACGATGGTGTATTGGCCTTGTGCGTTTTCTCTCCCTCTGCCACTACCTTTCCCATCCCCAATTCCCAATTCTTCAGCTCGCGCTTTGCCTTCAATCAAATTCAAGCTAAGATATCTGTAACACCACAGCACTGCCCGCATAGACTGCTCTCTCGACTCAACTGTCTCCGCCGTCTGCATCCAGTCCTTCGGAGGCAGTGAAGCAAACTTCCCTGGTGTGTCAACAGAAACCTACACTGGTACCGACTTCCAATATATGCCAGTGCTCCTCACGGCGGGTGCGGCTCCTGGGACGGGTCGTACGCCTAGTTCGACTGCGGCTTCCACTACGACGAGTGCTGGAGCGAGTTCGCAAGCTTCAACATCAAGGTCAGGATCTGGATCAGGAGTGGGTTCGGGGAGTGTTGCGCGAACAGATACGGGTGCACCAAGTGCAGGGTCGAGTACGAGTACCGCTGGAGTTCCTACAAACACCGGGAATAAGGCGTGGGTGTTCGGTGGTGCGGCTGCGGTTGGAGCGATGGCTTTGATGGGATAGGTGTTCAGGAGTTTTGGTTCTGGGGGATGATCTGACAGCTCAGACAAGCAATCCTGTGTATGACTCCAGAGATGGGATTAGTGGCCACCACAAAGTAATCCAACCAACCCGGTCGACGATACTATTGTGGCGATGATGATGATGAACAGATGATCTGGAAGAGATGGCGAATTATCACGGTATGGTTGTCTTCCGGGTTCGTCTGACATCGGGCATTTTTGCAACCAACACGGGAACACCCTCATCGCGAAATCCCATGATCTGGGGATTGGGCGGCGCGGCAGCGATTACTGGCCCGACGGAAAAGACATGGACTCGATGATCAGTCTTGGAGAAGAAATTGGCATTGAAAGAAGACCTCTTGAGAGATCTCGTGGTTCCTTGGATGGATGTTGGCATCGAAACAAGACCTCTTGCCTCTGCGAGCCCAAGACAAATCGAATCGATAGGCAATGCAGGCCTTCTTCATCCCTCCCGCCCATCATGCACAGATACGTACAGTACATGAAAAAATGAACAAAAAGGAAGGAAATCAGACCTTCTGGAAGCCCTCACAGTCTCACAGCTCAAAGCCAGAAGTCTGGCAAAGCAGCAAGTTACGGCGTCACCATCATACACGTGGGCGCGGACTCTCGAGGATCTTACAACCGCCAAGCAGCGAGTGAGTGATCCTACCTGTGCTTGCCAGATTATTGGGCGCGTTAATCTGAAGAAGCTCAGCCGGCCGAGTGGCGAGGCAGTTCGATATTCGACTCTCCTGACACACTCCTGCGCCTGAAGCAGCGGATTAATAATTCGCCAGTCAGTAAGTACAGTATTTGCAAGTGCTTTCCCATTTTTTCCACACTTGCACGCACTACTACTGGGGTCCAGGGTCCCTAAGGGGAAAGTCCTGGAGGCCTCGGTCGGAAAAGAAACGTCTAGGGCGGGGCTCCCGGCGAAATTGGCCAGGGTCCTGGCAAGTTTCTTAAAGTACTCGGAGTCGCAGTACGAGTAGGTACGGAGGCTCGAGGCTCGGGAGGTACTCTGGCAGCGGAGCGATGGGGGTGGTTTGGTGGTGTCCGCTGGATCTCGGACTCTGGGAGGGTTCAGGGCGTCTAGGGTGGTCGATTCGATTGGGTCTGCCTGCTACTGTACTGTAGTGGTGGATCCAGTGCGCGATGGGGGTCCCCTAGGGGGGCGAGGGAGGGGGTTATCGAGGGTATTATTACAGTATTAGCCCCGTCCCTGGCTGACTTCCAAGCCTTGGCGAGTCGCTCCTCGGACATGGGTGCGATGACATTCCAGCGATTCCACCAGCTCCCCGTCGCGCCCATCCACCACTCACAACATGGACATGTGCTGTCGTGCCCTGTCGTGCCCTGTCGTGCCCTGTCGTGCCCTGTCGTGCCCAGCCTTGCCCAGCCTCGCCCAGCCTTGGCCAGTCTTCAGTTTGACTTCTTCTCTGCCCATAGTGCCTTGGTATCCACGCCACATCCCGCAATCTGGCCCTCCCTCAGTGCGAGAGTTCTCTGGAAAGCAACCCACGTGGGTGCGTGCTCTGCTCTGTGTCGTCGAGGGGAGAAGCGAGAGAAACATTGATTTTCCACGCCTTCAGGTAGACCGACCGTAGACCCAGGGAAAAAGAGTGCGGCGAGCTGCGCTGCATGAAAAACCATGCGCGAGTAGTGCTGCACTCTATCTACCTACCTTCCTACCTACCTACCTACCTTCCTAGGTATATATGAGCCATGGCCGCTCTCTTGTCATTTTCTTCTACCCAGTCTTCTGGAAAACCACACCGACAAGGGCAAGCTCATCCCAGGTTATTCAGCCAGAACTCCACGATAAGCCGCCAAAATGGTGATGTCCGATTACACTTATGTTTTTGCCATTGGCACAATGTTTGCGCTGCTCGAAGCGTATAACAATGGTGCAAGTACGTCTTGCCCTCTATTATCTATTTATTGCATGCACGAGACTGAACAATAATGCTGACTTGCGGCCTGAACAGATGATGTGGCCAACGCCTGGGCTACCTCAGTCTCCTCCCGATCCGTCACATACCGACAAGCTATGTTCCTGTGTTTGATCTTCGAAATGACTGGTGCTCTTGCCGTCGGTGCCCGAACTGCTTCTACGATTAAGAACGGAATGTTAGTACCACTGGACGACGGGCTGGATGATCTCGGCTAACAGTATCAACAACAGTATCCCAATCAAGGCTTTCAACGGCGACGCTGATGTCCAACTTCTCGCTTTTGCTTGCGCCTCTGCTGGTGCCGCTATCTGGGTTATGTGGTGTACTCGCAACTCTGCACACGTTTCTTCGACTTACTCTTTGGTCTCATCCATTGCCGGTGTTGGTGTCGCAGCTGTTGGCGCGAAGAATGTAGAGTGGGGCTGGAGCAAGGGATCTGGTCTTGGTGCCATTTTCGCCGGTTTGGTCATGGCTCCTTTCATCGCTGGAGCATTCGGTGCCATTATCTTTTCGCTCATCAAGTTTGTAAGTGATCTTTCCGGTCTCATCTGATACATTTGCTGATTTTCTATAGACTGTCCACAAGCGAACTGACCCCGTGAAATGGGCCGTTTTCACCTCCCCATTCTTCTTCCTCATTGCCGGAACCATTTGCACGCTCTCCATCGTCTACAAGGGTTCCCCAAAGCTCGGTCTTGACAAGAAGCCTGCGTGGTTCATCGCATCAGTCACTCTCGGTGTTGGTTTCGGACTCTTCATTCTTTCCGGACTCTTCTTCGTCCCATACGTCTTCTGCAAGGTCATCAAGAAGGATTACACCCTCAAGATCACCGATATCTGGCAGGGACCCGCTCTCTTCACCCGTGTTCCTCCCTCCGACGCCGCTGAGGCTCGCGTACCAAACTACAACGTTATCCAACACGATGACGAGGAGGACACTGGTGAGCTCGCCGCACCCGGCACTCTCCCAACCAAGAACGTCGACATCGATGCCATTGAGAAGTCTCCCGCTGGAAGCGACAAGGACCTTGCTGTCTCCGACAACGAGAAGTCCCACCACCAGACTCAACCTATCTCTGCCCATGCCGCCGGTAACACCAACCTCGAGAATGCCATCGCCGGTGACAACCCCAAGCTCCAATACCAACTCCTGCTCCGCCGCGCCGAGGAGAAGCACCACTCACAGCTAAGACAAAGCCGCGGACCTCTCGGATGGGCCATGCGAACACTTTACACCCACCGCAGCGGCGCTGGTGAGATCTACGAACTCCACAACTTGAAGAAGCTTATGATGCGTCTCCCCGCCTACGTCGTCGTCGCAGGCCTCTACGGTTTCTACTACGACATCCATCGCGCTCAAGTCGGTATCCTCGGTACCCCCGAAGGCCGCAGAATGGCCGGTGTCTACGACCACGCCACCAAGTACCGCAACGAAGTCGAATACCTTTACTCCTTCGTCCAGATCATCACCGCCTGTACCGCCTCTTTCGCCCACGGTGCTAACGATGTCGGTAACGCTGTCGGTGTCTGGGCAGGTATGTACGGTGCCTGGACGACTGGCAAGACTGTCGCGTCAAAGGCTGACGTTCCGCTTTGGCAAATCGCTGTCATGGCTCTCACCATCTGTTTCGGATTCATCACTTATGGTTACAACATCATGAAGGTGATGGGTAACAAGATCACCTACCACTCCCCATCAAGAGGATCCAGTATGGAGATGGGTGCTGCTATCACAATTCTGATCTTCTCTCAGTACAAGCTGCCAGTGTCCACGAGTATGTGTATCACAGGTGCTACTGTTGGTGTTGGTCTCTGCAACGGCACCTACAAGGCTGTTAACTGGCAGCGAGTCGGACTTCTGTTTTTCTCATGGGTCATGACCATCCCTATTGCGGGTCTCATTGGAGGTTGCTTGATGGCTTTGGCCGTCAATGCGCCGCATTACGGAAATTAAACGGTCCTGTTTGGCCTTTCGCCTGGTTGCTGATGTGCTGACGTGTTGTTCGAAAAGAAGTTGTGGGTTTTTGCTCACTCGCTTGTTTACTTTGTCTGGGGTTGGGTTGGCTGCGGGTTAGATGATGATACACCTTTTCGTTTTGTTGTCTTGTACGATTGACATAGCATAGCCAAACATAATTCACTCATTCCTCGACCTTGTATTCGTATATGATTCAGGGTCGAGCTACTGAATATTCCTGCTATAATTTTGCCGTGATTTGTACAGCTTGCGCAGTGACTTATTTCCTTTCATACACCAGACTTTATACTCGGTCGACTTCTCCTTGCTACTGATTTACTTACTTCCTCCTTTGAATCCTTCCTAGGAACGATTTTTTCCTGCACTAGAAGTGAATTGTATATAACATCCTGCGAGGCCTTACTAATGATCTCGCCCTTCGCAAAAGTAAGGTCTCTCTCTTTCTTCAACACTTGACCAATCGTGCACACTTATCAGTGCACATCCACCGAATAACCCCTTCCAGGTCCGACACTGGACTATAATCCCAGATTTCAGTCCCATTGCCATCATAATACCAGTCAAACAAATAAATACATTGATCGTCTTTGTCCAAAATCGAACATAAAAGCCCGTCTGGCGGAAATAAAAGAAGACCCATTATTTCCTTGAAAACCCTCAGATTTCTAATTCAAAAATGGGGATTCCTCCGTCTTGAAACGTATAATTAAATACGCAAAGCACATTTACCAGCCATAGGCCACAGCTTTCCTCTTACTTCGGTGCGAGGCGACTTTGTTCGGACGATGTTGGAGATGTTGGAGGGTGGGACTTTGAGATTTTTGAAGGGAGGAAACGAAGGCTGGGGGTATATGTGCAGGAGTAAAATCCGGTTTGAGAAAGAAAAGAATAATCGAATTATGAATATAATCCGACTGCTCAAAAAACAACACCTCAACTTAATTGAGATTTTATAAAATACAACGACAGCGAGAATAAACCTGAATTTGAAGCTTTTCAGATTCCAGGCTAGAAGTACAATATTTTGCTGGATCCTAAACTTTTGAAATGTGAATGCAAATACCACAATGGAGACTGGACAGGACATGTCCTTGGATCGCCTCGCCGAATTGCAGAGGAAGAGCTTCTCCGCAGGGTAGCAGGAGTCGGTTCTTCGTATTCTCTATACTCGGCGGAAAATTGGACTGGGAGAGGAGAAGCTGGGCATGTTTACTACTAGTGAAGCTATATCGTCTCTTGTTACGTTGGGGTTGACTAAGAATACTGAATAATGAGAACAGTTCTGAAGGAAGTGAGGCTCACGAACGACTGGGCCGGTGAAGGGTTTTGGCCAAGCGTAATTGGGGTTCGTGTCGAGTATCATAGTATCTAGCCCAAGTGTTGAGAGCGCTAGAAAAAAAAATATGTAGAGGCAGATGTCGAAGGACTGTCAGCTCGGTACACAACCTAGGTCAGTCAGTGCTGTTGGGGCTTCTTCCATACGGCTTGCATTTTTCATTTGAAGTCGTCGTTGAAGATGAACTTGCTCTATTTGACAACCTCCAGTAAGTATTTGGAGGCTGTTGCACATGAATGGCACACAGCTTCATTGAGCTAGGTATTGTGATCTAGCTTTATAATAAAAGCTGGGATGCATATGAGCATGGAAAATACAGGTGACAGCTGAAAGGTATCCATGGCGTTCGCCCCTTCTGCAAGAATAAGCACTTGGTAGACAGGAGAAGGACCAAAAAAACTGACGACTGGCTGTCCATAGTGTATAGTGGAAAAAGAATGGTGAATATTAATGAATCTGTGCCTAGGTAAAGAATAAGATGAGTTGAGGTACTATCTTCCGTGGGATATTGAAGTCTAAATAAAGTTCGTCCAGTCAGCTCCACAATTTGCCGAATGACGCACCCACCTCAAAGCCCACAGGACAGCGATCTTTTTTGGTGGACGGGCACGATTCTAGGCACGATTCCAGCCTCGTCTCGAATCTCTGGAGCTATTTTTTCTCACTAGCCAGATCATATCACGACATGCTAATTCCACGATAAATATCATATCTACATGGAGTACCGACATACAGTTTGCACTGTCAATGAAGATGGTCAAGAAGGGACAGGCAAAGGGTCCGAAACCAGGTAGCGGGGGAGGGGCCAGCAAGAAAACATCACCAGCAACGACAACCGGCGATGACAGCTTCATTGTTTTCTCGAACTCTGACAAAGAGCCAAAGCCGAGGAAACCTCCTGCCGGACCGTCTGCGACAGGCGCGCCGGCTCAGAATGGCCCTGCGCTGGCAGGAGAGGCGCCACAAAGACCGGACGTGAAGAAAATAATTGGCGGGGCGTCATGGACGGGGAAATTGCCTGTTAATATGTTATCTGAGCATTGCCAGAAGCAGAAATGGGAGAAGCCTGAATATACCATGGTAATGAAGCCCTGACCATGCCTATATCACTGCTAATGCGAACAGTCTAAAACTCCAGAAGGTTATTCGTCAATGGTTATCCTGAAATGGAAGAACCAGAAAACCCATGAACTCGTGCAACTTCAGCCCTTCAAACTCCCACCTAGCCACAAACACCTCGCTGCGAAACCTACTGCGCTCGAAGCACGACATTTTGCTGCGACGTACGGCCTCTTTCGAGTCTGCAGCATGCGCAATATACATATGATGTTGCCTCCGGACTATCGAGACTTGTGGAAAGGAGAATTTGAGGTCTTGAAGAAAGAGGATGTTAAGGAGGGCCGTGGGTGGATGTACGAAGCAGATCCATTTGCCGCTCTGCGAGAGCGAGAAGATGCCAAAATTCTGAACGAGAAGAAGCGCGCAGAACGAGAGAAGGCCAAAGAGAAAGCTCTGAACACACCGGGAGGACCTGGCGGCTCGAATTTGGCTCTGCGGAGCAACGGTGGTGGCGGGACCGGTGTTGGAGCCCACAATATCCACAGAGGGTGGGTACGAGTTCCCAAGATTGAGATGGGCAAAAGAACACGAACGAATGTTGAGAATCTGATAAGGAGATACGCCATTTGGAATCCGCATGATGTCAAAATGTCGCAGTTCCAGAAACATTCCATTGTCAATGAATTCAAGAACCTCGAATTTCGGCAAAGCCATATTGAGGAGGCAGTTGAAGAATGCAAGGATAGAGAAGAAACGCTCGAATGGCTGCTAATTCATGTCCCTGAGGATGACTTACCTCGATGGGCTCTGCCAGAAGGCTATGTTGCTGGAATCAGTATGGCTAGTAGCGATCTCAAGAGAGAGGGTGCTATCAAGCGTCTATCTGAGGCCGGGTATGCTCTTGATCTGTGCAAGCAGATGTTCGATGCGAACGGAGATGAAGGAAAGGCAGCGGAAGCCTTGCAGCAAATTCTTGTTTCTAGTGGACAGGACACTGAAAAGCCTCAAGATGAGGATTCTTGGGATTCGGAAGAGTCTAAAGAAGCATCCGAGGCTATATGGGAAGAAGAAATGACGAGTCTCCAGTCTGTCTTTGGCGACAAATATTCCCGACAGTCCAAGGATGTGTGCAGAGTTGAGTTCAAGCCTGCCAACAGGGGCCGAAATACCGAAGTACAACCTGTCATTCAGATTAGACGAACGCCAGAGTATCCGCAGAAGCCTCCTGTTATAGCTGTTTACGCCGCCTTGCCAGCTTACATCCGCTTGAGCATCATGAAACAAGCTTTGAATCATGTGGAGGACAACCTACTGGGCGAACAAATGTGTTTCTTCCTTATTGATTGGGCAGAACAACATCTTTACGGCATTGTTGAACGTCCCGGAAGACTAAGAGAAGTTTCTGCTGCTGCTTCTACAGTAAGTGAGGTAAGGCCGGTACATAGGAAGCGACAGACAATCACAAGGCATCCAAGGCCGATTGACTGGGTTTCAAATTCGAGGAGCAAAGATGACTGGATCAGACGGCAGACAGATCCTAAATTACAGTCGAGAATCCAGCAAAGAAAGACTCTGCCTGCGTGGGAGATGAGAGAAATTATAATTGATACCGTCAACTCCCATCAAGTCACAATCATTTCCGGCGAGACTGGTTCTGGAAAGTCTACACAGTCGGCACAGTTCATTCTGGACGACCTGTATCAAAACTCGTTGGGTGACTCTGTTAAAATCATGTTAGTAACTCCTTTCCAAATTGGTGACCTTCTGGCCTTCCTCTAAGAATCCTAGCTGTACACAACCTCGTCGTATTTCCGCCCTTGGTCTTGCCGATCGAGTCAGTGAAGAACGATGCTCGTCTATCGGGCAAGAAATTGGTTATATCATCCGTGGGGAGTCCAAGACATCACATAACACGAAAATCACTTTCGTTACGACCGGCGTGCTTCTCAGAAGACTTCAGACTTCCGGAGGTAGCAGCGAAGACGTTGTGGCCAGTTTGGCCGATGTCAGTCATGTGATTATTGATGAAGTTCACGAGCGCAGTCTCGATACAGATTTTCTACTAGTCCTCTTGAGAGACGTGCTCAAGAAACGCAAGGATCTCAAGCTGATTCTGATGAGTGCAACGCTAGATGCCGGAGTCTTTGAGGACTACTTCAAGAGTAATGGCAGGGTTGGCCGGGTGGAGATCAGTGGTCGTACATATCCTGTCGAGGATTATTACCTCGATGATGTTATCCAGATGACAGGCTTCAATTCAGGTCGCGGTGGACGGAGAGACGAGGATGATGCAGACACTGCTGGATTGGATTCTGATGTTGCGGCCGCGATACAGAGCATTGGAATGAGAATCAATTACGATTTGATCACGCAGACTGTCAAGGAAATCGATGCCGAGTTATCACATCTGAAACAGGATGGTGGTATCTTGATATTCCTGCCTGGTGTCGTCGAAATCAGCAGAACCATGGATGCTCTGCGGTCAGTTCAAAACTTGCATGTTTTACCACTGCATGCATCTCTTCAGTCTTCAGAGCAGCGGCGCGTGTTTCCTCACGCACCATATGGCAAGCGAAAGGTTGTCGTCGCCACGAACGTAGCTGAGACCTCTATCACGATTGACGACATCGTAGCTGTCATCGACTCTGGCCGAGTGAAAGAAACAAGCTACGATCCCCAGAACAATATGCGGAAGCTCGAGGAAGTCTGGGCATCACGCGCAGCATGCAAACAGAGACGTGGCCGAGCAGGTCGTGTCCAAGCTGGAAAGTGTTACAAGCTCTACACTCGCAATGCTGAGATGTCAAAAATGATGGAGCGGCCCAAACCTGAAATCAGGAGGGTCCCTCTGGAGCAGCTGTGTCTCTCTGTTCGCGCGATGGGTATTAAGGAAGTTGCAGCGTTCTTGGCCAGTGCTCTCACACCACCCGAAAGCTTGGCTGTGGATGGTGCGATGGACTTGCTTGGAAGAATGGGAGCTCTTGATGGAGATGATTTGACTGCTCTTGGTCGACATCTTTCAATGATACCAGCTGATCTCCGGTGTGGTAAGCTCATGGTTTACGGTGCTATGTTTGGCTGTCTCGATTCTTGCGTGACGATTGCCGCGATTCTGACAGTGAAATCTCCCTTCGTCTCTCCACAAGACAAGCGAGAAGAAGCCAAGTCAGCAAGAGCGAAGTTCGCGAAGAACCAGGGCGATTTGATCGGAGACTTGAAGGCTTTCGAGCAGTGGGACGAGATGGTCAGCAATAGAGGGTAAGTTGGACAATACGGACTGAGTATACGCATGCTAACAACACCAGCATCCGGCAAGGCGAAATCCGCAATTGGTGCTCAGACAACTACCTCTCGTACCAAACCCTTAACGACATCTCCTCAAACCGCACCCAATATCTGACATCCCTCCGCGAACTATCTTTCATCCCCTCTTCCCCCGCGGCGCTCTTGGCCCTCAACAAACACAGCTCCAGCACATCTCTCCTGCGTTCTCTATGCGCAGGTGCTTTCAACCCACAATTAGCACGCATCGATTTCCCCGACAAGAAATTCGCACCTTCTGTCTCTGGTGCTGTCGAGCTTGATCCTGAAGCTAAGACCATCAAGTACTTCAATCAGGAAAATGGTCGTGTGTTCGTGCACCCTAGTTCTACGATCTTCGATGCTCAGGGGTTTCCTGGGAATAGTGTATATATGAGTTATTTCAACAAGATGGCAACGAGTAAGGTTTTCATTCGAGACCTCACACGTACGTAATACCTCTCATCTCCCTACCCTCCTCTCCATTTCTTCTCTCTGCAAATTTGAATATAAATTCCAATTTAACAATAATCAGCATTCAATGCCTACACCGCACTTCTCTTCTCAGGACCCATCAACCTCGACACTCTCGGCCGCGGGCTCATCGTCGACGGCTGGCTGCGTCTCAGGGGCTGGGCTCGCATCGGCGTTTTGGTTAGTAGACTTAGAGGTATGCTTGATGACGTACTAGCGAGGAAGATTGATGAGCCTGAAATGAATTTGGCGGGGAACGAGGTTGTGGAGGCGGTCATGCATTTGGTGGAGTTGGACGGGTTGGATCAGTAGGATCACTCTGGCCGGGCGTCTGGTAATTGGATATATCGTGCTCGTAGATTCAGTGATATCTGTTTGGATTTATAGCTTGGAGAACAGCTTATAGAGGCGATAATTTTCAAACCAGATGGCGTTTTTCGAACGCTTTACAAACGCCTTTGGTGGCTGTGGTTATCAACGTCCTAGCTAGTCAGCCTCGTTTTTCGCGCTACGCCCTCTGTCTCCCTCGTGATGCAGCTACAAGCTGCAGCCACTGCCAGGGCCAATCATAGGGCATCACGACGACAATCTCAACCTTCATCCAAATACCAACTCGTTTTGAGGGCGGTGCTGAGGGCGATGCTGAGGCGAAGCAAATACTGGAACAGAATGCGTACTCGATATGGGCATGCCTATAAGAATGGTCCTCCCTTCTTTTGTTGCTCTCAGCAACGACAAGATGTGAGTTTTTTTTTTTTTTTGTTTTTTTTTTGTTTACTGACAGTCACAGGTCATTTACCACAGCACATAAAACAGGGGCGAGCCTTACCGGAGAATTTACTTCTACTTCCAGTAACCACAATAATCCAGCAGGCGGCCATGAAATTTACGTCTTGCCTGATAGCCTTCGGATCTACAGTACTCCCACCAGTAACAGCGTCTTCGACAACAGCCTGGACTTGCCAGTAGCCCAGGAGAATTTCGCTCCCAATCATGTCCTGACCCATACCCATTCCTTTCTCGCCGGCTCAAAAGGACTGGGATATGTCGCCGACTTCGACAACTTCAACGCTGATTTTGAATACATATTACCTGCCTAATACCTCTTTATTCAACCATTTCAATGATGCCGTCGCCACTGGAACTGAAACTTCTTTGGATCTATTCCGTACTACACCCAACACTGGTTGGTTTCCACCACTCTATGACCCTGGTTACAACTCAAGCCAAGCTCTTATGACCCCTGCTACAACTTCAGGTGTTTCACAAATGTGCACACGGTGTGGCCAGTACGATTCCACACCAAGTCTCGATGGCGTCACCTTCCCAGCACCATCAGTTCCGATAATGGCACCCCTATCTGGTACCGTATTGGATGCTCAATCCATGAGTGACATACATTTAATTGAGCGAGCTCGCCCAAACAGCCCAGTCCTCATGAACAGCAATGCCAGCCTCGACGTACCTCTTGAATCTCTAAGTAGCCGTGGCTCCCCAGACATTGCTATTAGTCGGTCGTCACCACCATTGATGCGTAATGTTTGAGTTCCATGCACCTTTCAGGGCTGCAAACAGACCTTCAAGCGCAATTCTGATCGCCATCGTCACGAGAATAGCGTTCATTGGAATGTGCCTGGGAGCTATCTATGTCCTGTTGAAGGGTGTGCTAAGAGTCTTGGGAAGGGATACAAGAGGGCTGATAAGGTCACTGAGCATCTGTGGAAAAAGTATGCTGACCTTGGCTATACCAAGGCTTGAGTACTGGCTCAGCTGAATAACCCATTTTGATAACAATGAGTTGAGTGGTGTTGGATGGTTGATAAGACAACTGGAGGTCCTGGCATGAATTTGTTTGGTTTTTTGGTGCTTGATCTGATGAATTGTTGTGCTACTTAACGGTCATTTTGCTTAATGACCTGCCCTGAAAGAATCAGAATTGTATTTCACATTCGTGCATTTTTCGGTTTGGTAGAGCATAAGTGGCTTCAAGTAATTTGACGTTGATAGACTATTCTATCGGTCCTCTGATCAACCCCTTTGGAGACCTAGGAATTAAGCATACACAGCACCTCCGTCCCATTTAAACGTAGCACGCCCCTCAATAACTACGAGTTTCATTCCATAGCTCTGACGCTATTAAGTGTACCCCACTACCCCCAAAGCCTGCCTCCCCTTGATTTCACACACCCCACCGCATCGCACAAATTCACCTACTCCTTCACCCTAACCAACCCAGCAATCCTTATCCCAACTTCTAAACCGAAACCTCTTATCATCAACCTGCCTTGTATCCTCCACCGTAACATCATAGAACAAACACATCGTATACCGACTCTCAAACAAGATACTCTTACACTGGCCACGACCCACTTTGGCGTCACCGACATCTGCGCGGCATTGCTCTACACAGACAAGTACATTGGAGCCGACTTGTTGGTGGACTAGTGCGGTGGCGTTTCCTGGACCAGGTTTCAGATCGGAGTTGGGGATCGAGCAGAGAGGGTAGCCGTATGGGTAGACTAGTGGGACGTGTTAGCTTGTGAGGAGGGGATAGAGAGAGAGGGGAAGTACTTGGAGAAGATGTTGCGGATGCAGAGGAAGTGGTTGAAGTTGGTGATCTTCCTTTCTTGGTCTTTGTCATCATGATTGTGGATGGGGTGAAATTCAATACAGATTTGTCTCTTGTGACAAGCTCGCCATGAGCAGCGAGAACGACTGCGGCGCTGAAGAGGAGAGCGCTGAGCTTCATATCGGAACTCTCGGCCCTTTATTTCCTTGACAGAGACGAACAATGATCAAGATGTATATCTGCTGATGATGATAATTTTGGTGATATAGACTTGCGTTCTTAAGCTGTTCAAAGAGTGAAAAGAAATCGGAAGCTTCAGTGCAAATTCTTTGATCCGAACGTTGATACTAAGGTAGGCGCGGGAGTCTTGTTGCGGAGGATGCTCTTTCCCCACTCAGGTCAAATCATCATGACTTAGTTTGAGAGACAATTGAAGCTAGCTCAATATCCAATCGAATCATATGTCAGCTCACTCATCGCTTCTTTCTCGCAGTAGCGTCAAAACAATGTCTGCGAACAACCCAGTTTTGCCGGGTGGGTCCCGAAAATTGCAGGCGCTTTGGGTGGTGGTGGCTCTATGTGATAAACCATTTATATTGGCAATTCATACTCAATCTATTACCACGTAGCAATGATTATATGGCATTGCTTCTTCGTACTTTCTTGTACTCCAAAGAGGTCGCTTGCACAACCATTGTTTACTTTCTGTGGTGCTAAATTCACGAAGCGAAGGTGGACGGACTTACCCCGCACTGCGTGAAGATTTCAGCACGGGTTTGAGACGCAGCACGCCAAGTAAATAAATTCAGCCGTTCAAGGAATGGAGGATCCGATCCCATCCTCAAGCCATATGGTCGGCCGCATGCATCTACTCTTTTCGACATCAAGTTAATGCATTGTTCCGCGACCGAAGCGCGTTGGATCATCGCACGGGGGGCCTAAGGTAGAGGCTAGGAGGAAGCTGAAGAGTGGAAGACGAGTCGCTGAACCAATCGTGGGTATGGACGAGTGAAGATATCGCGTCGAACTGCCCAGGGACGAGTCAAGACTCGCAGCATGACGGCTTAAACCGGGACGAAGGAGAGATAATGGAGTAGATGGACACATACACGGATCTTTGCCATCTGTACGTTCCTCTTGGTATCCACGACTCTGTTCGAGCCGGAGCTGACTCCAAGCAGGAGCAGTATACACATCAGATCATTCGGCCGACGGCGACCATACCCAATTCCACTCTTCTTATACTAAGGCCTCCTGACCAATCTAAAGCCATTCCCTTTGCCCGGTTTTAAGAGGTAGGGACACCTACTTTGTGGAAAATACAGAAGAAACAACACGATAATGATACGAAGCCTCCTTTGTGAGGAAGGAAGGACAATATTTGAAACACGCGCAAGCTCTTGTCGAATTCTTGAGGAAAACATTAACATTATTATTGGAGACGCATATTATTGTTCTGGGCTCGGAAGAGAATCCCCAGTACGGACGGGAGGAGGAAAAGCTCCTTCTTGAGCTGCCCGATGTGGGCGCCGGTATAAGAAGGAGCTTTAAATAGGATCTGGCGGGAGCTTTCTGCTTTTTTGACTTCGGGCTTCTTTTGGAACCACATTTGTTTCGTGTATTGTCTTGCGCGGTCGCTGGACTGAAAGACTACTTTAGGGATGTCCTTTGGGAACGGAAAGCTCGAATCTGCATGAGATCTCGGGCGGCTCTCTCGGATGACGGCTGGATAATTTGGTCAGCTGTCTTCCGAACGAATCTCTCGGGATGTCATGAATTTCAATCTTTCCAAGGGCCAAGGGCGAGGGGGCAGTAGTTGTGCTGGCTGGAAAGCGAGAAGACGATTAGTAGAGCCTATCAGCCTAGGCTTGTCTCCCAGCTGTACCATATTGGGGAGGATTAAAAAGAAATCCAATGCTGAGATAGAGATGGAGCAAGAGCAAAAGCATGCATACTTGTCTATCTTTCGGCTCGAGCTCTGGCGTGATATGAAAGCTTGTACCAATGCATTACACAGTCCTTTGTGTACATGCCCATACATAGTGCAATATGAAGTGTCGAGGGACATGTCTCTGCTCATTTTGTGTAAATTCTAGGCAGGCAATCCCGAGAAGTTCCAGTCTCCCTAGCCTCTTGACAGTAAGCGACTTGGCAAGGAAGCGGAATTTCGGTTGTAAACAAAGAAACTCACATCTACCTACGTGGGCAGTCTATGTATGAAATAAGCCATGTCCAATGGACGAGCTGAGGTAAGTCTAGAATAATTTTCATGAATCATAAGACATCTGAAAGGCTTTCTGATTGTGGTTAGCAACCATGTCAAAGTGTTGTTGGCGAAATTAGCGATGAGAGCCGGCTTTCACATGTTCGCACCACCACGAATTATTACTAGTGGAGCATCTTCTTTCTATATTTCTGGCAAAATAAGACATCTTACATCTTTCCTCGCTTTATTTTCAATGCGAAACCTCTCAAAAGCAAAAACTTATGACCACCATTGTTTCGAACATCTCAGACGCCGCTCAATTCAATGTACCCATTTTAAGCGAAGCAAATCGAGGCAAGCAACCTGTAACACACGTGTAGGAGTCAACTCGCCCATGGAAAGCAATGTCATACTCGATTCAGAGATTCAGGAAATCTTGGGTATGAACGATGCTGACGCGCCAAGCAATTTCCTAAGAATGAATTTTTCTAACATGGGCCAGCCTGCTCCTGTTGAAGATGAAAAATACTGGGGCTTGGTGAATGAAAGCCTCCAGCACACAGAGTATAACACGCCCTGTTAGTTCTCTATAGTGAACATCACAGACTCTCTCCGATCGGTGAACGTGCTTGGTGGAACTAATAAATCGCAGCCGAAGGCCTGCTACTGTAAGTGCACGGGCTCCCAACTCCTTAGCTGTGGGCATCGATCCTGAGCATGCAAAAGACTCCTACTATATCAATCAAGAGGAAGTGGGCCATATTCAAGGAGAATGCGACAGCTGTATTGCGGATCACAACAAAGCATATACAGGCGGATAAATGGTCTTCTAGGTGTTCCAAGAGACTCGGCTGAAACCATGAAACAGAGGGGGTCTAAGCGTAGAGAGGATAACTTGCACCTCTTTCCCTTACTCTCTTCCTTTCTCACATGCGTTCGCTCTCAGTAAAGCTTTGATTTCGAATTCGATAACTTATTCCTTCTATTGTTTCTATTGAGTTAAGTATTAATCGACTTGTTTGATTAAGCACGCAATTCTACTGATCTCTTAGGTCCGAATCAGGCCATATCGCCTTATACCTTACCCCTATTCACGAACCTCTCTCAATTTACGTCAGGAAAGCAAGGACTATCTCTCAGCGTGGTTTCCTACCTTATATAGGAGGTTTCCTACGTCGGTAACACGAATGCGAGAGTGAAAGGAGGTTACGGATATATCGAAAGGCCTTTGTGCCGTGGAAGTTACTATGGATATCAGTTGGAGGCTATACACCCTCGGGAAATCCCTTTGCTACGTAACACCCTTAGATTAGGCCGCTGCTGTGTTTTTGGGGGTTCCTTCGTGCCTTTGGCTTGTCGTTCCGTGTTTTGGGTGGTTTATAGCCCTCGAGCTCGCCCCCTCACTGTCGAGAGCTGAAGGCACTAGTTCCTGCTAAACACATCTTGCTTACCTTTAACTGAAGTGAGACGAACGCACGATTAGATGAAACAGAGGGGGTCTAAGCGTAGAGAGGATAACTTGCACCTCTTTCCCTTACTCTCTTCCTTTCCTACATGTGTTCGCTCTCAGTAAAGCTTTAATTTCCCTACCTACCGTCCCTTTAGGTTTCTGTATATAAAAGTGATCAAAGAATCTACTCTAGTGTCTTTAGTCCTCTTTAGTGCAGGGATAGGGTGGTTTGTAGCGCTCGAGCTCGCCCCCTCACTGTCGAGAGCTGAAGGCACTAGTTCCTGCTAAACACATCTTGCTTGCCTTTTATTGAAGTGAGACGAACGCACGATTAGATGTACGGAATTTTGTGTCTCTATAAGAGCCTCTACCACGCCCGGTACGGAGTCGCCCTTATAGCTGCATTTGATTGAATTGGGCGACAATGAAATGGCCCAGAAAGTAAAGAACAGGATTTTAGCCGACAGAAGTCTTTTCGTCGATTTACAATAAAGCCTTGATTTCGAATCAGATCATTTTGCAAGAGTTTTCAAAGGTAATATGCTCGGCAACAGCCAAACGTGTCCAACAACCCCCTTATCCATCAGTTCGCCCTGTCCTGTAGACTAAATACCTTGCAAATGGTCACAGTGATCCGCAACTACGCACGGGTTGGTAGAATTAAAGACGACAATCTACACACCTATCTAAGTACAGGTGGTCCATCCGCGTGTTTGTGTTGCCCCGAACGGGGCCCATTAGAACCGCCCGATTTATTCGAATTTGAGGATGCTCAGGCTGACCATTCTATTAAAAAGCCGCGACACAACCGATGGCACCCCATCAAAGACGGCGTCTTCGGTCGCATCCTAGGAAAGCGAAACATAGCCTAAGCACTCGCCGACATCCTGGAAAAGGACCTGCTCTATCTCCCCAAGATCTTCACCGGGTGCATGAAGAAAGAGAAGCCGAAATGCTTGGGCTGATTATTAGGAAATTGATAGAGCGATGGTACTGGACGGACGTTTTCTGGGGTGGGAATAGAGATATCGTCCTGGTGGAGAACTTGGCCGAGACTAATACGACGAAGGATAGGAAGAGAAATAAGCGGGAGATTGGGAAGATTTTTCAGTGGTTGGGAAGGGGTGTTGTTCGGCAGGATGAAAGGAGAGAGGAAGAGATGGTGGAGATGCAGAGGAAGTTTGAGGAGCAGCAGGAGGAGGGAGGCAAGAAGGAGGGAGAGAGTAAAACGGAGGAAAACGAGACAGAAGGGGAGGAAGGAGACGAGACTGGAGAAGTTGAGACCGAGGAAGATAGGATCGAAGGCTGAGTGCTCCGAATCCTATAGAAGACAGTAGAATGCTTCAACTGTTTCCTTTCTTCAGCAGGGAGACAATTTGGCTACCGTGGTGTGTCGAGATACTAAGGTAGCAAAATCAGATTTGAGATTCCAGGCTTAACACTTGATTGTTTACAGTACCCCTGCCGGGTTTATTTTGGCGAGCGGGCAGAACCGAAACCTAACCATATCAGTTGAAAATGTGCTTAACTAAGTAACTTCGAATTATTCTCAACACGAGAATATGAGAGAAATTTCTCGAAAGGCTCGCTACATGTATCCTGCCCTGAAAAAGCTGCGTTGTGGTATGACAAGATCTATGTAGAAAGCCAACAGCAGCCTTCGTCAACGTTGTCAGCAAAGCCTCGTCGGAAAGTTTCCCTGAGGACTCTGAAATCCTCATCTCCAGCTCAGCTCCCCTCCCTTCCGAAGCCGTTAAGATACTTAAGTGACTGCCAAGGTTCTAGTTCACGTAATGAACATCCAGTCGTAACACCTGCCGAGCTAGTGCATGCGAAACCAAATACTCTGTATCTCTAGGATAACTACACAGGTTCATGACGGATTGATTTCTCAAGGAAGATCTTATTCCCTAAGTCTTCGAAAAATGGGAGGGCCAACAGTATGTGCCCCATGGGAGCGCTTATACGGTACTTACCTGCCTAAAGAAGGAGCTGCCGAGACATCAAAAGCTTGGCCATCATCCTCCGCTGCAACTTAGCACGCACGATTGCGACTATTGGACTTGGTACTGCAGCTGACTGAGGGGTATTTTTGTTATCTGCCCGTCGCCGGAACTTTCACAGTTGCCTCAATTGGCCCTCCTCTTGGCGATTCAGGGGTAAGAGCCACGATCGTCTTCGGATAATAGTCTAGCTTCTCGCTTGAGGATGAACGATTACAGGCAGTGGGATGATTATCACGCTAATTCAGGACGATCGACAAGGGGTGATTGCAGATGGTCCTGGAGAAAAGCTCCTTTTGAATGATTCATAGAGGAGGGCTACGATGAATGGAGCAGGTAGTAAACAAGTTATTGTTAAAATGCTTGGCAAGGCTCTGAAGGTCGAATTTGTCATGTCTGTCAATTTGTAGACACTATCAGATGAGCATTATACGTCTTGGCTGCTGCACAGCCGACCTTCATGAGGAAGCTGACAGGCGGAACAGACTTGGAATGGATGCTGAGATGCTCCGGCTGCTTGGTGCAGCTATTCACAGCTCCAGAATATCCGTGTCGAGGCCGAAAAGAAGATTATTGTTAATTTTATCTTTTGTATAAGAAGGAAGCGATGAGACCTCTTTCTGTTTGAAGTAGTCGTTAAGTTTTGTCTATCTGCAACTGAAAGCCGTGCAGCTACCACGATGCGTCTTATTTCTCAGACCGCCATTGCGACCTTGCTCGCTGCCAATGTTCTTGGACATTCGCACATATCTTCTCCCAGAAGTCTCCAAAAGAGAACTGTAGACCTCACATCCTACAAGCTGGGAGTTGGCGCTTCGTACATCAATAACGTTGTGATCGAAGAACAGCAACCCGCTTTCCGAGCTTTCACCAAGCCCACATACGTTGATACTGCTACAACCCTGGTCAAGTCGAAGTTCCCCAACGCTGAGTTCCGCGTGGTCAGCAACTATGTATCCGGAAACGGAGTCGGACATGTTACCTTCAAGCAGACTGTTCACGGGATCGATATTGACACCGCTGATGCCAATGTTAATGTAAGTGTCATCAGCGAAGCCACCATTCTATGCCTTCTAATTCGATCAGGTTGCCAAAGACGGGTCGGTTTTCTCATACGGAAGCTCTTTCTTCACTGGAACTCTTCCGGCCGAAAGCCCATTGACCAAGCGAGACCAAGTTGATCCCGTTCTGGCTCTCCGCGCAGCTTCAAACGCCCTTCAGCTAGATGTGGCTGCTGAGAGTGCTCAGGCAGTCCCTGAAGCCGAGGTCGAGAAATATACCATAACAGGTTCTTCTGGAGCACTGTCGGACCCCAAGGCTAACCTTGTCTACTTTCAAACTGGAGACACCTTGAAACTTTCATGGAGAGTGGAAACCGACATTGGTGATAACTGGTTGCTGTCTTACGTTGATGCAGTCACTCCTGAAAGAGTTCTTGGCGTTGTTGACTACGTATCTGATGCGACCTACACTGTCTAGTAAATTCACTTTTCTGAGGGTTTCTTTGAAGAATATGCTGATTCGTGTAACAGCCCCTGGGAGATCAATGACCCCGGCCATGGAGGTCGAACTATTGAGACTGACCCCTGGGATTTGAAGGCCTCTGAGTTCACATGGCACGGAACGGGTTTCACCACCTTCAACACCACCCGTGGCAATAATGGAAATGCCCAAGCAAACTGGGAGGGCGATTCTGCTTTCATCAATGATTACAGACCTTACGAGCAAGATCTAGCTTTCGAGTACGACTTGGATCTCAACGGAGTGGATCCTAAGACATACGCCAATGCATCTGTCACGCAGCTGTTCTACACATCTAACCTGTACCATGACTTGCTCTATGTCCTTGGTTTCAACGAAGTTGCAGGAAATTTCCAAGCCAACAACAACGGGAAGGGTGGTCTCGGAGGTGATCCAGTCACTTTGAATGCCCAAGACGGCAGCGGAGTAAACAACGCTAATTTCGCGACTCCAATCGATGGACTGGTGCCAAGAATGAGAATGTATATCTGGAACTACACCTTGCCAGTTCGCGATTGCAGTTTCGATGCAAACGTCGTCATTCACGAGTACACTCACGGTCTATCTAACCGTCTCACTGGCGGAGCTTTGAACGGTGGGTGCTTAGGTACCACCGAGGGCGGTGGGATGGGTGAGGGATGGAGTGATTTCATGGCCATCGCTATTCACATGAAGACCTCTGATACGCGAGACACCGACTATCCCATGGGTGACTGGGTTCGTGGCCGTCCGTTTGGAATCCGAACATATCTGTACTCAACCAGCAAGGAGACCAACCCCATGGTGTACTCTACCGCCTACAACAGCACCCTCGTCCACTTCATCGGCACCATCTGGGCTACCATGCTCTACGAGGTCATGTGGAATTTGATCGACGAGTACGGCATCACAGACGACAGACAACCAAAGTTCATAAACGGCGTTCCAACCGATGGTCGCTTCCTCACCATGCAACTTGTCGTCGATGGCATGAAGCTTCAGCCATGCCGCCCCAACTTCATCAACGCCCGTGACGCCATCCTAGATGCCGACAAGGCTCTTACTGGAGGCAAGAACCAATGTCTCATCTGGAAGGCCTTCGCCAAGCGTGGTCTCGGCGCTGATGCTAAGCGCTCTGCTGACCCTACCGACCACTTGTCTCGAGTGGACAGCTACAACTTGCCGAATGGTGTTTGTGGCTGCACTGCTGATAACTGCCTCCGCGCGCTGCGTGCCACGAGCCCTGCTGGGAGATTGGCTGAGTCCCAGGCTTTCTGCAAGGACTTCACGAAGACCGTCATCACTGACGTTAGGGTTGTGAAGCCATACCTGACTTCGAACTGTGCGGGCAATGTTGTGTCAAGAGTCAGCTCTGCTTGTGGATGTATCCCTAGTGACAATTAGACGTAGATAGAGAGCAGAAGGACATAGAAATAATAATCATTGAAAAGTGTAATGTTCAAAATGAGCTGATTAACGACACTTTTTATTACCTTCTTGTGTGAACGTTCGTCTTCGTTTGATTCCATTTTTTTTGGTCTGCTACTGAGCAGAGCTACTGTATGTCAATTGAATGAAACTCAAGGATACCAGAATTTCCCTGTTTTGCGCACCAAATCACGAGCAGGTACAAGGCCAGAAAGAATTGTTTCCCATAGGAACTGCGATCAGGCATGATATAAAAATTGAAGAATGAGCTGGGCTCAAGAAAGACTTTTATTCCGCTCCATGGTTCTGCCCTATGGATCATAAACCTCTCAATATGCCGAAGCGGGAGATCTAGCAGCCAAATTTCTGCCGTGGAATATGTATGGCCAGGAAATCCCGATATGCCTCTTTGATGCTCGACATGGGCTTGACGCTTTGATTCCTGTGAAACATTGGAAGAGTGGGAACGGCCAGAAATGAGGTTTCATACAGCCTGAATAGCGCTCCAAACGATCTGAGAGTGTGCAGTCCATAATTAGAGATGATTGTACGATGCACGACTTTGGAACTCCAGTAGTTGGAATTCACTGAGAACATACCTCATTGGTTCGTATTATTTCTGATCATTTTGATAAGTCTGCCTGGACAGACATGCGAAGACCACGTAATCATATGTTCACGCACCAGTCAAGTCAATGGTGTCTCCTTCAGTCCCATTGATCCGACATCTCTTGGGGCAGCGGGATGTCGAAGTAGTTGGGTCAATATCTTCATCATCGTCGTCTCTCTCTCGTTTCGGTCTGATTGGGTCATCACTATTACCTCGCTCGCTCTTGGGCCTGACCGAGGACAGGCGAAGATCACGCCTTCTGGCAGTTTCAGCAGCAAGTCGAAGTTGAGTATCGTATGCATCCTCTGCGTCGCGTAGCCGACGCTCTAGATCGATGATTTTGTTTTTCAGATTTAGTCTTTGAGTGCGGAGCTGAGTATTGGCGGATTCTAGATGCTGAAATCTGGAGAGAGAGAAATCGACATTCTCCCCATCATCCGGCTCGCCTTGTTGCAGGTTCGAAATCTTGGTAGTCAGCTCATCGATCTCCTCTTGTTGAGTCTGCAGCTTCAAATTTGATATCCGGAGATCCTCATCAAGTTTCTTGATGTTGGCATTGCCTTCATCGATCTGGCGAATTTGTGCCAAACACCGCACGGTTGCAGTCTCGAGCTGCGCAGCCAAGCTCTCATTGTCTGAACTTGCTTGAAGTAATGCGTCACTCTTGATTCGAAGTTTCTCTTTTAGGTTTTGGCTTTTTTCGCGATTCTCAGCAACAGCTCTATCTTGCTCAACACGCTGCTGCTCGCTGGCACGAAGACTTTCTCGAGTGTGCTGGAGAAGCTGGTCTTTGGCTTCCAACTGAAGCTGAGTCTGCGAGATCTCTTCCTCCATGTTGCTCTTGTGTTGCTGTTGGCTGGCTAGTGCATCCTTCTGCAATTGGAGTTGCGATCTCAAACCCTTGGCTTCTTGCTGCTTTTCTGTACATTGTGTAAGCAAAAAGTTGCATTCTGATTTGAGAGTTGCTAAGTGCTGATCCTTTTCTTCGATATCTGCTTCGAGTGAACGAATTTTGGCCTGATATCTTTTAGCAGAACGTTGCAACAAGCATTTACGGAAGGGACTTACGCTGAGCTGCTCCATCTCTCCATTTGGGCGGTTTAATGATCGGGCCCGTGGAGATTCAGTGAGAGGAGCAACGGGTGTGACAGAGCGATGCAATGGTCTCGGAGACAACCCGCTATTATTTACCAAGTTGCGATGTGATGGACATGGCGATGGAGAGTGGCAGTGCATCGCATCTATAGACGACTCATCATCATCACTTACACCATAAAGGTCTCCCATGCCAGAGACTGTAAAATCATCTTTTGTATCAACACTGGCCCGGGTCGGAGTTCTTCTCCGAGCTGCGCAAACAATTCTCGTTCTTGATTCATTGACAGGGACCTGAATCGTCTGTGGCTTCAAGCTTCTGGGAGGGAGCCCGAAGAATGCTTGAAAATCGTTTCGGGCGATCATGGGGAAGTATGCTTCATCCAGATTTAATCTGCTAAAGGTTGCCCCAAAGTCCTTTTGAGACACCACCTTTTCAGGACAGCCACATGGACTGCAGGTATCATTGGTAGAGCTATTGGATCCAACTGATATTTGATGATCGAATCGGTCTGGTTATTTGTGACAATTAGTCCATACACAATTTTTAAGCTGATAGTAGTATGGGTGAGACAGGCAATGCTTACCTGACAAAAGAAGATCATCTCTCCTACCAGAGCAGGTGCTCTCTCGATGAAGGGTGATTCTGCATGTGGGATCTAAGCCGTACAATCTGGATAGCACGTCTCCATCCAAGTCCGTCCATGACACCACAATGGTCTCAGAGGATGTGTCGTGAATTGTAGATGTAACCATGATTGGCATCTGACGAAGGTTCTCACATAATCTTTGGTAAAGAGAGCTATCAGACTCCGGAGATTCGATCTCCTTCATCTCGTCGTGTCTCTTCAACTCATCCAGTACGAGCTTGTATAGATCAGTGACGATATGGTCACACGAGAAGTGATCGGCATCAGAATACTGTCTACACGCTTGCCGCGAAAGCCGACATGGTGCAAGTCGATGACCTTTGTGAAAGTCCAACCACTTGTCATTGATCTGTAGATCGCATCCACCCAGAAGCAAGTCAAGGTTAGCTTTGACTCCTGACTTGAAGATCAAGTTTAGGTTTTTGGTTCTTGAATCTAACGCAAGAGCAGCTCTCAGCGCTCGTTCCACGCCCAGTGAGTACGTTGTTGTCGGGCAGTGTGTTCGAGTAGCTTGGTCCAGCAGGTGACATTGCTGCTCTCTCGGAGTTCGTACGAGCCCATACTTCCGGAGTGGGTCCCAGACCAGGGAGTCTAACTGTTCAGGCCTCTTTTTCAAGCTACTTCTGATAATTTCGACGTCCTGCAGAGATGTCAGCACAAGTTGATGGCCCATAAATGAGAAGATAGGAATAAACTTCCCCTATCACCATTCTTGCTGTCATGATAAAAACAATCCCTCGCAACATCTAATTTCAACAAATATTGCCATATGGTTTCCGCAGTTTCCTTGGATATATAATCCGCGACTCCGTGGACGTCGGCGAATTTATTCTCTCGGAGCATTCCTACCCACTCTTTCTCGACGTGCCTTTCCAAATGAATGGCTTCTGCCCAGATCCCTGCAAGGATTCTTGCCTCCTCTGCTGGATTGATGAGTCTTTCTCGGTCGCGGTTGATGTTTCCTTCCAAAAGGTTGTAGCCGAACCTGAATGGTTTCCCAGATGACTTCCCCTCCAGTAGGAATCCCTTGAGAAATATCCTGTTTCCATAACTGGGATCCAGAATGAGGCTACCATATTTGGTCTGGATCAATTTTGAAGGGCGATTCAGGTCGATGCAGACTTTTATCCAAGTCTCAAAGTCCTCCCTCTCAATTTTGAATCCATGCCCACGAATTCTGCCGATTCGGACTGTCACATCTTCCCAGATGTTGTTCTTTAGCCCCCTGGGCTTTCCTTGGGCCATTCTTTTGTCGTGTGCATCTATCTGTTTCTGAAGGGTGGTAATTTTCATGTCGCTCAGGAAACAGTAAAGCATGCTTTCATCTCTACCTCCGAACTTCATTGTCCAACGAAATTTGGAGGCTTCGTACTGAACTCTATATCCACATCGAACCATGACAAGTGAGGCAACCTTGAATCCTTCACCATGTGTGCCAGCTGCTTCACGATTGTTCTGCTTGGTGGTTTCTCCGATGTTAAGCGCCCGCCTGCTCAATTGTGCACCGAAATTGGTAAACTCTAGAACGCCATTTTTGAATTGAATGAAGCCAAGCAGTTTATCAGTGGTAGGATGGCGTGCCTCGACGATGTAAATATCTTTTTCGAAGCCTTTCACGATAGGTTCGAAGTCTTTCTGCCGCAAACCATTGGTTTCAACGATAGCATCTTTCCTGGAGCGAAGAGCTGTCAGCACTCAATTGAATAATTGGCTATACTAAGTCCCGTAGGGTATTCTAGCCTTACATGGAGAGTGTTGCGTATGGATTCCGTAACTCCAACCATCAGAGAAACTCCAGAATACACAGTATGCGTGATTCATGAACCTGAAACTTACCAGTTTTGATAAAATTCTCGAATGGCGTGAACAGGCTTCCAGCTTGGCACATAGATCCTCGTGAGTCCAAGAGGTTGTCTACCGCGTCGAAGAACATTATGATCATCATAGTCCAGATCGAACTGGCCCTCATCATCCCAGTTCTCATCTTCGGAGTCAGAGTCGAATGGATTCATCTCTTCGTTGGCGGGTGTGAGTCGAAAGCAGATTATGTTGGAGGCAAGGCTTAAGATCTGAAATGAAGCGTATGGAGATAAGGCTGTAAATTCACCCGATGCTTGCGCAAACACATCTCTCTCCGTAGTAGTGAAATATAATGTGATGAGATGACAGCCAGCGGCAAGTGTATCTTGATTTTGGTCGCTGCCTGAGTGTGAATTGAAAGGATGTGCGGGCAGAGTTGGATGTTGGATGTAGAACTGGTGTATCCGCCAAGCTGCAGGGATAAGGCAAAGCAGGAGTTGGCTGGTTGTGTTGGGTTGGCAACCTGCAGGCGTCAAGGATTTCATCCTTGTCAATCCTACCTAAATTTCATTATCACCTACCCCAAATATAACATGGGCTGGATCTGCAGACTCTGCCTTCGAACTGGAAGACTAGCTTTGCACCATTATTGATACCAACGATGTATCGGTGAGAACAGCCTCTCATTTACCTCGCAGCCAGCGCACGTTCACGACCTGTTCAATGGCAATTTTCAACTGCGCTTCTCTCCCAGCTTCTCTCCATATTCCATCGATCATGCTTGCCTGCCAATTAAATAACAATGCCTGTTCGTCCTTGCACTGGACTCATGCGAATTGCCGTCAGTATCGCCTCTTTCTGAGAAATATCTACGATTTAGTCATCATCACCTGTGGCAGAGCGGCGACTTTGGCTTTCTCCCACACATAACCAGATCCACTCGCTCGAGAGGTGGAACTTGCAAGTTTCCATGCCATTTCGTCGGAGCCGTATGCACTCTCCGTAAAGTATTGGTACATGGCGATGGAACTGTGGTCACTGGTCATCCTTTATTTTCCCAAACCATAAATCCCCTCCACTCCCAAAATGCCAACTGCAGGCTCATTGCCCGCGTTAGTGGACATTGAAATGCTACAGTAGCACCACAACTATGACCAATCACAGTATAGTTACTAGTTATCGTTGAAGGAATCTTATGGCGGCGAATCGTCAAGATGAGCTACATGCTTAACATTGCGTGCGACATTATCTGATTCAGCAAACTCGACAATTGGAGGTGGTGGACTGGGTGTCGAGAGCCTGTAATTGATGGAAGCATAACCGATCAATCGGCAATGCGAGAATTCAAGCTCAGTATAGAAACAAGAAATTGGACTCTTCGGGGAAAAGAGGGGGCTGTGGTCATAGGTCGCCACCATGCCCCTACGCGGATGTAACTTCTGAGATTTAGGTCAGTATATTCCGTAGCAGGAATCTCTTGCCGGGCATGCATGATCAAATACTTCCCGTATGAGGTAGATGGTGTTGCCGACGTTCATGTTTTAAAATGTATGAGCTTCAGGCGCGGGACAACTTGTGATATATTGGTGCACTTCATCCGTACAGGCTTGGCCTCCGAATCGTATTGACTGGGCCGTTGTTCAGTGAATATAAAGCTGGTGGGATACTGTGAACGATGAAGGAATGTGTGATGATCATGATCATGACGCGATCGAGGTTATGACTTGGCCATCAAGCAAGGGCCCCTGTTTGAGTGGATAACTACAGTATGGTAAGAGCGACCTAAGGTACACCTGCAACGATGTCCGCTAAGCTTTCGGAATCCATAGAGTTACTACATTGATCTGAAGGTGCTTACTTGTCCTGGCTGCGACGAAGAACTGAACACACCCAGTGAGAGCACGTGATTTAGCGATCCTACCTATCTTACCTAAGGTGAGGTACCTAGGCAAGGTACCTTAGGTACTTGGGCAGTTCAGTTCAACGCGTCAATCCTATGACATGCTTCTGCCGCAGCTCAGTGTGATACTGAATGCGATTGCGATATATACCTAATAGCTCCTCACTGGAGTCGAAGTGCACCTGCCTACGTAGGAGTAGGTAGGTAGTACCTAGGCCTATTTGAGGAATCATGAAGCTGGCTCGCTGGCTGGTGGGCAGAAAAGATCTCACCTCACGCGGATTTACAGTAGGGACGGGGGGGAGGGGGGTCGATTACTGTAACCTTACCTAGTGGCTTGGCAAGTACTACTAGTAGGTCGAGACAACCGCATGCGCATGCCACCTGCACGCATCTCGATTCCAATTACCGTACCTTAGGTACCTACCTACCTACCTATATCAGATCACCAGATCTGCGCATCAAAATCCAACGCCAACTTACGAGTCAACACCATGCTTCAGTACTCGCATGGAGTAAGCAATAATGCCTACAGATAATCCAATTTCTCCGCTGGGGCCCATATCAGGTTACTCCGCAGAGTTTGTCAGGCTGGGTGTGAATTCCACATCATCCATTCGTGCTTCTGCAGCATCATCTTCTGTAACGAACAGTAAATCTGTAGAAGCCGAGCTGCCCTACAAGCCGCTCGACTTCGATACCTACGAGATTCGCCTTCTCCGACTAAAATGGGCTCCTGCTGAAGCAGACATATCGTGTGCTCTGGAATACGCTTCTCTCATAGACCCGGGCCCATACATTGCTCTATCCTACTGCTGGGGAGACTTGAACAGAACCAGACTGATGAACATTGGTGAAGTTGAATTCAACGCCACCGAAAACTTGGTGCATGCACTTCAAGCTGTTCGGAAGCTGAGGCGCCAGACAGGAGATGGTGACTTCACAAGACTATGGGTAGATGCGGTTTGCATCAACCAAAAAGATGCACAGGAACGAAGCCATCAGGTGAGGAACATGCGTCAGATCTATTCCAGAGCCCAGGAAGTCCTCGCGTTCGTTGGACCGTTCAGAGATATCCTTGATGCACTTGACACGGAAGCAAGAATCGTAGCGAAGGCTCGGTTGAAGATCATTCACGGAACGAGCGACTGGGAGAGGAAAACATCATCACCGATGTCACTGCGGGAACAACGGTTGCCAAATCCAAAAATTGAAGCTCTGGAAACCCGAGGGCAAAGGGACTTCGAGGAGTATGATGTCTTCTTCAGCGAGCCGTACTGGAGACGAGCTTGGGTGATTCAAGAGATTACTGTTGGTGCGCAAGTCAACGTTCTTTACGGCGACCTGGAGTTTCTCTGGGAAGATGTAGCTGCTTTTTTTACGCTGCTGAAAAAATCCGAGAGGTCCCAATTGTTTCCTCGATTTCGGAAGACCCACGGGCTCGATCACCTTTTGGAATTTCGAGCGCGCTTTTTTATTAAGCGGTCCCCGATCAGCCTTTTCGATGCCCTCAATCTAAGTCGCCGAGCCCTGGCAACTGATTCTCGAGACAAGATATTTGCCCTGCTGGGACTCTGTCATGATGGATCCACTTTCGTGCCAGTGCCCAACTATAGACAGTCACTCGAGTCGATAATTGCGGATATGAGCAAAAACATGATGACGTTGAACAAATCACTAGATGCCATCTGCCTTCGAGGGATTTCTCAGGACCAGAGCTCTCCTCCAGTGCCAACCTGGGCCACGAACTGGCAACGGCTGTGGATCGGGGGCACGACTGTTCAAGAAGAGGTCATTTTCAGGAATCAGGACATTGGGAGGGTCAATCCAATTCGGGAAGGATCAACAAACCGTCTTCTCAAAGTTAGAGGAACACGCATTGGTGCAGTGACTCATCTGACCTCAGCAATGAAGCCTCACGTCAGAGACAATTCGCCGCTGCCAGACCGAGCGCCTTGGATTTCCCTGACGGGTACATTGGCAAAAGAAATACCAGAACTCGGCAACCCATCTCCAGATGTATCGAGGTTTTATTCTGCTATATGGAAGACGCTAACCATGGGTTTGTCAATGAAAGGAATGTCTCCGCGACAAGCTGAGCTGTGTTTTTCAACACTCTGGATGCCATATGGAAGAGGCTCCATACACGATCTGAACCTCATAGAGTGGATTGATCGGAATGCATTCTTCAAAATTGGCAAGTGGACTTTGCGCGAGTGGTCACAGACGGGGAATGTACCTTTACCACCGAATTCATCAGGCCGCTCCTGGGCCGACAACCTCTTCCCACTTGCTAAAGCCGCCAAGAACGAAGCCATTGTTGAAACAATGACTTTGAATATCGACCCCTTCATTGATGTCTTGAGAGACGTTCTCGGCAGTGGTATGAGGCTTGCATGTCTGGACACTCGCCAATATTTCATCTGCATGGTCCATCCTGATGCGCAGGAAGGCGACAAGGTCTTCTGTCTTCAAGGATGTACCGTTCCTGTTATCCTGAGGAGAGACCCCAATCCCGATGTTAATCAGTACACTGTGGTGGGGAGCGCTTACTTGGATGACGCTCTGCAATGGGGACGCGGGGGACTGGTAAATACCCTGCTAGAGGATTTAACACTATGTTGAGCCTACACAATGTGTCGACTTTGAGAATCAGGTAAAATGTCAACACTGGTACCGTTCAGTTTATGAGTTTTCAGATCCTCGTGGGTAAGTCTGACTTCTACCAGATTCTGTGCGATATAATATTCGTCTATTTTGAGGTTACCTTTAAGCAGATAAATCAGTGGACAAATATGAGTAGGGTATGTTCTATATGCTGGATTATCGTACTCGCCGATGTATGATGAAAGTTCTTACACCTTGGACAATCATCTCCGATCTTTCAGATGAAGGCCTTTCCAAATAACTAGCTCTCTACCCTCTTGGCATCTGTACCTTCCTCGCTGATTGACTGAGCTGCATTCTCAACATCAGGTTCCTTTGGCGCAAGGTTCTTCCTCACAATCTTCCATTACAGTCCTGCAGCACCAGGAACAGAAAGACAAGCCATGATCAAAGCAACCTGAAAGCATGCCCTCAGTGAATCATTGTATGCCTTCAACCCCTCACTCCGCAATGTAAGTGGTACTAGATCAATCAGTGCCGTCATACCGGTCTTTTGGATCTGGTGTGGATCGAGTATGTTCGTCCCAGAAAGGTTGGCTAAGTGCTTCGCAAGCTGATTATCAAGTACATTCTGCCCAACAGATACGAACACCGCACCAAAAAGCTGCTGTCCGAAAAACATCAGCGACGCGCCGATTAGGACGTCTTGTCTCGACAGCACATTTTGCGCTGCCATGTTTTGGAACTTGAGTCATACTGCCGAGTGCGAAGCCGTAGATGACTTGATATCCCACCCACTTTGCTGTTGAAGAGTTCACTTCCAGCGTGATGTGGATACCGGCGCCGATGGCTGAAAGACAGGATCCAAAGATCGCAAACGGTGTGTAGTATCTGATGCGCGAGACTGAGATACCGGTTATGACTGAGGAGATGAAAATTAAAAGGAGCAGGGGAAGGAGATCTGTCCCGCTTTCTAGAGCCGAGTCGCCTTTTACTGCTTGGAACCAGAATGGAAGGTAGAATGCTGGGGTTTGCATTAGTATTCGGCACTTTATCGCTTCTTATGTATGTGTCGATCGAACTTACCGAACAGTTGTGTTTGTATCCCAACGCAAGCGCTCAACCAGAATGCAGAGAAGATACTGCGCTGTATGAAGATCCTCGGCGGCACGGTAGCTTGATCAGGTTTCCAGATCTGAATCAGCACAAAGGCGAGCAAGAGAGCGAAGGTAACAGTTAGGAGTCAAATAATGCGGCCCTCATTCCGCTGAACCTGGTCAGTCTTATTATCAAAAATTGAAAAGAGACCTGTCTGTACTCACAGCGTAGGTCGTACCGCCCCACTGCAAAGCCAGGCACAAGCACACAATTCCGGGGATCAGAGCCAGCATCCCAAGAGCATTCAGTTGTTTCACCTTACTCTTCAAGGAGACATTTGTGTTCGGTCGATCCGGGATATCAAGGAGGAAGGGGACGAGAAAAAGGACGACTCCGCCGATTGGCAAATTAAGATAGAAACACCATCTCCATGTTGCCTGGATAGTACACCGACAAGAAGACCTGCAATGGACGACATTCCGAAAACAACACCGAAAAATCCTTGGACTTTAGGTCGTTTGTGGCGGGGAAGTGTGTAAACGATGATGACCAACTGGAAAATTTACCATTAGCGACAGTCTAATGTAGATACGATGACCCTCCCCTCGATTTACTGCGACTATGTTAGATTCGAGGAAAGGAAGGCACAACTCACAACTCCCGACACGAAACCTCCAGCACCCAACCCTGCAACCGCTCTCCCAACAATAGAAGCAATCGAGTTCCGAGCTGCACCATAGAACGCCGAGCCAATCTCAAACAACATGATGGACGCCATGAAAGTCCATTTGATGCTGAATTACGCATATATCTTCCCGAAAACTAGCTGAAAGGCACAGCTGGTAATCAGGTATGCTGTACCATACCACTCAATGTCGCCTGCGGCGTTGAAATCGTTGGTTATAAGAGGCTTGGCGGTTAAGATAATGAGCTTGTCTAAAGAGACAAGGAGCATTCCCACGAACATGCTTGTTAGCAGGAGGACGACCTTGAGAGCCGCTGGGTAACTCATGTCGTCGTCTCCTGGACGGCCTAGTTGGGTTTAGGAGACGGTTGACGGCTTGGTGATCCTGTCCTTCTCGTATCTTTCAGTAATTTTTGTATCTGTATCGTTTATTACCGGTTTTGGTGGTGCCGGCGCAGCACTTGTTGTCGCTCTATGGTGTTCAAAAGACATGTTGACGTTACTCGCTTCGCTCAAAGTGATTTGATATTAGGTGAAGGAATAGTTTAAGACAGCTGATGCAACAAAATAAACGGAGAAGAATTCAAATATTCTATCACGATGATTTAACCACGTCTAAGTGTTTCACCAGCTTTGGAGATCACTGGGAAGACATAGTCGTGTTGGGGCAGTTGGAAGACCAACACCTGGCAAACGAAAGCAGCTAGCTTCGTACAGTCGGATACAGAATCATGTATTCTGATGCCAATTCCTCGTTCTCATCCGGATCTTGATGCAGCACAGGAAATTAATCGCAATCCAACAAGCCAAGGTTATGTTTTGTCTGACTTTTGTTGAATCAAGACATTCATTTATTGTGTGTAGAGTCAAGCTTTCTAAGGAGCCTTCGACAGGAGCGATTCACGTCCGCTGTGGAACATCGATGCATTGAGCCGCATCAAACATCACTCTGCATTACCAATCCAATTTCGTTTTACAAGCGATTTGGTAAGCAATTAATTCTATCCTCTCTGACATTTCAAAATGGGTCTCTGGCAAAAGCCTCCTCCACCTCCTTGTAAGCATCATACCCATACAACCATCTCTGAACCCTCGGACATGTCCAGCGACTTGGGAAATCCGCCCTCAACTCCTTACCCAACATACTCAGCATCAACTCATCCCTCTCCTCCTGCTCCTTCCCATCTGGCAGGTGGAAATCATGCCTTTGCTTGAACGTTTCTCTCTGAATTCCCTCACCCCTCTCCTTCCTCAACGCCTGGTACAACTTCGCACACTTCTTCAACTGCTCCTCCTTTCCCTCCCCTTTCCCATTGACCTTTCCAAGCAACGCACCAACGACTGCCCCATCCTCAAGACTCGAGTTCGCACCCTGCGCCAAATACGGCAACATAGGATGACAACAATCGCCCATCATCAAAAACGTGCCTTTCTCATTTGCCCACTCCGGCAACGTATCCAGCCACATAAGTTTCCACTTCGTGACCTCCTTAACCTGATTCAGAAACCTCCTCAGAATCGGATCCCAGCCAACAAACAGCTCTTTCATCTCCTCGAGATCGCCATCCACTTTGCTCACTCCAGGGGGTAAGTTATCCGGACACAGAAGCACGATATTGTACACATCGCCCGCGCGCAGAGTATAAGCAACAACGTGCGTTTCTGGTCCAGCCCAGAAATTGACAGTGCTGTCTCTGATGAATTTCTGTAATTCAGGAGCGTCTGGCCCCGTGAGATCATTTGTGTTGATTACAATACGGTAGGCTAGATCGCCTGTAAGAATCGCAGGGCTTGGTTTTCCCAGGAACTGAGACCGGGTAGCAGACCAGAGTCCATCAGCACAGAGAATGACGTCGCCGTCAATTACCTCGCCGTCTCGCAGCTTGACTTCGACATTTTCGAAATCGACGGAGACAACCTTAGAATTGAGGCGGACAGTGACGCCGAGTTCTTTACATCGCGCTGCCATCGCTCGCTGGAGGTCCACGCGGTGCATTCCCCAGTATGGAGAGCCGTAGCGTTCGTCGATTTCCTCTTGGAAATTGGGCGTGTGAGCGAGGAGCTTGGTACCGTCGTACCGGTGGACGGAGAGGGCTACGGGGAAGGTGGCTTTTGGCGCGAGCTGATCGTAGATGCCCCAGGGTTTGAACAGCCGGGTTGAGTTGGGGGTTAGTTGGAGTCCGGCCTGAGGAAATTATGAGTTTCAGGCATAATGGTGATGGAGAGAAGACGACTTACGCCTATTTCTAGGAGTTCTTTTACGGACTCAAGGATTGTGACTCGGTGGTTTGGGTTGGCTATTTTGGTTGAGACGGCAGCTGAAAGACCAGCTAGGCCAGCGCCGATTATGATCAGATGTATTGATTCGGACATGTTGGTTTTTTCTTCGCCCGTCTAGATCCGAATAAAGCCAAATATCACAATCAAGAGGCCCCCTCCAATGACTTCAGGTCAATTGAAGTCCTGGTAAGCACAATTTGTCCAACCCAGATATCTCAACCCTCTAGGAAGCGGGGTATATTCCGGCTGTATAAATGCTTTTTTGCAGGAACAAGACGGCTGAAAAGTGTATCTAGAAAGAGTAGGAAGATAAGTTGAGATGATCACGATGCAGTTCCCCACACAGACGATGTGCACCTAACGCATATATATGTTGGAGATAGGGCGGACTCGGGGTTCAATGAACGCGAAAATGTGGGATGCGGGTGGCGGGGTAATTATTTATGTGGACCGTCCACAGCTCGGGAGGTCTGATGTGGACAGTCTCGGCTCAGTGTTTCGGCACAGTATTCGGCAGTGTTGGTGACGGATATTTGTAATTGTAGCTCAGTTATGCTTGATATGGCTATGAAGCTATTCTTTGACAACGATAAAATGAGCCGTAGGGCAGTCGTGAAGTGTTTTTGTTTTCGCCAAAATTAAGTGGGCAAATGATGCTGGTCAATAGGTACCTAAAGGGGCCGCAAGATTGAGGGGCTCGCTAGCCGAGAGTAAATAATGCCACATGGAAGTCACTGATTGAGCACCACCAGAACAAAACATAAAGCTCTTGACAATGATTGAAATCTTTCTCATAGGCTTCTTAGATCGGAAAGCCTTTATAACTGTAGATATCGTTTCTACCTCAACCTTTGTGTTTCAGCGGTCCTGTTCGGAAGAAAACGGGATTTGATAAGCACTTTGGGAGATGGGAGATATTTACTCGCTTCCATGAGAACCTGAAGCGGACCCAAACGAATTAGCATTTGGCCAGAAGCAATTTCTGAGAGTCGGGAGTCCCGAGAGGAGAGAAACCAACTGAGGACTGGCTTAACGCTTCCGCCTGAATAGATCTTTAGCAAGTCGGGAATTCCGAAAGCAGATCTTAACCTTGCCGCCTGAGGCAACCAGCTGTAGCTTGGCTACTACATTTTGCGCTTTTCCGAACACTACGGTGGCAACGTGTCCATATCCATGGACGATTCTACCATGCCCATGGAGGGTTTGTCTATACCTATAGAGGGTTTGTCTATACCTATCAATAGATAGGACAAACAGGGACCTTGTTATGGATAAAACCTTTACTTTATAGTATAATTTTCTATATTATAGGAAATTTCTCTTTTAATATAGATAAAATCTCTATATTTTTAAGGTTTATCCCCTTAAGCGGTAGAACGCCTTTTAGCGTCTTGGCGGGTTCCCTACTAAAACTCAGGGTAAATAAACTATATAAATAACCTAAATAATTGTTATTCTATACTATATAAAATATAGTGCAAGCTTATATAACCTATTATTTCCGATTCTACTAACTCTGCAACTACTCGGCCGGCTTTACTACTTATTAAAAAGACCGGAATAGGCTCTATACTTATAGAATTACCTAATTTCCTTCTTTTAATTAACCTCCTTCTATATCTTACTCCCTTTAATACTTAGGGTATATTCTTACTATTTTTCTTTAAGGAAATTATTCAGATTATTATAAAGGTAGTGGTAACTATATCTTTACTATACCCGATTAGGAAGAATCTAGAGCTCGGCAAGCTCGGTAAGACTCGGTAGAGCTCGGTTAACTTTAAAGGGGTTTACCGACAGTTACTCACTTAGTTATATATAAAGGGAAATAGCTCTACGCTACTATAGGAGTTTACGTTAAGTGTAATTAGGCCTAATCGGGAATAGCCCGGGGAATTTATCTATATAGGCTTAAGCGCCCTCTACAGAATTAAGAGCTCCTTAGCTTAATATTCGCGCTAATAGAGAGGTTATTACCTAATCTGTAGTTATTTCGCTTATATACTAGCTAACGCTAAACCGTGCTATTATATTATATTAAGCTTAAATCACACTACTAGTGATAGTGTAATAATATCCTAATAACTTATACTCGTTACTTTAAGCGAGCCTTTATTTTTCGACTCTTATCGTTACTACCTTACCGGCGCTACGCACTTAGTTATACGACGAGAGACAACTTATATGAAGTTATAAGACTACGCTTAGCTTAGCGTTATTTGAAAGCTAGAATCGCCTAGCTTTACTATTAGTTAGAATTACGAGGCTAGCTAAAAGCAGATAAGTACTTATTATTACTTAACACTCTTATATTAACTCTAAACATCTAACTAAGTCACGGGACTTAGCTATATAATCCGACTACTAAGTGTCATGCTAATCGTTAAGAATACTCCTAACTCGGACTAGCGTCTTATTCGCTATTAGCTATTACAAGAGCTAATATCCCTCTTAGAAACATCGTTATATTATAATAGCGAATAAGAGCTACTTCAGAGAGCTAAGCGAGCCCGCTAGCGTGCTCCTAGTAGCAGTAGAAAAGACTGTTTTTATAGCCCTTATTCTTTAATACGCGCGGCTCCCTAAAAGAACTAATTAAATCCTTAAGTTTAAATATATATTTAACTTATACGCGTAAAACACTAAAAAGAGTTATTTTAATACTTATTATAATAGTTATTATTCTGTAATAGGATAAGATACACTAGTACGTAACGTAAAGGTTACTATTCTATATTATAATAATAAAAAGAGCTTTTATTAAGCTTATATACTAAAGGGGTCGTTTATATAATTAACTTACCCTTTAAAAACCCTATATTATTACTTAATAATATCTCAGTTAAATATTAACTGATTTCCGCGATTTTAGCAGCTAATTAATAGTATAAACTATAAGTTCTTAATATAATACTTAGGGTAGTCGTAATAATAGCTCTCTAAGTAGAAATACAACTTCTACGGAAAATTAAAACGAATCGAACTAATTAAGAGTCGATAATAAAACTAAGTTATTCTCCTCGGTTCAAGGTACCTCTGCTAGAGTATAAATACTCGGCACTAGTAATATAGACTAATCAGAGGTAGAAAAAGCTTCTATAGCTAGACTTAGGTCTTACTTATTATAGCGAGATTCAGCTAATAAGAGTCTAGTAGATTAAATTACTAAACTACGTAGTATAATACGAGAGTAAGCTAAAGAGAATCGCTTATTATAGTAAGAACTATAAGAGCTAAAAAGCTCTAACTCTAACTCTAATCAAGTAAGAGATAAAAGCCTCTTAAGGTATATTCGTGAAAATACACTTAGAATAAATATTATAGAACGTGCTAGAGGTAGGCAAAGAGATAAGGAAAAAACGCTTATAACGCGTATTATAACTCTATCGCCTAATCGACTAATCAGAGAAGCGAACGCTATAACTCGCTTTATAACTCAAATTCAAAGAGAGCTTCCTAGAGCGTCTCTACCTCTAATTTCCCTTGTAAATTCCTCTTTTATTAGAGATACAATTAGAGCTACTATTATAGGGGCCCTTAACTAGTTTCCTAGATATAATAATAAGCAGTGTAAAACCGGAAAAATACGTGATCTAAAGCCGCTTATAGATAGCGTAGACCCTACGTTTAAGCGATAGGAATTATTAATTATTTCTAAGCTAAAAGTAAATTAGGACTACTTTAACGATAAGTTCGCTTATATAACCTATATATATAATATAACAGTAGGTAAAGTATAAGAAGCCTTATTTATAAGGCACGATACATATAGTAGGGATCCTTATATATACTATACGGAGCTAATAGCTGATTTACGTAAGATCTTTGTTATAAAGTAAATATTAATATATAAAGCTGAATACAATAGCTTATATATATTATCTACTAACGATTTTAGTAATTTTAAAGCTAAATTCCTACGCCTTACTAATAAGGCTAGAAAGCCTAGGGATCGCTTAAAAGACTACTTTTATATAAAGTTATACTCTGATCTTAAAGCTACTATAAAACCTATAGTAAACTTTATTAATAGATTTAACGAGTTTTACTAAGCTATGCTAAAATCACACGAATAAGAAAAGCTAATAGCTAATTAAAGAAGAAAAGAGTCTATTATTATAACTAGTAGCTCTAGAACCTCTAGATCAGCTTATAGAGAGTAAAGAACGTAAAATCGTTATAATAACAATTATATAAAAAAGACTACTGAAAAAACTATAGCTATTATAGCTATAAAGCCTAATCAGGAAGTACGCTATTATAAGTGTAATAAGGTAGGGCATTTATTACCTTAATGCCCTAAGCCTAAATCAGGTGATCTTAAAGAGCTAGATTAAGAGGAAATCGATAAAATCAGCTAATTAGAGAGCGAAGCTAATTTAAAAGAAAAGGCTTAAAACAAGATTCTCTTTTAGGCGAATATAGTAATATAATAGATCTAACTAACTTAGACCTATTAACGCTAATAGGCGGTCTATACTTTACCTACTTTTATCGCCTTAGTAAAAACGGATATTCTATCTAATTACGCTCTTTAATTAATATAGGCGCTAATAGCTTCGCCTTCCTAAATAAGCCTTTTACTAAGAAATTATAATATCTCTTTAGCGTTACATCTTAATAGTTATTATAGCCTATTATAATAAAAGGCTACGACGGAATTACTAATAATCAGATTATATCTTATCTCTCTCTCTCTTTTACAATTAATAAGCGTAGAATAGTTAATATACTTTTCTTTTTACTAGAATTAGGTAATTATAACTTTATTCTAGGCTGTATTTAGTTAGAGTACTTTAAAGTATTACTAGATATAGTAGGAAAAGCCTTAATTTAGCCTAGCGAGCTTCCTAAGAGTATTAGACTTTTTTACAAGGAAATATTAATTAGATAAGAGTAACTTAAAAAGAAGCTAATTAATAAAAATTATTAAGATAATATTAATCGACGTCTAGAGGCTTAAGAGACTAAAGAGCTTAAGCTAGTACTTATCGCTATAAGCGAGAAAAGAAAGTAAAAAGCGAATCGCCCTAAATTAGTAGCTAAAAATTCGTTTAAAAGCGAGCTACGTGAATAGCTTAAAACTATAGAAAGAGAGTTATTAGGATTTTCTAGTTCTAGCTCTTATAAACTAGTTACTTTATATTATAATCTACTTATCCTATTAAAATCGAAAAATTCTACTAGCTCTTCTCTAGATATTTTTACTATTAGCGCTACTGCTTTTAGTTAAATAATAAATAAGGATAAAAGGCAGGGAACTAAGCTATTTATAACTAGCTTATACGAAATCGATCAGCTATTAGCTGAGCTTTCCCCTAAAGATCGAAGCGAAATAATAGTAAAAGTACCTGAGTTTTTAAAGGACTTATATAATACTTTTAGTAAATAAGAGTCTAAT